GGGGAGGGGGTCTACCGGGGGGGGAACTGGCACAAGGAAGTCCGGCGGAGGGGGGAGGGAAGGAGTGCGGTAGGGGAAGAGGCGGTAGAAGGGGACTGACTCGTCGAACGTGACGTCCTGGGAGGACAGAACACGACGAGAGGAGGGGTGGTAAAACTGCCACCCGGGAGCGTCTGTGGGGAAGCCAAGGAAGACACAGGGAGCAGCACGAGGGGACAGCTTGTCCGAAGACAAGTCGCGGACAAACGCCTGAGATCCCCAGACACGGAACGCCGACGCATCGCCAACCTTCCCCGTCCACAGCAAAGCTGGGGAGGTCTCCGGTCGGGAGACTCTGGGCTGAAGGTTGATCTGATGGGCGGCGTACCGAACCGCAAACGGCCACAGAAAATGGGGGGCAGCCGCATGCACCATGGACGTACGGGCGACGTCCATGACAATGCCGATGCGGCGCTCAGCAATCCCATTCTGCTGTGGAGAGTCCGGAAGCGTGAAGGTCTGGCGGATGCCTCGTGCCCGACAGTAGGCTCGCAGAAGGCCGGAGGAGAACTCTTCGCCTCTGTCCGAATGCAGACGCAGAACAGGAAAGTCCGAGCCGAAGCTCCGCCTGAGCTGGAGACGAGCTGCGCGGATCCAGTCGATCAACACCTCAGTGACCTCACCCTTGCTGCGCAAGGGAAAGACTGTGGTGTAACGCGAGTAGTCGTCAACCACCAGCAGGAAGTTGCGCTCGTGACCCTGTCCACGGACGCGGGCTGGGCCCCACACGTCCATGTGAAGCGTCTGCATCGGGGCCTCCGTCGGAGGGAACGGGGAGGAGTGAGGGGTAGCCCGCAGGCGACCCTCGACACAGGGGACACAGGGAGGGCCAGGCCCCGGAGGAAGGGGAGGGAGGGACCGGGGAAGGCCAGAGACAAGAAGGCGAGAGGCCATGCCCCGGAGACGAGGCAGGGAGGGGTGACCCATCCTGTGGTGCCACAGGAGGGTCTCGTGGGACAGGAGGCGACACGAGCAGGGGGCAGACTCAGGACCAGACCTGGACGCTGCAGCAAACACCTGACCCGACGCAGCTACCTGACCAGACGCAGGAGAAGGAGACGGAACAGTGAGTGTGTACAGGCTCGACCCTGGACCACGTGTGAATGTGGTCAGGTGTCGACCCGTGTCCGCGTCCGTGCAGTGGGTGACTCGTCGGCGCGCAGGGGTGAACTGGTCAACCCCTGCATCCTGTAGGTCAGCACCCGCCACCAAGTTCGTAGAGAACGAGGGGAGGTAGAGACTGGACAGGGCGCCAGACGGGACCGCAGGGCACGGCAGGACAGTGGAGTAGCGAGCCAGAACAGGACCCCCAGAGGGGTCTGCCAAGGAGACCGCCACTGGCCGACTAAGCGGCGTGAGTGTGGTGCGGTCTCGAAAGAAGGAGCGAGACGCCCCGGAGTCAAGAGTGAAAGTGAGAGAGGGTGAAGTCGACACTGTACCTGAGAGAGCAGACTCACCAGCACCTGAGGACTCAGACTCACTGGCACCTAGAGCAACAGCCTCACCAGCACCTGGAGCAGCAGCCTCAACAGCACCTAGAGCCACAGTACCAATGCCCGGGTTGGGCGGGAAACACCGGTAACAGTCACCCTCCTCACTAATAGTCACAGCATACATAGCAGCAAGAATAGCATCAAAGTCAAGATCAAAGATAGCTACTCCAGCCCTAGACAGCTGATCCCAGCGAGGGATCTCAGAGGCGTCAGGAAACTGGCGGCGCCAAGCGTCAGTCAGGCGGCCGAAGTAACGCTGGGCGGAGTGTGGACCACCACACTACTCACCCGCACGGTCGCCAGTGCGCAGGACGTAAGTGCACGGACCAGTACCCCCACCCCGCTGACGCGCAGAGTACCACTCACGGAGCTGCTGCGGGGAGAGGGTCTCCTGACCACGCTGCTGCTGCTGGCGCTGACCACCACCGGAGCCACTCCTCCTCGGCGCGCCACGACCTCCGCCGCCTCCTCCGCCGCCGCCGCCACCACCTCCACCGCCACCCCCACTCCCACCGTCGCCGCCGCCACCGCCGCCTCCGCCTCCACCCCCACTACCACCGCCGCTGCCGCCCCCGCCTCCACTGCCTCCGCCGACACCTCCACTCCCGCCACTACTCCCGCTACCACCCTCACCTCCCCCGCTGCCTCTACCTCCGCCTCCACCGCCCCCGCCGCCTCCACCACCGCCCCTGCCTCCCTTGCTCTTGCCAGAGCGACGTCTCCCACTGGGGGCAGACGCCGCTCCGACCGACTCAAAACCAACAAGGTCGGCCGTAGCAGCAGAGGCGACAGAGGGCAGGAGGGGGGGGGGGGAACACCCCTCAAAGATGGGGGTGCGCGGGTCACCACGAGAGGCCCCTACAGCGAGAATGCTCTTCTCGGCTGCGAGGAGGGACTTCTCGAGGATCTCGACAGTGAGAGTGGTGGGGCAGACTGCGAGTAGGTCGTCCCTGACTCCGCGAAGGGAGTCAGGGAGGCGGGTGACAATGTAGTAGAGAGTGAAGTACTGGGGGGGGGGGTTCTTGGCGCAGAACTCAGCAGGAAGTGCAGCGCGGAAACGAGCGTCACTAGTGCGCAGGTGGGTAATGAGGTCGGCGACTATGGCAAAAGCAGCAAGGTCGGGAAAGAGGTACGGTAGCATGAGGCGGCTCAGTGCAGCAGTGGCAGGGGTGGAGTAGCGTGCGATAACGGCGTCGTACAAGGTCTTAGCACTCTTGTACGACCCAAAGTGCGCACGCTCAGCGGGAGGGAGGTGGCGACGCACAGCAAGACGTGCAGCAGCATCGCGTGTGGCCCACTGTGAGCGAACAGTGGCATCCTCAGTAGCAGCAGGGGCGGGAGAGGCACCAGAAGTGAGATCAAAGAGAGAGAGTCCGTCAGCTCTGTCGCACTGTAGGAAAAGGAGTAGGTCGTCTACCCACACGTCAAAGTCAATGGCTCTGCCCTCAGCGTCAAAGGCGAGGACACTGGGGGTAGCCATGACAGCAGTAGAGAGAGGGCAGTGCGCAGAGTAAAGCTCAGTGCTCACCAGACAGGGCAGTGCAGGGAGGGCTCGGGCGGCTCGGGCGGCTCGGGCGGCTCGACTGCTGGGCGGCTCGGGCGGCTCGGCGGCTCGGGCGGCTCGACTGCTGGGCGGCTCGGGCGGCTCGGGCGACTCGGCGGCTCGGGCGGCTCGGGCGGCACTGCAGCTGGGGCGGCTCGGCTGTTGGGGCGGCTCGGCTGCTGGGGCGGCTCAGCTGCTGGGGCGGCTCGGCGGCTGGGGCGGCTCGGCTGCTGGGGCGGCTCTGCTGCTGGGGCGGCTCGGCCGGGAGATGCAGGGGCGGGGCCGTCAGGTGCAGCGGCGGGCCGGCAGGTGCAGCGGCGGGTCGACCGGTGCAGCGGCGGGCCGGCAGGTGCAGCGGCGGGGCCGTAGGGTGCAGCGGCGGGCCGGTAGGTGCAGCGGCGGGGCCGTCAGGTGAAGCGGCGGGCCGCTGGGTGCAGCGGCGGGCCGTAGGGTGCAGCGGCGGGCCGGCAGGTGCAGCGGCTGGGCCGTCAGGTGAAGCGGCGGGCCGCTGGGTGCAGCGGCGGGCCGTAGGGTGCAGCGGCGGGCCGGCAGGCGCAGCGGCGGGGCCGTCAGGTGAGGCAGCGGGCCGTAGGGTGCAGCGGCGGGCCGTAGGGTGCAGCGGCGGGCCGGCAGGTGCAGCTGCGGGGCCGTCAGGTGCAGCGGCGGGCCGGCAGGGCCGCGTCAGAGCCGGCGGCGGGGCCGCGTCAGTGGAGGCGGCGGGGCCGCGTCAAGCAGGCGGCGGGGCCGCGACGTAGCGGGCGGCAGGGCCGCGTCAGAGCCGGCGGCGGGGCCGCGTCAGTGGAGGCGGCGGGGCCGCGTCAAGCAGGCGGCGGGGCCGCGATCAAGAGGGGCAGCGGGGCCGCGAGGGAAATGGCGACCCGAGGGGTCGCTAAAAAAATGCGCGCCTCGGGGCGCGCTTCGGTGGGCCCTAAAAAAAAACGGTCCTTAGGAAGGACCCGCTCTATACCATGTGAAACAAGTGAACAGAGATGAGATGAACTATGAATGAAGTCAGTACAAATATGAAACCCTAACTGGGTTGTACCCCCTATGGGATACCCCACTACAGCCTACACAATAGTATAAGCTATAGATATGTTCTGACAATCGATACTCCGGCCACGGTTTTGCGGGTCTTTCAAGATCATCAAGATGGTGACACCTGTCACCGCGAAGCTGCTGCTACCCGACGATTGGCGTATGCATGACGCCTTCCATGTCAGCCTCCTTCGCAAGTTCGTGCCTGCCACGACAGACATCGCGTGCCGGAACGCCGCCCCGACAGCCCGACCTGTCCCAGAACCGACACTTGACCCATCCAAGATTTTGGCGCATCGTGTTCGGCTCGACGCTTCTGGACGCCACGTGGATTTTTTAATCCGCTCGAATGACCGCACCAGTGAGGATGACACTTGGGTGCCATCCGCCTCGCTTGAAGCTTCTCCGCTTCTTGGTGATTACCTCGCCCGCAAGCGAGCTGCGGATATTGACCACCTTTCTTAAAGGGGGGGGTAGTGTAAGGAAAAACCCTTTTCCTTACAGGGGTTTACTCAACCGCGTACAACCCCAACTTTCGGAAGTGCACGTTCGGCCACTTTGCTTGCTGCCGAAGCAACCTCGCGTCGCGTTCGGCCTTTCCTTTGCCCAACCTGCACCCAACCTCGTGTTCCCGAGGTTCCCGCCTAGCTAGGTTGACCCACTATATTAGCGCGTGCCTTCATTGTATTGTCAGTTCATTGAGTCACATCTTCGTTATTCGTTATTCCGCGCACTCTCTTTTACAACTCATATCACCGGTTCTCAGTCCCACGCAATATACATGTAGGTGAAGACACAAACACTCAAGAAAAGGTGAGCACAACAAACGGCAAACAAAAACAACACACAAATGTTGCAACTGATTTATTCAACTCCCACATGAACCTCTAAGCACGTTGCAGGAGGTCGTTGGGTCCATTGGGCTGGTCAATAGCCGCGAGCTTCATCGTCGCATTCACCAGCCTTCCTTTCACACCCGTCGCCGCATACTGCATAAGCGCCACCAACGCATTGTACCCATCACTGGCCGCAAGCGCCTCCGGGGTCAACCCCGCAAAGCTCCAGCTTTGCGTGCCGTGGAGAACAATAACAGACGTGCAGTTCAGATCACACGGACTGCTGTTGCTGTACAGAAACGCGCGCGTGGATGTGACATTGGGCGTCGGCGGCGGCGGCGGCGGCGGGGGAGGAGGAAGCGTGTCGCCATCGTCGTCGCAACACTCATCATCATCTCCACCCTTCTTCCCCTTCCCCTTGCCCTTGTTACACTTGGGCTTATCCTTCCCCTTAACCTTTCTCTTGTCTTTGTTGCTCCCTTTCTCCTTCTTAGCCGCGCACCCCCCGGCAGGGGGCAAGTGGGTTGGTGGCAGGGCATCAAGCAGGTTGACGTTGAGGAAGACGGTGATGGGCTCCTCTGAGGGCACGACCACGGCAAGAGCGAAGCTCGCCTGGAAGGACAGCCCATCGGCACTGCAGTGGGGGAGACACGGAACGGAAGGAACACAGAAGCCAGAAGTGGCAGTGAGAAGGTGGTGGTGGTGGAGGGGTGGTGGCAAGGCATGGAGCAGGTTGACGTTGAGGAAGACGGTGACAGGCTCCTCTGAGGGCACGACGGTGACAGGCTCCTCTGAGAGCGAAGCTCGCCTGGAAGGACAGCCCGTCAGCGCTGCAGTGAAAAGGAATGGAACGGGACAGACACAGAAGTCAGGACTGGCAATGCGGAGGTGGCAGGGCATCGAGGAGGTTGACTAGACAGAGAGGAAGACGGTGATGGGCTCCTCTGAGGGCACGACCACGGCAAGAGCGAAGCTCGCCTGGAAGGACAGCTCATCGGCACTGCAGTGGGGGAGACACGGAACGGAAGGAACACAGAAGGCAGAAGTGGCAATGAGGAGGTGGTGGTGGTGGAGGGTTGGTGGCAAGGCGTGGAGCAGGTTGACAGAGAGGTAGACAGTGATGGGCTCCTCTGAGGGCACGACCACAGCAAGAGCGAAGCTCGCCTGGAAGGACAGCTTGTCAGCGCTGCAGTGAAAAGGAATGGAACGGGACAGACACAGAAGTCAGAACTGGCAATGATGAGGAGGTGGCAGGGCGTGGAGGAGGTTGACGGAGAGGTAGCCGGTGATGGGCTCTTGGGTGGGTACGACCATGGCAAGAGCGAAGCTCGCCTGGAAGGACAGCTTGTCAGCACTGCAGAGGGGTGTAAGACACGGAACAGGCACAGAGGAACACAGTGAGATGTTTGGTGAGAAGGCGAACAGCGGAATGCAACGGCGTAGAAGAAGGAGAGGGGAGGGAGAGAGGAAGGCGGGAAGTCACAGTGAGTTGTTAAGACAGAAGTAGACCATTAGGTGGGTGGGAGTGGGCCAAAAGGCATGGCTCAAGCGAGGCACGACACTGCTGTAGTTGTGCCCAAAAGTGGGATCAGGAGATGGGATGGGAGTGGCTTACGGCTGCGAGAGGGAGATGTTGGCACCGCCTGGCATGTAGGAGAGGAAGCGGACCACGTATTGGGGGCTCGGCACGTTTTTTAGTCGACTCAAAAACAGACTGTGACTCACGACTGTGAGAGGGAGATGTTGGCACCGCCTGGCATGTAGGAGAGGAAGCGAACCACGTATTGCGGGCTCGGCACGTATGCTGGAATGGGACCCACTTCCACTACGGACAAAAGCAGAGGGAAGTGGGGAGAAGGTGACAGGGGGGGTTTCGAAGGGCAGGCAGAGGAGTGCAAGGTTAGCAGTCCGTCAATGCTAACCTCTGCCTGCATTAGCAGTCCGTCAAGGAATATAAGGATAGAAGGAGAAAAGGATTGCCAGACGCAAGCTTGAGGTGCAAGCACAACAGAAAAGCGCCAAAGAAACACACGCAGGTGAGCAAGAGAGATGTCACAAAGACAGGCCAGGCAATCAGACTGATGATTTATACTACTACTCGCAAGCTCGACCTCTTTTCCAAGAATCACACTGCCCGCTCCATGCTCCACACCCCCACTTACGAAACTTCCGTGTGGCGTCCGCGCGAAGCTGCGCCATCACGGGGCGCATGGCGCCCTGCGCGTCCTTGTACGCCATGACCACCCCGGGGAACACCAGCGAGTTGTCTATCAGCTGCAGCAGCGCGCCGTAGCGCTCGGGGTCGCTCACAGGGCTGCTGGTGAAGGTGCCGATTGCCTGCCACACGGACGGCACGGGCTGCACCCACGTGGGGTTGCCCGGGGGCAGGCTGCACCTGAGCGGGTCGCATCCGGGGACGGTTGTGCCTGCCAGCGTGATGTAGACGGGCGGGGCGACGGGGAGAGCTGCGAAGATCTTGTAGGTCGCTTGGATGGTGGCGGTGGCGGAATCGAAGCTGGATGTGTGGTGGGGAGAGGAAGGGGTGGTGGAAATGGGAGAAGACGGGGGGGGAGCGGGATAAGTAGAGGAGGGAGAGCACAAAGGAAGGGGAGAGCGGCGAAGATCTTGTACGTCGCTTGGATGGTGGTGGTGGTGGCATCGAAGCTGGACGTGTGGTGGGGGGAAAGAAGGGGGGGGGAGAGAGAGAGAGTGGAGAAGAGGCAGAATTGGGGATGGGGATGAAGGAAGGTGGAAGCAGCAAAGATCTTGTAGGTGGCTTGGATCGAGTCTTGAGTCGACTCAAAACTCGACTCATTTACACGCATCTTGTAGGTGGCTTGGATGGTGGTGGTGGTGGTGGTGGCATCGAAGCTGAATGTGGGCGGGGGAGGAAAATGGGGGAAGATGGGGGGAGGGGAGAGGGTGGTAAGAAGAAGGGGGACGATGATAAAGGAAGGGGAGATCTGGCAAGATCTTGTAGGCCGCTTGGATGGTTGTGGTGGTGGCATCGAAGCTGGTGTGGGGGGGGGGAGAGGGGGGTAACGAGAGGGGGAATTGGGTACGGGTATGAAGGAAAGGAGGAGCGGCGAAGATCTTGTAGGTGGCTTGGATGGTGGTGGTGGTGGCATCGAAGGTGGTGAGGAGGGGAGAGGGGGGTAACGAGAGGGGGAATTGGGTACGGGTATGAAGGCAGGGAGAACGGCGAAGATCTTGTAGGTCCCTTAGATGGTTGTGGTGGTGGCATCGAAGCTGGTGTGACGGGGGGGGGAGAGAGGGGGGAAATGGGGGAGAAGGGGAGGGATGGAGGGGAGGGGAGTCAAGAAAGTCGTGCAGGCCACGTGCATAGGGGAAGTGCTGGGTTGGAAGCTGGTGTGGATAGGGGGAAGGGGGCATGGAGGAAAACTGGGGAAGATGGGAGAGAACGGGGAACAGGTATGAAGGAAGGGGGTTTTGGGGAGGACATATTTTGACTTACCAGGAAGACGGTTGAAGCAAATCGAGCTGTAAGTGCGGCGTTGAAAGAAGGCATGTAAAGCGCGGCAAGGAGGCGAGTTACTCACTTGAGACAGAGGTAAACGACGGCTTTTTAAGCTCCTCAAAAGTCATCTTACGGGCGGCGTTGGCGAGAAGAGGAGGCACTCACTTGACGTGGAGGTAGACGACGGCTCGCGACTCGCCGTCTACGAGGTGCGCGTAGAGATACGCATCTGCGCGTCCGTGAGGGCACGAGGGGGACGATGGGGGAGAGAGAGTGAGGGAGAGTGACGATAGGGACTCGCCGTCTACGAGGTGCGCGTAGAGATACGCATCTGCGAGTCCACCACTCAGAGGACTCGGATGGGGGCACGATGAACACAATGGGAGCGATGATGGGGACAGATTTTAGCAGACGAAAGCTTTTATTTTCCAAAAGGTGCGAGAGAGGCGAGGCGGGGGAGCGAGCAATGGAGAGAGAGCGAGGGTGAGAAGGAGGCGAGGAGAGGAAAAATGCACCGAAACGAGGAGAACAGGAGCAAAATCTCTGGTCAGAACTGGCTTTCAAAATCGGAATCAGTAGACATACCACTGTCTTTCACCCAGAGTCAGTCCTATACGCATGGCATGCGCGAGGAGCGGGAATCAATCCCTCAGAAGACGACGAACGGCGGACGTACCGGCGGCAGAGGCGGCAACGGGCGACGTCAGGGGACTGGCCGCGATGATGACAGCTGCGACGCGCGTCGGAAGAATCGGGGGTGGAGGGGGCGCATGGAGAGAGGGGTGAGAGGAGGCAGAGAGGGAGACAGGGGAGAGGTTGAGAGGCAGTGATAGGGGTGAGAGATTATCCCGAGATAGTGTGGGGTGCTGCTGCTATTACGTGGCCTCCACGTAGCCTCCACGTCGGCTCCACGTGGGCTCCACGTGGGCACCCGCGGCGTGCGAGAATCTACTGGCGTGAGACTACCCATTAAAATTTCGCTGTAAAAAGAAATACCCGCTGAGAGCACGCACCACCGATCACGAGGAGCAGCGGGAGCGAGCTTCGGTACGAGGTTGGCCGCAGCCGCCGCCGCCGGAAGCACAGATTCGAGGGCGTCGCCATGATGACGGTGGGGACGCCGGGGAGCACTTAGTGTAATAACGCGGACGATACGACTCGTACGATGTCGTTTATTGTTGTGTTGCACGATGGCTGTTGTGCACAAACTTATGAGCGTCGTGAATGTAGTAATATTTACTGACCCAGCTTATCGTCCCAATCTGAAGTATTAGCGAGGACGGTCTCACGCCAGTCTCTGTCACCGGACACATTTGTGGCAATTGTAGTGTCTGGACCTAATAGTGGTACTAAGGCAGACGCAGGGAGGTTTGGACGAAATATCGCCTAGAAAGTCAAGAATCATCCGATGTGAACCCAAATTTCGTTATTCAGGCGCGACGACAAAGGTCCTTACCCAGCCCAGATACCAGCTGACAATGTCTTCGCCTGACTTGTCACGTCAGGTCAGGACTCGGGAGTGTGAGTCGAGCTGACCCTTCTGCTGGCATCGCCTGACAGAGTCCCTGGGGAGCGATCGTGCGTACATACGCTCGGAAAGAAAGAATGCGGGGACAAACGGGAAATGGAGGTGGGGGGGGAAGAGGAGGCGGGAGGATGTTGGGGGAAGATGGCGGGAGGGAGGGGCAAGAAGGGGACAACGTAAGGGGGAGGGGAAAGGAGCGAAAGGGGGGAAATACAACGGAGCGGCAGTCTACGCAGTCAATCGGGCAAGAAAGGGAGCAAGCGGCAAGGGGGTGTGGTTGGCGGAGAATGTGGACCAAGTCGGCGGAAACGTAACCGCAAAATGCGGTAGGACAAGAAGAGGTTTCGGGGGAATTTTGGATTCTTGCGGTGCGAACTCGCGACTCGGTTTCGAAATGCTTGACGCTTGACTTGCGTTGCTGTGCTGGCTGCAGCGCAGCATCACTGTCAGCTCTGGATTGTGCTGAGTGGACTCCTTGGCACGTGTGCCATCAGCACAGCAACGATCTGCAGCGAACAGACGATTAAGCTCGTGACTGAGCCGATACTATGTGTAACAGAAGAGAGATACTAGGCATACCTAAACCCAAAAGGATATGCTTTCACATCCTACAATATCTACAACCACTTGCACTGCTTTAGTCACCAGAACCAATACTATATCAACAAATGAAAATTAAACAGAACTAGCATCCTCGTCGTCAAATCGTGCCTTAATGTTTTGGAGAACCGATGCAACCTTCGTGGCGTTCGCTCGTACGGTATCATAACACCCGCCATGGCTAAACACGAGATGGTAGACGAGCGACGACGCATACGCTAGATGATTGTAACAGACCACAGGGCATCCATCTGGTCTGATTTCCAGAACGGAGGCCTTTTCTGGCATGAAGATGAGGTTGGTGAGTGCTGCTCCATGGCCTGCTACGAAGAGACGCGTGCGCTGAAACAACTCTCGAGCTGCAGCGAGGGAGAGGCAGGAAGGGGTGGGAGGGGAAGGGGACGTGACAGGGAGGAGGGAGACGAGGTTGGCGAGTGCTGCCCCGTGGCCTGCTATGAAGAGACGCATGTGCCGAAACAAACTCTCGAGCTGCATAGATGGGCGTGGTTGGGGATGTATGAAGAGAAGATGGAAGATCAGAGGAGGAGGAGACAAGAGGACAAGTGAATATGCACACCATCCAGCGCAGACAGCAAGCAATGACCTTCTTTTAAGAAGCCTCAATCATAGCCTCCAAAAGAACGATATGCTCACCACTCGCAGCACAGCAGCAGCGCACCTTCCAGCGCAGGCAGCAAGCCGGCGACCGTCTTTTGAGGCACCCCAAACATTGGCTCAAAAGAATGTTACGCGCAGTGCTCAAAACACAGCAGCAGTGCACCTTCCAGCGCAGGCAGAGGGGCAGTGACCTTCACAGCACCTTCATAATCGCCCCAAAAGCTCGGTCTGCCCAATGTCCACATCACACACACAACATCGCACCTTCCAGCACAGACAGCGAGCCGGTGAACTTCACAATCCTCTCATTCGGAAACGCCCTCTCCACCACCTCCTCCACCTCCACAAAGTTACTAATGGATCGCCTCTTTGCGGGTCGCTTGGCCAGCACCACCACCCAGTCGGGTGGCAGCTCCTGCGCCTGCTGGGGCGACAGCGGCGGTGGTGGCTGGTAGGACCAGTCGGGGCGGAAGAGAGGCAGACCGCGTGGGTGCAGCAGGTGGGTGCGCCTGAGGGACTGCCAGAGAGCCTTGGAGGGGTTGCCACAGGTTTGGGCGATTGGCTGAAGCCAGGGGGAAGAGGGGGTGGTGAGGGGCGGGAGGGAGGAGGAAGAGGAAGGCAGGAAAGGCCTTGAGTACATTGAGAGGCAGGCAGCCTGCATGGGGGTGCAGTGCAGCAGGTGGCTCCACCTCAAGAAGTGCCAAAGCGGTTTAAAAGGGTTACTATAGGTCGGGTGAATGGGGCCGACAGAGCGGGAAGGCGGAGGGGGAGAGGGAGTAGAGGCATGAGAAATAGCTTGAGCGGTGTGGCAGGGAGAAAGCAGGGGGGCTTCTGCAGGTGCAGCACGTGGTTTGGTTTGGTGTGGAGGACTGCCAAAGCGGTTCAGAGGCATAGTCATGCGAATGGGCAATTGGATGAAGACAGGGAGAGAAGTTAGTGGATCACGGTCACACACAGCAGAGCAGGTGGGGAGTGTCACGAGGTAGAGACCCCTGAGAATCCTCTAGAGGGTTGTGTCACAAGGCAGACACCCTTCACTTTGACTGCGACCTGATTTTGCAGGGTGTTCTTGAGAATCAGAAAAGAGAAAGAGAGTAGCAGGTGGGATGTGTCCCAACGTAAACACCCTTGGCTGCGATTTTCGTAGAATTATAACAAAAATGATCTTACAGGGTGTTTTTGAGAATTATATGTATATATATATGAATGTATATATATGTTTATACATAGTAGCAGTTGGGATGTGCCCCAACGTATACACCCTCGACTGCGAGCTGATCTGCCAATCACCGCTCGTAGGTGCAGATAAGCAGCAGGGGGTGTGGACGACAGTGCGGAGCGGCAGAAGTAAGCAAGCATGAGCAAGCAAGCACGCATGGGCTACCAGCGCGGATATACCTCGTAGAGGGTTTCGACGAAGAAGAGATCTTGGGCTACGAGAGGCAGCACGCGCATGTCCTCGTATTTGATGCCTATGAGGGCCTCTCCGAACTGCTTGTACACCTCCCACTGCAAGGCACAGAGATAAGAAAGGAAAGGGGTAAAGAGATCGTCAGCAATAGGGAGGCGGCCCTTACATGCCTTACTGCTTGAATTCAACAAGTTTTGTATACCAAAGCTCTTACATGCTTTCAATGTCTATACCAAAGCTCTTACATGCTTTCAATGTCAAGAGGTGGAAGCCAAAGCCTCGACTCCTGCAGGTCAAATAATCTCCTCTTTGCAAGGACTCATTTGTCTGAGTGACCTACGCCGCAAAATAGACGTTTGGTTGGTGGTGGTGGTGGCAAGGACTGGTCACTTCAAATATTGAACCCACCTGAATCCGGCTGGCGAGGATGGGCGTGGAGAGCATGATGCGCGGCATGCAGCATCGTAGCACACACGTATACAGGCGTGTGCAGGCGTGTGCACGCGTGTGCAGGCGTGTGCAGGCGTGTGCACGCGTGTGCAGGCGTGTACAGGTTTTCAACTGTCAGCTCATTGAACCCACCTGCATGCGGCTGGCGAGGATGGGGGTGGAGGGCATGATGCGCGGTAGCAGCGGCGCAGCAACGAGGAGCAGCGGCATGGTTTCGGCGACAAAGTGGTAGAAGTTGAATCCGTACGAGTTGCTCCACGTGAAGGCCGCTGGTAGTACATGCACCTGCTGCTGTGGTGTAAAGGATATCTGCGGTGGGGGTGGGAAAGGGGAGGGAGGAGTGAGAAGAGGCGGCGAGGAGCAAAGGCACGGTTTCTGCAAGGAAGTTGCATAGAAGTTGCTCCACGTGAACGTGTTGCAAGTCCAATGGAGCCCCAGACAGCACAGCAGCCATCTCTGAAAATCCAACGTTTATGTGCTGATTCAACTGTAAAAAATGTTGTAGAAGCTGCTTCACGTGAACGAGTTGGAAACCCGTGATTCAAATTCTGGACTTCGGTTCGAATGAGTTGTAGAGGCTCCCCTCACCTCACCTCACCTCATTCAAATTCCCCTGCCCCTCGTCTCAATGCAAGCTCCTGCCCCTCACCTCGTTGAACCTGCCACAGCCGGGCCGCACGAATCGGTGCGTGCGGTTGAACACGTAGCCCTTGTCCGTCACATACGCGCCCTTCACCTCAAACATCTGCAGCGCCATGGCGTCCCGCGGGTTGAAATCCTCCCTGTGCGAGCACGTCTCGTCGTACCCATCCGATATATGCTTCCGCGTGTGCGGATCCAACCCCGCCGTGGCGTTTCTTTTTGGGCAGTTCACGGGCGGGTCAAGGAAAACTCGGTCCGGGTCGACCAGGTCCGGGTTCCAGCAGGCCCGGAGGTTCGGGAAGGCCGGACCGCAGGAGGTTAGGGTGGGACACGTGTCGCCGTGGCAGTGGGCGAGGGTTCCCCAATGCGTGTCGTGCTCGTGGTACTGTAGCAGCACGATTGGCCGGTTGGAGGAGTTGTAGGCGAATCCGAGGGGTTCGATGAAGAGATTGGTTCTCTCTGGATGGTTCCTGCAGGGGGGGGGGGGGGAGAGGGAAGTGGAGGGATGGGAAAGAGATTGAGGAAGTGCGAGGGGAGAGGACTTTTGCGCCGCCTCACACGAGCCGAGGGGTTCTCTCTGGATGGTTCCTGCAGGGGGGAGAGAGAGGAGAAGGGGAGTCATCAGGGAGTCACTATTGAGAATCCTTAAAAAGCTTGAATTTCTCTGGATAGTTTTATGAAAAAGAGAGCGATCAAGGAACGTGATTGGGGAACGAGATGCAGTGATATGAAGCACGCTCACCTGATATGAAGCACGCTCACCTGATACGAAGCACGCTCACCTGATATGAAGCACGCTCACCTGATACGAAGCACGCTCACCTGACGGGGAGAGGGACGTAGTACTGCAGCTGGGTTTCAAATGCCTTCACGTGTCCCACCATCTGCAGTTGCCTCCGATTATCGCCGGTGCTGTCGCTGTCGCTCGCATCATCATCACGCGAAGAATGATCAGTCGCATCATCATCACGCGAAGGATGATCCGTCGCATGATGGGTGCTACCGTGCCAAGTGTCGTCGATGGTACGACTACGGCCATGGAGGACGTCGGCCTGGAGAAGGCACGCGGGAGGGGTTGCATCGGACACGATTCGGAAAGGTTGGAAACAGACAGTCGGTGCTCTGGCGACAAGCGCGATCGGATGCGACGTGCTTAAAATCCACGCGACGCTGCGCGATGTGATGGTGATGGGGAGGGATAACCACACCTACTGAATCATCAAGCAGTTTCGTGGAAGCAGCACGTCTCGCGCATGTCCCAGCCACGAGGAAAACGAGGTGGAGAAAGAGCTGCGCATTCAAGCAGAGCAGACAACAGCGTACGCGGCCAGGTAATAACGCGAGACGCTTCCTGCTCGCCATTTGATTAAGGATAAGCATCTGGGTGGACTAGAATAAGGATAACTCCCTGAATTCCCACGTTGAGAGCTCATCGCTTCCGTTTCTTACTTATCTCTACGTATGAAAAGCGACAACGATGGGAGAAATCAGGACCAGAGTAGTTGACGATGAGGAGGGCCCTGGACGGAAAACCAGACGACATTCGTTGCCGAACGGATGCGATGGGGGGACGGTTCGGGACGGGACGAGACTGGGATGGGTGTGAACGGCAATGGCGAAAAAAGATGTCAGGGTAAGCTGTACTAATGAGGTGTCACCTCATCTAATCTGCCTGCGAACCAATCCCAAGGGCTGCTGACTCGCCCAATCAGCCTGATCGGCCTGCCGTCATTGGCCTGATCGGCCTGATCGGCCTGATCTGCCTGATCGGCCCTAATCGCAGAGCGAAACTGCCGAAACCGCCAGGTGGGGGAGATCGCAGGTGATTCCTGTACTCCATAAGAGAAGTCTCATAAAAAATATTGTATCCCTGCCACTCTAATAAACTACTACACTAGGCAAGTCTATTTCAGTTGCTCATGGTCATGTTACATAATAATTAGACAACATTCTAGGGCATTAACCTTTGGCATGATTGCAGTGTGCTCGTCCTAGCTAGCCCTATTCCAGCATTTTTGCACCAAATTGCTTTCAATGGGCAACTAAAAACGTTCTTCCAACAATAAAGCATGAACAATGTGACCTCATAGTGCAGGCTAGTAGTTTTTGGGAGGGTATGTAACAGCACATGTCCAGATAAGGTCCACGTCAGACTCGACAGTGACGGTTGGCGCAACAACAAGGTTTGATGTGCTGACAAGGCCGCCAAACCGCATTGGTGTGTTCGCTGGTGGGAAGGGGAGAAAACATGGGAGGGGGAAGAGGGAGATGAGGGCGGAAGCAACGACGGGTGAGAGAGAGGGAGGAGGAAAGAGAGGGTAAGGGAGAAAGTAGACTAGGTGTGAGATCGTACGCGACACCATTTACAAAAACCACTACAGCTGCAAAAACAGGTGCTCAACTCGAACCACTACGCACCCCTTCACACCACTCACATTATTTCCAAATCAGTCTGGTTGTCGTGGTCCCATGGAACAGCTCCCCCAGTGGAGTGAGATCAACCCGCAGTGCAACCCCTCCTGCTGCTACAGCTGCGACAACAGGTGCACAACTCAGACCACTACACACCCCTTCACACCACTCACATAGATTCCATCTCAGCCCAGTCGTCGTTGTTCCATGCGAAGGCTCGCCCACAGGGATCAACCCGCAGTGCGGCCCCTCCCACCGCGGGTGAGGCGTGATGACGTGGCGCCAGCCAGCTGGTAGCAGGAACAGCTGGCAGTCCTCTGACAGCAGCACGATGCTGACGTGGCGGAACCGGTGGAGCACGTTCACGTTCCCGAACTCGTGGTCCATGCGGCCGCCCAGCGACCCCACCACTATCACCCTCTGGTCCGGCCGAACCACCTTTGCTGGGAGGAGGGCTTGGGGCTGTGGTTGGTCCGGCCGAGGCAAAGCAGGAGGTTCAGGTTTGGGTTCAGGTTGGGAGAGGATTCTATTGTGTGGTTGTTGGGCAAGTCCCGAAAAGTGTGTTTCAGGTGCGGAATCAAGCGAAAGAGACGAAGATTCTGGGTATAGAGCAGCATTGTCTGTAGATCCCGTGTTGTTGGAGTTGGCAGTGGTGGAAGGGGTTTGGGTAGCAGCAGTGGATTCGGAGAGGGGAGGGGGAGAAGGTGTGGGAGGAGGGATGGCAGAGGGAGTGACGGAGCTGGAGTGGCCGGTGTCGAGCAGAATCCTGTTGATGCACTTGTGCAGGTCCGTGGTGTCCTGGTCCTTGCTCATATCCACTATCTCCGCGCCCTGTTAAGATGCAGGGCACGGGAGGGATGGGCAGAAAGAGGAAGAGCAGGGATGGAGGGAAGAGGAGGAGGAGGAGCAGGAAGAGGAATATAAGTGCATGCACTTGTGCAGGTCCGTGGTGTCCTGGTCCTTGCTCATATCCACTATCTCCGCACCCTGTTGGGACAAGAGAGGCACGGGAGGGATGGGGAGGAGGAGGAGAAGGAAAGGGGTGGGGGGAGGAGAAGAGGGAGGAGGGATCTAAGGGAATGCACTTGTGCGGGTCTGTGATGACCTGATCCTTGGGAATGAAATTCATCAGAAGGATGACAAAAGGGGCCGAACGAGGAAGAGGAGGAGGCGGTGGTGGAAGGGCAGGAAGACGGATATGAGATTGTGCAAATGTGAAGGTGCGTTTTGAGACGATTCGAAACAAGTGGTGGGGGAATGGCAGGAAGACGGATATGAGATTGTGCAAATGTGAAGGTGCGTTTTGAGACAACTCAAAACAAGTGGTGGGTGAAGGGCAAGAAGACGGATATGAGATTGTGCAAATGTGAAGGTGTGTATTGAGACGATTCAAAAGAACTTTCAAAACCCAGTTTGTTTTGAGACGACTCGAAACAAGTGGTGGGGGAAGGGCAGGAAGGGGGATAAGTACTTGTGCACTTGTGTGGGTGTGTGAGACCTTGCTCAATCCCACTTTCTCCCCCCTCCCCTCCCCTGGGAGACAAGGAGCAAAGAGGATGCTTTTTTTCGCTGGAGTCATCTACTAATGCAAAGGGCACCCTGTGGATGGACGATGCATGTCACAGGGTGCTCTTTGCATTGTCAGGGAAACAGCAGCATCGGCGAGAGAAGACGGGGAAACAAAAGGTTGCAGAGCAGAGGCGAATGGTTAGCAAAGAAAGAAGATACACGCACGAGTCGAGATTAGAGCATAGCGTAGCACCACAAAGGCAGGTGAGTCAAGTCAAACAAGCACAAATGCATGCAAGAAAGCCGTCAGAAAAGGTTAACCACCAGACACAGCCACTCCTGCTTGCTCCAACGCATCCAAGCTTACAGCAGGAGAAGCAAGAAAATGCGGCATGGCACTCCGAGATTGCACTGTGGCAGGCAAGCACTCACCAGCTGCTAGTGGAAGGCAAGCACTCACCAGCTGCTTGTGGAAGGCAAGCACTCACCAGCTGCTTGTGGAAGGCAAGCACTCACCAGCTGCTTGTGGAAGGCAAGCACTCACCAGCTGCTTGTGGAAGGCAAGCATTTCTGAGGATTCTAAAAGATGACTCAAACTGTCAGACATGTTCATGATGCTGCAGGGTGTTTTTGAGAAGCCTCAAAAACACCCTGCAGCGAGAATGGGCCACAGCACCTTCGAGAATGTGCTGCAGGACTCACGAGCTGCTTGTAGAAGGCGAGCACTCACGAGCTGCTTGTAGAAGGCGAGCACTTGGGGGCGCGCCGAGTCCAAATCGCCCTTGATTATGTGCGGCACGAACCTGAGGGTGGATGGCGGTGGGGGGCGAACCAGTGGGGGCGGGGAGGGAGGAGAGGGGTAGGTAGGAACAAACTTCTGTCGACTCTACTGTCTCAGTGGGCGAGCACTTGGGGGCGCGGTGCGCCAAGTCCAGATCGACCGCCCTTGATGATGTGCGGCACGAACCTGGGGGTGGACGGCGGTGGGGGGCAAATGGTGGGAGGGGGAACAAACTTACGAGGCGACTCTAGAACTTGCGTCTGTGGGCGAGCACTTGGGGGCGCGCAGAGTCCAGATCGCCCTTGATTATGCGCGGCACAAACCTGGGAGGGTTTGGGCAAGTGGGAAATGTGAGAAAATGGGGAGGCGGGGCAGGAGGAGGAGGAGGAGGAGGAGGAGGAGGAGGAGGAGGAGGAGGAGGAGGAGGAGGAGGAGGAGGAGGAGGAGGAGGAGGAGGAGGAGGAGGATATGTGCGGTGAAGTGAAGATGGAAGAAACAGATGGGGAGGGGGGAGAGAAGGACAGAAGGAGAGAAGGAGAGAAGGCATCAGGAGGGGGACACGGCAAGGACAGCATTGTCAGGGCAAGGGCGGAAGGAGTGGAGTATAGGGAGGGGGGGATGGGGTGGGTGGCATGGGGAGGGAGCATGGGGTGGTGTGGATGGGGAGGGGAGGGGCATGCGGTGGGAGGGATGGGAAGGGGGGGAAAGACTTTTGAGGCGCCTCAATAGGAAGGGGGGAAAGACTTTTGAGGCGCCTCAAAAGGAAGGGGGGAAAGACTTTTGAGGCGCCTCAAAAGGAAGGGGGGAAAGACTTTTGAGGCGCCTCAAAAGGAAAGGGGGAAAGACTTTTGAGGCGCCTCAAAAGGAAGGGGGGAAACACTTTTGAGGCGCCTCAAAAGGAAGGGGGGAAAGTCTTTTGAGGCGCCTCAAAAGGAAGGGGGGAAAGACTTTTGCGGCGCCTCAAAAGGAAGGGGGGAAAGACTTTTGAGGCGCCTCAAAAGGAAGGGGGGAAAGCACGGGGTGGGGAGGCTGCGGGGATGACCTGGAGCAAGCATGAAAGAGGAGGGGAGGAGGGGGAAGAAGGGGGGGGGATGGTGCGCACCTTCGTCTGACGTCATCAGGGTCCTCCCCCGGGAACATTCCTGGAAGCTCGTCGTACAGGCGGTTCACTCCGCCATCCGCGCACAGCCGCAGCGACCCCGCTGGTAGGGGGAGAGTGAAGCGGGGAGGAGGTAGATACGGGGAGGTCATGGGGAGAAACGAGGAGAAACGGGGGAGAAAGAGGAGTCGGAAGAGCAAGGGGAGATGGGGAAGGAGAGAGGGGCGTGGGCTGTCTGCCACGTGATAAAACTGTTGTTTTGAGACGTCTCAAAACAACACTTTTTATCACGTGGCGTGGGCTGTCTGCTCCGAGTTACGACCAGAAGCTGCGCTGATCGCGTGTGCTGCGAACAGCTCAGCTCGTCGCACAGCTCCCCGGCATTGGCGATGCGTCAACGAAAGCCCGCTTCTATTAGGTAACCCTGTTCGCCTAGAAAGGCGATATTTCGCTCCCGGGGAGAGCAGCGACGCGGCGCACCTTGCTGCCAGAGAATCGGCGTGAAAGCCGGGAGCTTGAAGTTCAAGATGACTAGAGACGTATTTGGTTGGGCTTTAATCTCCTCGCGCTTCCCGTCGACGATCGCTAGATCCGATTCATGGAGGACATAGTCGCTGACGTGGACAGCTTCTGGGAGCGAGCTCGAAAACTCGCCTAGAGCAGCCGCCGCCGCGGCACATCCGCTAGTGTCACGTCGCATGGCGGAGGGGCTTCGCGGGGAAGGCGCGCGGGGAAGCCGCCAGAGCGGGGTAGCGGAGTGTGCGACTGTGGCGGAAAGGCGTGGCTTTGGCGCTGCATACGCGGAATGCGCAGAGAACGGGACCCCGCGCGGTTGTGCGGAAGCGGTGATCTTGCGCGATGAATCACGCACGCTGGTGGTCCCGAGGCTGATCCTCGCGATTGTCGTAGTGCTGGTTACCACTTTCGTTCGGCAGTTGGTGGCTGTCTTGGAGGATGAGATAGCGATGCGGCGAAACCCGTCAGAGAGTGTGCGAAAAGTGGCGAGGTTGGAGCGGCGAGAGCAGAGGAATAGGCGAAGCATAGTGTAGGGGAAGGGACCCACCTAAAGCGTGTGGCCGGACTGTTGATGCCAGTGGCGATTGGAACAAAGTGGCGGCCAAGTGACGCCCCTTCGGGCCAAGTGATGCCCGTTCGGCTAAGTGGCGTTCAGGTAAGTGTACACCTGAGGGTGAAAAAGGAACTACTTATCTTTTATTACCTTCCGGCTCACTGACGCCTGACTTCCTGGCTGCCAAACCAATCCAGCCAGAAACAAAAATCACAGAAGCTGATATCATAGGTGGGTAGAATGCATCCTTCAGGTGGATTTAATATTATTTAACACTTATTCTGTGCGCTCACATTTTGAAATCACAATCTTGCTATGATTTTGTCCGTGCGTTCTGGTACATCTCATACCAAGCTGGAAAGCTACTTTCGAGTCTACAATATCAGGGATGCTGCTCTGAAAGGCTGCAAATGTAGGGTGTCGTACAGTACTATTGGACGACACCTGAATCACGACTCCATCAGATGGGCACTGCCTGAGCCCACCTGGGCGGACACATGAAAAGCTTGCTGAAGGGGTGCCTGCGTTGCATTCGAAAGATCTGGCGAAATTCTCGACAACACGACGCGAGACGACACATTGACACACGAGGCTGTGCGACCGCGATGCTGGCTTGACTGTTCACGTGCCGCGCAAATCGTACTGGTCATAAATTGTGAATCCAGCTGGGACATCGTGTTGATGTCTGCTTCTTCCACGGTCATTCGGTGGGGGTATAAATTTGCTGTTAACAAAAAGATGTATTTTTTGAAGCGTGCTGGTTTTGTTTTTCCCACAGACAGGAGAACTCTACCTAGTGGAATGACACCCTGCACGTAAGCACTAACAGCACTTTTCCAGTTCAGAATTCAATGGTGTGGTTTGTTTGTTCTCCCTTTTTAACAGCATCAGCAGTGTGGTAGATTTCAGTGGATATTCCACGCGGTTGGAGCACAATCGTGCCGAATTACAGCTGTGAATCAATCAGTCCAACAGTTGACCACTGAACTTCGCTGGCACTGTACTGAATTTATTGAGCCGATGCTGAGCCACACAGACCTCATCCCCCACGTTGCAACCTGGCTTGAACAGTTTGTTGAAGTGGTTACCAGCGCACATGGCCGATAACAATCGGTTAGTGTGTCACGAGTGCGACGGTTGCTTGCGACACTTCTTACCTCCAAGGCAGCTCGTTGAGGCCTTGAGCGAAGTTGAAGCGCCGCAAACGAAATGTGGTGACGCTGCATACTCTTGAGCACGCTGATGTCGCAGCTACACATCTTCGCCTAACATGCTCCCATCAACCCTTTTGTAGTTCCCATGAGTTCAACAACTGTTTCTACCTTTTTAGTTTGTAGGATACCTCACATTTCAAACATATCAGGACATGGCTAAAAATGTTAATCTCCAAACGTAAGAGATTCTGTGTTGCTGTTTTTAACCTGTCTGGGAGACGGAAAATAATTGTTGCTTCTGCAGTAAAAGAATCACGGGCAGAGATCATTTAGACTTGCTGGTGGGTGCACGTTTCTGGTTTGGGTCGCACAGATCGTTCTTGTATTTCCTCGATGCTTCGCTGTCATCATGACGTCCTGCTGCTTGATGGTTGATTTCGCCTCGCCACGGTGGGCGCCCTGGCTGCTTCAGGAGGAATCAGGCAGCTGTCCACGGTCGAATCGCATTTCCGTTTTCGTGCCCGTCAACGATTATCAAAAGAAAGGTTTCAAGCGTTGAACTGCATCTCCCCTGATGTGCCCTTAGCGAAATGGTCCTACCCGAAACGAGACGAGGCTGCCCACGTCCCTTTTTTGCGCGGCGACGTCTCCTGATTCGTTCAGTTTCCCGATGACCCAATCAGATGCTGCACTGCTGCAAGCAACTCTTCGCTGCCCTGCTCTACGGTTTTTCTTGCCCTTCCAGCCTCACCTGACCTGATGCGTCTGGCCCTGCTTCCTGCCTCTGACTTTGATCTGATTCCTGCGCCCCATACCGTGCCGTGTTATCATCAACGTGGAGACCCATCACTGGCAGAGCTTTTAGCAGCGTTGCAATACAGCCCAAAAGTGCTTTTGGACTTCACACTTCCGGATAGAGTCAGTTTCGCATTCCATTATTTTCCCATAGGTGCCTTGCCCCCTTTGAACAGCAAGCACATTCAGGAGTAAACTTCAGACGCTCTTTCGTATTCCAGCCTTTTACAAAAGCACTTTTCACGTTCCAGTTACAGCTAGCTTGCTAACCCAGCTTTTTGTCACAGGATCTAGGCCTTTACTCAAGTAGCGCCCTTTCTAATAATACTCGAGTCGTCCAAACACAATTAGTGATCTAGTCGCAGACGTAGGCGTCCCGAATTACGATGACGAGAACCCCGTGCTGCGAAAAGGCAGAGGTTCGAAAGGGGCCGTGGACGCGAGAAGAGGACGAGTTGCTCGTGAAAGCTATCAAGGAGCATGGCGAGGGGAACTGGAGCGCAATCCCCAAGAAAGCTGGTGAGCCGGCTGCGCTTGGGGTTCCTTTTGGCTTCCGATTTCACCCACATTCTCGTTCAATTCGCACGTTGAGATCGCGGCATGCGGCGTTTCCGCATTACGATACGCGCTCCCAAAACCATATCTCACAATCGTTCCGATTTCTGATCCGTGCGCTTGCGCTATCGCAGGGTTGATCCGTTGCGGGAAGAGTTGTCGCCTCCGATGGGCCAACTACCTCCGTCCCGACTTGAAACGCGGCGCGTTTTCGGCGGAGGAGGAGGCGCTGATCGTGCGGCTGCACAAGGAGATGGGCAATCGATGGGCCAAGATCGCCCTAGAGCTGCCCGGACGTACGGACAATGACATCAAGAACCACTGGAACACGAGAATAAAGAAGAAGCTGCGCGAGTCGGGGATCGACCCCGAGACGCACCTCCCGCTAGCCACGCGCTTGGCAGATGGTAAGCCGCGACCCGAGGCCTGTTTCTCTTTGCTAAATGATCGATCGGGATCAGAAACATGCTTTATTTATTTTAAAACCATCACACTTCCCTTTTAGTCGGTGCTGCGTTATTAATGCCGTCTTATCTCTTAATGCCGTCTTGCGTCACCAGGGATGGCTCTTCATGCAATCAAACGTCCACTGCCCGCAACAACTATGCCTATGGCATCGGCCTATCCGCTCCCGCCTTCGAAGAAACAGTGCCTCGAGCCTTCCGCAACCGCAGCAGTTCCCGCTTGCGCCATTTCCCCGCCGCACGCGCAAGCGCAAGCGCCGCTTTGCCCGCCAACTGCTTTCGCGGCCGAGATCGTCAGTACCGCTGATGAGGTGAAAGCGGATCTTGCTCTTCTTCAAGTTGAGAGCGCGTCTGCGCAAGCTCAGCGCGGAATGGGCTTCCGCAGCAGCAGCTGCAGCAGCAGTGACGAGGACGAGGAGGGTGATAGCGACGGTCCGAGCCTAGTCGAGCACGATGGCGAAACCGAAGCTGGCTCGCCGACAAGCGTAATCGTTTCGCAAATCGGCGCTCGTACTCGGGTAACGGCAACGGAAGTAGACGCGGATTTGGGTTTGTCCGTGCGTGCGGGAGGAATCAAGGTTGAAAAGAGTGGGGCAGATGACAAAAACGATTCGCTAGTTTCGGCATCGACGGTTCACATGACGGTTTCGCAGAACGCTCAAGTCTCGAACTCGCTTTCGCCAGCAGGAGCTGTCGCGAAGTCCCGTTCGTTCAAGGTTCCGCCTCCGACGCTTATCATTCCGTGTTCCGCTTCCGCGGACGAGGGAGAGGCTCGGGCGGAAGTTCCGTTCGCACCAGCGGTACCGGCGATTGGCGGAGCTGTTTTGGCGAGCCCCTTCATGCTCCGTAACTGGTAAGCGCCTTGTATAGCAAAGAAAATAATGCTAATTAATGCCTAGAAGCTATCCACACATTGGAAGCAAGCGTAAAGTGGTACACCCGAAACATAACAATATATTCAGTACAAGTGTGTATACCCAGCTCGAGTCATATACGCCCGTACACCTCAGTTGCGAGGCTTTTATGACTTGAACCATTTTGCACGACTAACAATTTCCTTGCTGTTTACCCCTCTCCCCCAATTCTCCTCTCAATGCAGTTTATGGGACAGCTCCGATCTGAACTGCCCTTGGGCAGATGACCTGGATATGGACACGTCAGCAGCCCTTCCGGTACTGCCCAGTCCGAAGTTCATCCCGCTCACTCCGTCCAGCACCGCCTTTGGAAGCTTCAGCTTCGGTACAAGCACACCCGGAAACAACACCAACTCGAGCAACTACAGTTACGGCTACAGTAGCAACAGCGGCAACAGCAGCAGCTATAACGCGAACCACCACAGCAGCAGCTCAGCAGCAGCCCATTTCAGTTTCCCCACTCACCCCACCCCACCTGCCTCAACCGCTGCAGCCGATCTCACCGCGTTCGACCATCTCCCTCAACCACTCAGCGACAGCCACCTGACGCTCCACTCCGTCATGGACGGCTCAGATTCGCAGCGGCTAGGAGGCGCGATGAGCAGATGCGAGGGTCTAGGATCCGCGGGAGTGGGCAGCGGCGCAGCAGCAGCAGGGGAACTGGTTCCCATGGCGCTGGTTTCCCCACCTCTCCCAGGCACCGTCCCCCTTTCCTCAGGCGCTCTAGATGGGCTCACACTAGAAATGGACGAAAGCATTCGCATGGGGTTGGGAAGGGAGGAGATGGGGGATGCTGTGAAGGCGGATCTAGGGGAAGACGTGGGGGAGGAGGACGTGGGGTTGGATGCGGCCATGTGCCTGTCTCCAGAGGAGTTTGACTCGTTTGACTTGGGTCTGCCGCCCGGCGTGTGCCCCTCCCCCATGCCTGCATTCACGGGCAGTATTTTCGCCCATGCTGCTGTTACCACCCCTGTTGCTGCTTCTGCCTCTGCCGCCCCTGCTGCCTCCCCTGCTTCTGCTGCCCCTGTTGCCGATTCAGGGATTCGCTGTGGCCAATAGGTGAGCAGAAGGAGAAGATGGGTGGCGAAGGCGAGAGTGGGCATGGAGACTACTGGGATGGAATGGACGGTGGAGAGGGGTAGGGAATGGTGAGTGGAGATTGGGTCCGAGAAGGGAGAAGGGAGGAAGGGGCCTATACCCTGGCTGGCAAGGCTGAAAACTGCTCTGGTTCCCTCGGTTTCGGTGCGGAACATGCTGGAGGGAAGCAGCGCCTTGCTCAAGATCATGTTGGTATCTTGTTCTCGTGTGTATAGACTAGTCACTAGTTATCAAAGGGTTGGGTGGTTAGAAGAGAAGAGTGCTAGTGATGGGTTTTGGAAAAATGTTTAGGTGGAAGGGATTGATACTCTGGGTGTAGGGATTAATTTATGGGTAGAAGGGTCAGAGGAGGGCAAGCACGAAAGTGGTATTCTGAGTAAAGCTACGGCCCAAATCTACTGGTGTGGCTGCAGCCTGGCCCTGGTGTACAGGAGGTGGAAGCTTCTCAAAAGGTCTGCCCAGGAATGAAATGAGGGTGGAAGGTACCATAGCATTTTTGTCTGCCGAACATAATATACTGAATGTTTTCGCCATTGACTGCTTCTGTGCAATTTTGGGCTTGAGCAACATCTGCATCACTTTCCCCCCTCACCTGAAGCTAGAGCTTGACCCACCCTCACCTCAGATCTGTTGGAAACAATAGTTCCTAAGCGCCTCTGTCGTGTCGAAACACTAAGGCACAAACGAAGCAGAGCATATCGAGGCACCAGCGAGTCAACCCTCGGAGGTTGAAGTAACCGCTGGAGGTTACGCGAAAGTCGAAGGTCAGCGACCTTTGACCTGACAAATGCAGCGCGACAGCAAGGACACACAACTGACTCGTTACAGAGCAGTTGCCCGAGTCGTCACTGTATCGAACCGCAACAGCAACAGTAAAGTAGTTATAACCGTGTCTCTTCATATTCTCTGTATTCATATATAATCTTGTATCTCTTTGCTTTAATCAATTCACTTTGCCCTCACATACTAGCGCAAGGCGGTTCACAAACTCTTTCTTAAGACGCTTCCGCTACTACATCAACTCTACCCAGAATTCACCTCTGCAAAGATCCTAAGGGCTTTTCCAGCCCAACATGGTATGAGAGCTATCAGGGGGAATTCGACTTATATACCAACACTGTCAATCAGCATGGCTACACAAAAGGGAAGGAGCAACTCCAACGGATCCCAGGGCACTACTCCTACTCCACCTCCTGCCTCTGGCCTACAGACAGAGGAGGGCACGGCAACAAGACCCAGAGCAACATCTACTGAGACTCCCGCAAATCATCCTGCAGACTTCGACCAGAGCATGATGGAGAAGTTCTTCTCCTTCATGTCCTTCTACGAGCAACACCAGCAATCGGCACCTGCGCAATCACACAACAGCAACAACAACGGAGCAACACCCATGAGTCTCGACGGCTCATCGTATGCACGAGGAAATCAGCAACAGCAGCCTACCTTTGCTCCGTACGAGCACGGATCCATCAGCTTCAGGCCACACCCACAGCCCTCACCTGGACAAGAAAAACAACTGGACGCACTACAAGTTCAGTCGCAGTTCGCACATGTTCTGAAGATGCAGACGTCAAGACCTTTCGATGGAAAGGATTTCTTCACCTGGTCGTTCGAGTTTGAGCTGATGATGGAAGGCGCGCAGATACTCGGGTTCTTTGACGGGTCCCTGCCATACCCAACAAACGGCACACAGTACGAGAAGCAGCAGTACACCTATCAGTCAATGATGGCGTACACGATCCTACTGAGAAATATCACCCCGACTCAACAGCAGAACATAAGGACTTACCGAGGTTACGGTAACTCCGCGGAGCTCGCGTACAACCACCTGAAGAGCCTGTATCAAGCAACAGACAGTGTAAGTCAAAGTCGGTTAATGGCACAACTGACAACGATTGAAATGAAACCAGGGGAGAAAGGAATGGCGTATATCAGTCGATGTCGCGAATTGCGCGACAAGCTTCTTCGATGCGGAGGGTCGATTTCTGAAGACGCCTTCGTGACAGTCATCATCGGCGGCCTCGGTCCTCAATGGCGCCCCACAAAAGCCATCCTCCGAGCTCACGGAAGAATCTCCGAAGCAGCGCTCTGTGCCGAAATCCATGCCGAGCAGCAAGACATGGACCTGCAAGAAGAACGACACAGAAAGAAGACTTCAGCACCAGAGTTCGCGTTCCACACCCAGCGACGCTACAACAACAACAACAACCGGCAGCAACAACTGAAGCCAGTACCTCCGTTCTGCCACATCTGCAAAACTTCAGGACACCCGCGCACGCACTGCCCGAATCGTCAACAATCAACAACCCCGCAGCGGCAACTTCGGCCTTCAAACAGCCAAGTCGTCTCAACGCAGACAAATCCTACGACTCAGATTCAAGCTTCAAAGACTTCAACAGGACAACCTGCACAAGAAGCAAGAAACATCGTCAGTTGCATGACAAAGATAACAGACTCCTACATCACCGAGTCACCACCACACTACTAACCGGAAGAACAACTCGACGAAACCACACCCCGCCGCGAGTCACTTCAGCCGAATCCGACATACGCCGCCATCGCTCAAAGCGAACCATCCGAAAGGGACACTTGGTTCTTGGACAGTTGCTGCGGACAGCACATGTGTTCCTCAGGACGCTTCGTTCAACGAGAACACCAGCTTCAACGCGAAGTCGTCATTACAGTCGCCAACAACCAAAACCTGCGAACACGACGACAAGGCGTAGTTCAACTTCAGTCAAGGGAAACAAACGCCGTACTACAGATGTCAAAGGTACTAATCACGGAGGGAATCGGCTACAACTTACTGAGCGTCAGCCGGCTGATGGCGAAGGGGATTCATCTCGAAGCAGATAGTACCACTCAACAATTCAAGCTTTATCACGGGAGAGGAGGACTCTACATCGGCAGGGCGGTCCTCAAGAACAACGTCTTCGTTCTTGATTTCGTCCCTGACCTTGGCACTGCCGACAGCGACGCCATCGTCAACTTCACCGACTGGACACACCCTCCGGACCTTGATCCAGACTTCAGTCCAGAAGGCTTCTGGTACTCACACACCATCCCTGAAGCAGAAAGAACAAGGGCGTTAGCAACAATCCAGACAACATCGGCAGCAGCAGAGACAACATCGGCAGCAGCAGAGACAACATCGGCAGCAGCAGAACCATCAACGGCAGCAGCAGGAATGTCAACACCAGTTGCTGGTCCTTCAACGACACCACTCCTCATCGACGACACACCACCAACACCAGCGCAACAACTGCACCCAGCACCACGAGAAGTTCATCGCAGCACCAACTTCACCGCCAGCTTCTACTCCAACTCCGACATGTACCGACGATCACCCGGACATCGCGCCAACGAAAGCACCTGGCACGCACGGTTGGGACACCCAAGCAACACAATATTAAACAATACAATAAGAACAGGAGTACTTGACAAGGACTCGCTCCTACTAACCGACGGACGAGAACTTCAACGAGCGCGAGGAACGTGCTTCACCTGCCCTGAAGGCGACTTACCGCATCGACCATTCGCGTCACATCACAACCAAAGCGCTCCCGCGTACGCACCAGTCGAGAAGGTGTATAGTGATATCCTGTTCAATCGGGAACCAGGACAAGTCACATACAACTACACGATCACCTTCATCGACGCCGCCACCCGTTACGTCTGGCACCTAAACCTACCCAGCCGCGACATGGCATTCGCAGCCTTCGTTGCCTGGCTACCAGTAGCAGAGAGAGAGAGTCGGGCGTACAACTGAAAAGCTTCCAGTCAGACGGAGGAGGAGAATACACCTCTCAGCGGTTCGAGCAGTACCTGGCGGAAAGGGGAATCAAGCAGCTCATCTCCCTTCCCTACGCCCATCAGCAGCAAGGAGTAGCAGAGAGAATGAACAGGACCCTGCAGAACACCATGCGCAAACTGCTACGTGGCATGCGGCTACCCAACCACCAATGGCCTGCAGCAATGGACCACGCTGTCATGCTGCACAATTTGCTGTCGCCGTCATCGCTTCCGAACAACGCATCACCGCATCTGCTATGGACAGGGAAACAGGGCAGCACAAAAATGTTACGAGTTTTCGGGTGCATGGTATAGTACCGACCCCCAGCAGCACGAGCGGGCCGATTTTCTCAACGAGCATAGTGGGGACTACACCTAGGAATCGAAAAGAACTACAACGCGTGGAAAATCTTCGACGTCCACTCAAAGGAAACAGTAGCAGCACGTGACGTAATTTTTTATGAACGACTCACGCTCCAGACGTACCTTGCCAACTTGCAAGAAGACGAAGTCCCCACAGGTGGCCTTCGTGGTGACTGAGCCTTCGCCTCAGCAGCGGACGAAGCAGACTGGGACGAGCAGAATGTGGACAACGCATCAGAAGAAGCCGGACCTCTTCCGTTCTGCTCCGTCGATGTTCCCATGGACGAAGACAACCCTCGCGAAAGTGCCAACGCCGAAACCTTCTACCACTTCGCCGACAACGGTTACGTAACACCTGCGACAGTCAACACCAACGAAGCAGAACGAGTAGGACCGAATTTCATACCTGATACAGAAACGGGAGACGAAGCAGCTTATCCCGAGGATGTAAATCTTCCCCGCTACTCACAGAGTGGACTGCAGATCCTCGGGCTCGTCACCGCAGTCCACGGCTCCATCGCTCCTAAAGAGCCTGCGACGGTTCAGCAGACTCTGGGGGGGGAACATAAAGAAAAATGGCACAAAGCCATGGACAAGGAGCTGAAGGCACTGGAGGAACGCAACACGTGGAAGGTGGTTCCTATCGGTGTGGCACGGAACAAGACAGTACTCACCGGAAAATGGGTCTTCCGTGTGAAGACAAAGGCCGATGGCACCATCGACAAATTCAAAGCATGCTGGGTCGTTCGTGGCTTCGACCAAGAGCACGGCCGCGACTTCACCGAAACATTCGCTCCAGTCAGCCGACACACCTTGCTACGCATCCTTCTCGCGATCGCCGCCATGAAGAAGAAGAAGCTAAGGCAAATCGACGTCGCTAATGCATTCCTCTACGCACCCGTCGACGTCGAGATCTTCGTCGAGCTACCACACGGCTCCAGCACGGACTCGAAACACGTCTGTCAACTACTCAAGTCACTCTACGGCATCAAGCAAGCCCCGCGACTATGGCAACAATACCTACACGCTCGCCTCATTCGCATCGGCTTCAAGCAGCTACCGCACGACCAGGGCATGTATCGGCTCTCGAAGGGTACCGACTACGTCCTGCTAATCGTCTACGTAGACGACCTACTCTACATTGGCTCAACCGAAGGAATTACAACCTGGTTCGAAGGGGAGTTACAACAAGACCTCACACTCACAGTCTCACCTACCGTCACACAGTACCTCGGCCTCAACATCCGAGAAGAAGAAGACGCTATCTACCTCAGCGCCGCGAAATACGCCGACACGATCGCCAAGCGTTTCGCACTCACACCAACAGCTATCTCCACACCGTACCGCTACACGACAGTAAGCAACAAGGAAGGCTCCGCTCTACTCAAGCCCGCCGGCATCCGCGACTACCAGAGAAAGCTGGGCTGCCTTCTCTTCGCAGCTGTCACCTGCCGCCCAGATCTATCCTACTCTGCAAGCCAGCTCGCCACCTACCTCAAGAGGCCTGAAGCGGAACATCTGGCGGAGCTCGACCGCGCTCTTCACTACCTTGTCAGTACCCCGACGGTCGGACGGACTTATCATAAGAACACAACTACAACGCCTAAGCTAATCGGCTACGTCGACGCAGATCACGCAGGCGACTCCGACAACAGGCGATCACGCACCGGCTACATGTACCGTCTCGAGCCTATCGGGCCTATCTCCTGGCAATTGAGCAAGCAGGAACTAATTGCTCTCTCGTCAGCTGAAGCAGAATATATTGCACTCTGCTCAGCCACCAAGGAAGGACTCTATCTTCGCGAGCTACTGGAAGAAGCGAAGTTAGCCGAGTTACCCAACTTCACCCTGTTCTGCGACAACCAGTCGGCAATTCGCATCGCCAACAAGAACGGCTTCGCGAACAGAACGAAACACATCGCCCTACGATATTTCTTCGTGAAGGACGAGATCGAGAAAGGAAGGCTTGAGCTGTCATACTGCCCCACGTCCGAGATGGCAGCTGATTACCTGACCAAGAAGCTCGGAAAACAGAAGTTCGAATATTGCATGCTGCTGACTGGACAGAGCCACGTCAGCGACACTCCAGAAGCGAAGGGGAGTGTTGGAAACAATAGTTCCTAAGCGCCTCTGTCGTGTCGAAACACTAAGGCACAAACGAAGCAGAGCATATCGAGGCACCAGCGAGTCAACCCTCGGAGGTTGAAGTAACCGCTGGAGGTTACGCGAAAGTCGAAGGTCAGCGACCTTTGACCTGACAAATGCAGCGCGACAGCAAGGACACACAACTGACTCGTTACAGAGCAGTTGCCCGAGTCGTCACTGTATCGAACCGCAACAGCAACAGTAAAGTAGTTATAACCGTGTCTCTTCATATTCTCTGTATTCATATATAATCTTGTATCTCTTTGCTTTAATCAATTCACTTTGCCCTCACATACTAGCGCAAGGTGGTTCACAAACTCTTTCTTAAGACGCTTCCGCTACTACATCAACTCTACCCAGAATTCACCTCTGCAAAGATCCTAAGGGCTTTTTCAGCCCAACAAGATCAGCAGCACTGCTGCTTGCATAAGCCCACCCACTGCTACCGTATACCGGTAGCAGCTAATTATGCCATGTACCGTAATCCCCCGCATACTACACCCCCCAAAATAGAACACCCAAGGGTGTTCAATTGTGATGGGTGTACTAAAAAATACCCTAGTTAGAACACCCCCCATTTTTTCTGAAATTTTGAGTACACCCCCCATGACAATTTCATCGGTTTTTGTAACGAAATCTTAGTTTTAAAGGAGATTTCAGATCAAGAAGCACGCGCGACCCTTGGAGACAATCGCGGGTGGTGATGCATGCAGCACCCCGCATACGGTAGTACACCCTAGGGTGTACTGATAAACACCCTAGGCTGGCCCCAATTCGTCACTGCGCGATTGGTGTTGAGCCCTCCTGGTGTCAGAATGACGTGGCACCAAACCCACGCGCAGTGCGAAAGCTGTTTCAGCTGGTCTCGATAGAGTTCATTGAGCAGAATACAAAATACATATAATTCAAAAGAATTATGTATGCCATTATATAGCACCCTTGGGTGCAGGCTTACACCCCCCCCATAATTGAACACCCCCCTAAAGGGGGGTATTTATCAGTACACCCTAGGGTGTACTACCGTATGCGGGGTGCTGCATGCATCACCACCGCGATTGTCTCCAAGGGTCGCGCGTGCTTCTTGATCTGAAATCTCCTTTAAAACTCAGATTTCGATACAAAAACCGATGAAATTGTCATGGGGGGTGTACTCAAAATTTCAGAAAAAATGGGGGGTGTTCTAACTGGGGTATTTTTTAGTACACCCAGCGCAATTGAACACCCTTGGGTGTTCTATTTTGGGGGGTGTACTATGTGGGGGATTACGGTAAGAACTCTGTAACACTTGCAAAGTGTGTAGAAACCACCCTTGGACCATTATACCTTTGAATTAGGGCGACCTCGGTGGTGATGCATGCAGCACCCCCACTTGCCACATGAGGGATGCAGCAAAGCTGCCACTGCTAGCAACATCCCTCCGTGCTGGCAGCATCTAATGATGCTACCAGCGTCGTTTTGCTGCCAGCAGCATGAGGGCTGTCCTCTACGAGGAGATTCCTCGTAGAGGAGCGGCTCAGCACCTTTGGAAGGGGCATTGTGGCTGGGGGGGTAGTCGGGCTTGAGCTTCATTTGGTGCTCATGGAGGTTGAGATCTCAACTCAACCTTTGCTCTCGGCATGCTTACCGTAACCATGCGCAGTAAAGTCCCCACAGGCACATCCTCACCTCACCCTCACGTGCATGTGAATAACTACGGGCGAATTAACTCGCCCGGTGATGACATCCATGTAGCCATGGCGAAGAATACGCGCAAGGCGGGAAGATCTACAGCCGCCTCCCATGCGAGCTGTGATGGGGACGACGGCGACGAAGGACACGGCGGCGATGACGGTGACGGAGAACATGGCGACGATGACGGCGACGGAGAACACGGCGACGACAGCGACGAGGATTGGCCGGAGAATGGCCACGACGATAGCGCCACGGGGGATGAAGTAGCCCCTGCCGACATCGATGAGGACGAATGGTGGAATCAGTCGGTTGGGAGCGAGGATGAAGTGGAAGAATGGCGGGCTGCTGATTCGGACAACGATGAGGGTGTCAATGCTGATGGCGGGCAAGCGGAGGCAGCTGCAGGCGCAACGGGAGCGACGGGCGATGACGGTGCGGAGGCTAACGACGAGGCGGACGCGAAAGCGAGGAGGATGACGGTGGAGGCGGAGGCGGAAGCGGATGCCGATGCTGTTGCGCCTGCGGATGTGGTCGCAATTGCGGATGCGGATGCTGCGGAGGGAGGTGCCGATGACGACCCGTGGAGCATCACGCGTGATGACGATGTCCCGCTTCTGAAGCGGAGGCTGCGTCATCACTTACAGTCCAAGCCGAAGCGTGCCCGCGTAGTGCTCTCTGATGACGACAGTCCGGGGGAGGAGCTTCCACTGCGCATCTCTGCTGCAGACAAGGGGAAATCCAAGGTCGTGGATGCCCCTGCTAAGGCCACCGTTCGTCGCCGCCCAAGCACCAAGAAGCGAAAGAACGACGGCAACCCCGGATCCAGCACGGGTGCTGCTAAGAAAAAGAAGAAGGGGCGAAACAAGGACGACATCCTCGTCAACGAGGCGCTCGGCAGCGACGATGACTACGCGGAGGCGGCAGGCCCGATTCCTTTATTCCCTGAGAAGACGAAGCCGAAGGACCCCACCCTCCATAATCCCAATTCCCGTCCAACTCCCCCTCGCAGCAAGGACAGTAAGAAGAGGCGCCGCGGATGGACCGTACGTGAGAAGCTCAAGTGGGCTCGCCGCTACCAGGAGTCTACCGCATCTATCGCCTGCATCAGACGCTGGAGTGCGGAGGCTGCTGCGGGCGTTTACAAAGGAGCGGCTAACTGCCGCAAGCGGATGCACGGGGGGGGGGGCGCCATGCACACTACCTCGACATTGAGGCGGCGTTGTACCGATACGTCTGCCTGCAGCGCGCTAATGGGGTGGCCATCTCGGTGAAGGACACCCAGAAGTGGAGAAGCGAGTGGATGGAGAAACACCACCCTGGCAAGAACTGGAACGCGAGCTCTCACTGGAGCCAGCGTTTCCGTGACCGCTGGAACCTGGTCATGCGTGTGAAGACCAAGGTCGGCCAACGGTTATCGGCTGGTGAGTGTTAACTGCCTTGAATTCCTTGCCCCTTGCTTGACTGCATGTTCTTGCACTTTGTTTCTAACCATCCCGTCCTGCCATGGCGTGTGTTCCCTTTGCAGAGTGCGCTAAGGACTGCGAGTCGTTCTGGAAGTTCGTGCGCATCAATCGTGCGCGGCACAACATCGACCTGGCCCGCAACATCAACGCGGACCAGACGCCGCTCTTTGTTGAGATGTCGACCGAGAGGACGATCGAGCACCGTGGCGCGCGCTCGGTCCCAATCCGCACTGCAGTATACGAGAATCCCAACCCTAAAACGCATCTCACAGTGATGCTTGCGTGCACCGCATCCGGGGAGAAGCTGCGCCCTTGGGTTTGGTTCAAGCTCAAGAACGTGCCCAAATGCGAGATTCCGGAAGGTAAGCTCAAGGAATTCAGGACCGTAAGCCTGGTGAGCCTGCCCTCCTCGACTGACGCCCGTCTATCCCCTATGTGCCTGGCAGGAATCGTGTGCCAAGCACAGGACAACGGGTGGATGGACGAGAGCGCTGTGCAGACCTGACTGACCAAGGAGGTGCTGCCCCATTTGAACCCCCAGCGCGGCCAGAACGCGAGGCGTGCGATGTTGGTGTTGGACTCCTACCGCGGCCACATCACCCAGACCATACTCCAATCTTACCGCACGCACAGCATCACCCCTGCAGTGACCCCAGCGGGTTGCATGAGCCAGATTCAACCCCTTGACTTCAGCATCAACCGGTGCTTCAAGGCTGGTGTGCGAGCGCGCTACGCCAGGTGGTTCATGCGTGAAGGGATTCACCTGAAGATGAAGAAGGGTGAGTAGCCATGTGAATTCAACTTCTGCTCTGTTTTCTTTCCATGTCTCTAACGGCTTGCTACCCATGCCTCTGTCCCACACGCAGGAAACCTGCGGAGGCCTCCGCACCATGTGGTGCTGCAGTGGATCACAGAGGCGTGAGATCAAGTCCCCAAGCAGGTCATCATTGACGCGTTCCGCCACTACGGGATTTCAAGCAAGCTAGACGGGACGGAGAAACACATGGTGATGTCTCACCTGCACGCTAGGAGCACTGTCAAAATCTCCGAGGACATGAGCCTTGGGGGAACCACGGGCGACAATACGCGCCTGATTGGGCAGGCGCCAGAGGAGGAGCAGGAGGAGGAGATGCAGGCGGAGGGCGAGAGGGAGGTGGCCATGGCAACCGGCCTGGAGGTTCTGTACCAGGAGACCCCCAACTACCGCGGAGCGGCGGCTGAGGCTGACCGCATGATCGAGCCTAGGGAGACGGCCAGGCATGCCTGGCCAGTGCCAGACTTGGGTGTTGACCCTTCTGTTAGTGCAGCGGAAGAGGCCGTGACTGAGGAGGGCTAGGTAGAAGTAAAAATTCATAGATGTATATGCATGTACCCCCTAAAGGAACTAGTGATCGTTTAGAAGAAACCCTATGTTTATAAGAAAACCCCTAAACCCCTGTTCTGGTGATAAGACATATATGTCTTATCTCGTACACACAAATAGGTGTCTTATAATGAGGCTGGCCTGTTTATAAGAGACACCCGGATAATAGACAACCCCTGTCTACTATTCAACAATGTCTACTATCCGGGCGATGACGGTACATTTTATTATGACATAGGCATATAGTTTGACACACCCCCATAGGCAAAGTGGAGGAGAACAAGGGGTCACAAGACCTGTCAAGACAAGCAAAGCAAGCTCGGGGTGGATCACAACGTCACCACACACGCCGAGCACAAGCAGAGGGCCACAAGACCAGTTCACATGCAAAGGTATATATGCAACAACAATAGTACAGTGAACACTACCTGGTAAGAGTAAGCATGCAGGTATATATATGTAGATCACAGTACAAGCAAAACCTACAGCAAGTGAGGAAACGTGGGCACAAGACCCAACAAAGTGCAGAAACGCTAATGATCACCAGACGGAAGTGCCTTGGTGAATATATCAGCAGTGTTGGCCCGAGTGGACACGTGAGCAAGACGAAGCTGACCACGCTGCTGCAACTCTCGAGCTAGGAAGTAACGCAGAGTGATGTGTTTCGTTCTGTGCTCCAGTCTGTACTCCTGACACAAGGAAATAGCGGCCTTGTTGTCGACGTACAGCACTGGAGGAGAACGAGGCCGCTCTCCCAGGTCGGTCAGCAGGTAGGTAACATGTAAAAATTTTAAAGTTAAATCTCTAAAAATTTGAAGATTGTGCTTCGACTAAAAGAGGAGTTTGCTGTAAAGGAGAAAAACTCCTTTTCATTGCGGCAGGTCCTTCATAGCTGTCACCTAGTCTCATTTGCATTTCCAGATCTCCAATATTGCTTCCCTCCCACCCAATCCCTTTTCTTATAGTTACATACACTTCATGACACGGTATCCTATTTGAATACTCATTGTCATTGCTCATTTGAGTGTGCTGTACAAATGGAATTTGTAATGCTATGACGACAGCACTGCACACTCCTCGGAGAGTCGTGTCACAATTCCTGTGCAGCCATGGCTGTGGCGTAGATCTCAGCCTCACAATGGGAGCTGAGAACTGAAGACGAGCGTGTAGAACGCCAAGAAACTGAACCAGAGCCAAGGCTGAAGGTGTAACCCTGTGGCGACCGCTGCGCAGCGTGGTCGTCAACCCAAGAAGTGTCTGAGTGCCCAGTGAGGACAACATCGCTCCGTCCTCCAAGCACGAGCCCCGTGCCCGATGTACTGCACAAGTAGCGTAGTACCCTCTTAGCAGCATCCATGTGCACCTTTCGGTGCCGACCAGGAGCCACGTAGCGAGCGAGAAGGCCAAGAGGGTACGCAAGGTCAGGACGAGTGCAGGTCATCAGGTACATGAGGCAGCTCATTAGCTCTGGGTAACGGCCACTCGGCTCTACGGACTCGTCCGAAGGTGGAGCTAAAAGCGAGTGACCTGTAGCCAGAGGAGTGGCCTGTGCCGAGGACCAGGTGAAGCCAAAGCGCTGAAGGACTTGCTACACCATGTGTGACTGAGTCAGTGTGATGGTGCGGCGTGCTCTTTCCCGGGTGATCTGCAAGCCAAGGTAACTGCGCAGCTCACCCAGGTCTGTGCACGTGTGACTCTTCTGCAACTCCGACTTCACCAGAGCGAGAGCCTCAGTGTCAGTAGTGGCAAAGACCAAGTCGTTGACGTACACGAGGATGTAGAAACATCGACGGGTCAGCAGTCGACGGAGCAAACCCAAGAGCCGCAAGTGTCGTCCTTAGTGTGTCGTGCCATTCACGCGGCGCCTGGCGGAGACCCTAGACCGGCCGCCGGAGGCTCCACTGGGTACCAGGAGGGAACGACCCAGTGAAGCCAGGCGGGCGGCGCAGCCAGATCTCCTCGTGCAGGCTGCCCTGTAAGAAAGCTGTGCTGAAGTCAAGAGAGTGAAGCTCGTAGTCACGCTGAGCGGCAACGTGCAGCAACACCTGAAGAGTGGTCATCTTCGGGGTGGGGGAGAAGGTCTGGAAGAAGTCAACTCCCTCTCGCTGACTGAAGCCTTGAGCAACATAACGAGCCTTGAAGACAGGCGGAGAACCTGGCGGCCGCTTCACCCTGAAAATCCACATGTCATCGACGATGTTCCCCCAGGAGGGGGAACCTCGTCAACGTAAGTGCCTGTGGACTTCCAAGATGCCATCTCTGCGTCCATAGATGTCTGCCACTAAGAGGAGTACTCACCCGCGATCGCCTCAGCGTAAGAGCGCGGGGTCGGGATGTCTGCAGCATCCGGGTCTCCCTCAGGGGCAAGCAGCATGGCCACGAGATGAGGTGCAGCGGCTACAAGACACTCAAGGTCCTCCTGTCTGTCCTCAAGGACGTCCGTGCCAAGAGCACACTCACCCCCGACGGACGGAGGACAGACAGACTCAGACTCAGCAACAAGACTAGCGGCGTTGTCTAGACGACAAGCAGCAGCAAAGTCAACAAGCTCAGCGACGAAAGCAGACGCAGCAGCAGACTCAAACGACGGGTCAGTGACAACAGTGGCTAGCAGACGCGTGACAGTAGGGTGCTCAGCACGAAACTGGTCAGAGTCAGGGTCAGCAGTGACAGGCAGAGAAGACATAGGAGGAGACGGCAGAGGAACACGCTGCGGAGCAGAGAACGGATGCAGACCCATGAGGTGTGCGCCGGGGACAACCGGCGGACGCGGACGAGGAACACGACGACCGGTGCGGACAGGCAAGACAGGACGCGACGCAGGCTCACGACGCTCTGGAAGACCTCTTGGCTGCTCAGTGTAAGAGAAGAAGCAGGTAGCAGTGAGCCTGGGTGTAATGGAAGACCAGTAGACGACGAGAGGCTAAGAACCTGTCGAAGCACGGAGTCAGGCGGCGGCAGAGACGACGGAGACGACGGAGTAAAGAACAATCGTGGTTGCGCAGCGCCACTAGCAACAGCAGCTCCAGCACCACCACCAGCTCCAGCACCTCCAACAGCTCCAGAACCTCCAGCTCCTGCTCCTCTAGCGCCAGCACCAGCAGCTCCAGAACCTCCAGCGCCAGCACCTCCAGTACCAGCGTCACCAGCAGCCCCAGAACCTCCAGCTCCAGCACCTCCAGCCCTAGGGTCTCCAGCAATGGCACCCCCAGACTCAGCACCGCCAGCCCCAGCAGCTCCAGTACCTCCAGTATGAGCACCTCCGGAACCAGCGACTCCAGCACCTCCTGTAGACAAAGTACCAGCACCACTCCCAGCTGCATAGCCCCGAGCTCCAGCAGCGTTACCCTGACGGCTAGCGTACCACTCGTGCAGCTGCTGAGGGGAGAGAGGCGCACACCAGTAGTCTCAGTACCCTCAGCTGCCGCACCCGCAGACTCAGCACCCCCAAGCTCCTACGCAGCACTCCCAGGCGTAGTACCTCCAGCCTCCTCACGCTCAGGCTCAGCACCTCCTGGCTCCTCACGCTTAAGCTCAGCACCCCCAGGCTCCTCACGCTCAGGCTCCGCACCCCCAGGCTCAGCACCCCCAGAGACAACAACCCGAGCAGGACCACCCCCAGTAGGACCTCAGTCACCAGTGACCTCAACAGGCGCAGGCACGGGAGGGTCTACCTGAGAAACACCTGAAGGAGCAGGAGCTGGCGCGGGGAGGGGGTCTACCTGGGGAGGACCTGGAGCGAGAAAGAGCGGCGGGGGGGGGGCGAGGGGCAGTGCGGTAAGGAAAGATACGGTAAAAGGGGACTGACTCGTCAAAGGTGACGTCCTGAGACGGAAAGACACGGTGCGAGGCGGGGTCGTAAAACTGTCAGCCAGGCTCGTCAGGGACAAAGTCAAGGAAGACGCAGGGAACGGCGCGAGGGGAGAGTTTGTCCGCAGTGGTATCGCGGACAATGGCACGGGCACCCCAGACTCGGAAACGCGACGCATCGCCAACCTCCCCCGTCGAGCGCAGTGTGGGCGAAGTCTCCGGCACGGAGACACGGGGCCAGAGGTTGAGCTGATGTGCGGCGTACCGGACCGCAAACGGCCACAAAAAATGGGGGGGCAGCCGCATGGATCATGGAGGTACGAGCGACCTCCATGACTAAGCCAATGCGGCGCTCAGCAACCCCATTCTACTGCAGAGAGGCCGGAAGTGTGAACGTCTGGCGGATGCCGTGCTCCTCAGAGTAGGCTCGCAAGAGGTCGGAGGTAAACTCACCACCTCTGTCGGAGTGCAGACGCAGGACAGGAAAGTCCGAGTGGAACCGCTCGTGGAGCTAGAGACGAACAGTGCGGATCCAAGGGATCAAAACATCAGGGACCTCCCCCTTGCGCTGCAAGGGGAAGACCGTGGTGTAACGCATGTAGTCGTCGACAACCAGCAGGAAGTACTGCTCGTGGCCCTGTCCACGGACGCGGGCTGGGCCCCACACATCCAGGTGGAGAGTCTGCAGTGGAGCCTCTGTGGGAGGGAACGAGGAGGAGTGAGGAGCGGCGCGCTGCCGCCCCTCAACGCAAGGAATGCAGAGCGGCGCAGGAGAGGGAGGGGGGGAGGGCAGATACCGAGGAAGACCAGAGACCAGGCGGCGAGAGTGCATGCCACGAAGGCGAGGCAGGGAGGGGTGACCAAGGCGGTGGTGCCACAAGAGATTCTGGTGCGACAGGCTGCGACACTCACACTGGGTAGCTACCTGAGCAGACGTGTACAACTGAGGAGACAAACGGGTGGAGCGCGACGCAGTGGTGAGGGTGTACAGACTGGACCCAGGCACACGTGTGAACGTGGCCAGGTGACGGCCGGTCCGGGAGCACGAGCAGATCACCACACGCTGTCCTCCAGGAGTAAAGGTGTCAACCCAGTGATCGTGAAGGACGGCGTTGCTCACCTAATTTGGGAAGAGAAGGAGGGGAGGTGGAGACCAGACAGCTCACCAGACGGGACCGCCGGACACGGAAGCACAGTGGAAGACCGTGCAAGCACTGGGCCCCCAGAGGGGTTAGCCAGTGAGAAAGGTACAGGGGCTAGGAGGGGAGTGACTGTGGTGCTGTCGCGAAAGAAACAACGGGAAGCGCCAGAGTCAAGTGTAAAGAAGTGCAAGGCCTGGGCGGACGCAGTACCAGGGAGAGCAGACTCACTAGCACCTAGAGCTGCATGCGCTATACCTGGGGCTATACCGGGGTCAGGCGGCACACACCAGTAGCAGTCACCCTCAGCACTAACAGTCAATGCATACATGGAAGAAAGAATAGCATCATAGTAAGGATCTGCCCAGTTGGGGAACTCAGTAGCATCAGGAAACCTTACGCGCCAGGCGTCGCCAAGTCGAGCGAAGCAGCGGTACTCAGTGTGAAAGCCGGTGCACTGGCGACCAGCACGGGGACCTGCGCGAATGATATAGGGGCAGCGACTAGGACCCCCAGACGCCCCACGCCCGGCATACCAGTGAAGAAGCTGCTGGGAAGTGGGGGTCTGGCGCTGACGCTGCGGCTGCTGCTGCTGTTGCCCCTGGCCACCACTGGTGTCACCAAAGCCCCCACCATGGCCGCCACCACCACTTCCCCCTCCGCCACCACCGCCGCCGCCACCGCCACTGCTCCCGGCACCACCACCGCCCCCACCACCACCTCCACCCCCACGACCACCCCCACCACCTCCACCTCCCCCGCCGCCTCCACCACCGCACCCTCCACCGCCACGTCCGCCACCCCTGCCACCCCTGCCTCCCCTGGAGCCGCTGCGCTTCCCACTAGGAGCAGAAGTAGCTACGACCTTCTCAGCACCAAGGAGGTCGACAGCAACAGCTGCGAAGGCGTAGGAGGGGGTAAGAGGGGAGGGGGAGCACCCCTCAAAGAGGGGAGTGCGAGGAGTACGACGAGCAGCACCTACAGCGAGGATGTTCTTCTCTGCTGCTAGGAGGTGCTTCTCGAAGTTGGCGACAGTGAGAGTGGTAGGGTCTAGGGTTAGGAAGTGGTCTCTGACGGAGCTAAGAGTGTCAGGGAGGTGGGTGACGAGGAAATAGAGAGTGAAGTACATCGGGGGGGGGGGGGGGGGGGGGGGGGGGGTTCTCGGCGCTGAACTCGGCTGGAAGGGCGGCACGAAAGCGAGTGTCACTAGTGCGAAGGTGAAAAATGAGGTCCTCAGCAGTGGTAAACGAGGACAGGTATGGGAACAGATAGGGTAGCATGAGCCGACCTAGGGCTGCAGTAGCCGGGGAGGAGTAGCGCGCAACTACAGCGTCATATAGTGCCTTAGCAGTTTTGTGCTGGCTGAAATGCGCGCGCTCAGTGATCGGCAGATGATTTCGAACAGCTAGGCGTGCAGCAGCATCGCGAGTCTGCCACTGTGAGCGTTCGAGAGCGGTAGCATCGTCAGCAGGAGCAACGGCAATGCCAGACGCGTAATCGAACAGTGAAACGCCGTCTTTGGCATCAGTCAGAAGAAACAGTTGGAGATCGTCCAGCCACGTGGTAAACTCTATCGGGCGACCGTCAGGCTCAAACGCGAGAACATTAAGTGTCTCCATAATCGCAATGGAGGCAAAGGCAGTAGGCAGCAGGCAGCAGGCAAAGGGCGTGAGCAGCAAAGGGCGGAGGAAGGGCAGTACGAGGGCTGCTCGGGCAGTACGAGGGCTACTAAGGCAGCACGAGGGCTACTAAGGCAGCACGAGGGCTGTTAAGGCGGTGGAAGGGCTGTTAAGGCAGCACGAGGGCTGTTAAGGCAGTGGGAGGGCTGTTAAGGCAGCACGAGGGCTGTTAAGGCAGCACTAGGGCTGTTAAGGCAGTGGGAGGGCAGTACGAGCACTGTTAAAGGCAGTGGGAGGGAAGTGCGCGGGGGTGACGAGGCAGCGGGCGGGCTGTGCGGGCGTCGCATGGGGCTGACGAGGCAGCGGGCTGGCTGCGCGCTCGCGGGTCAGTACAAGCAGTGCGAGGGCTGAGAGGCGGCGCGCGGGGCAGTAGAAGGCAGCGCGAGGGCTGCGGAGCGGCACGCGGGGCAGGAGAAGGCAGCGCGAGGGCTGCGGGGCGGCGCGCGGGCCTAACGAGGCAGCTAGCGTGCTACGCGCGGGGCTGACGAGGCAGCAGGCGGGCTGCTAGCGGGCTGCACGAGGGCCAGCAGATGCGAGCGCGAGGGCTGCGCGACTCAGGGCAGTGTAGGCAAGGGGCGGGGTAACGCGGGTAACCGACGGAAAACGGTTGGTGGGCCCTGAATAACAGTCCTAAAACGGTCATAAGGACCTATTTTGCTCTTAATACCATGTCGAGAGTAAGGAAAGGATAAGGGTGGTTGCACTATCGAGAAAGTTGGGTACAATTAACAAAACCTATACCCTACATTAGCTACCCCACTAAAGCCTTCATTTTATTATGACATAGGCATATAGTTTGACAACCTGCTCCCAGAGAGCTTGCAGCGTGAGACATAACGATATACGGTACTACTACATATGTTATGCGGGTGGATTGGATCCATTCATGATGTTCCACAATGCAAGGACGTGCGGCGTGCCCTACCCTATCTCAGCAGTGCAGCAAGCACTGCCCCCCTCAATGATGCTCGCAGTTACCGGTACAACAAGCACTTGTTGGATGCTTGCTTCCCTTATTCGCCCACCCTCCCTGATAGGCAAAGCTTTGGATCACTGCCTGTTGCATTGTTCAAGGTGCACTTAAAGCCCTCCGTGACAGGCATAGCCTGCTTACTGCGAAGCTTCAAGCGCCTTCAAACTTCCCTCCTTGTGAAGCAGAACATCTCCGTCCCCTGCTGTGGCTGTTGCTGCATAGTCAACTAGAGTCAACTGGCGGGTCAACCAGGGCAAACTCTCGCAGGTCAACACCCAAATCAACTAGAGTCAGCCGGAGTCAACCAGAGTTCAGGCGGGTCAAACAGATCCCTCAAGCTTCACGTGCGCATCTGCTGTATGAGGGCCATAGGGCATGAGACCATGAGGGGATGGGGTCACAGGGGCATGGAAGCATGTAGGCACAGGGACGCGGAGCAAGTTGGTGAAGGGACAAGTGTAGGCATGACAAGTGATGACTTTTGAGGCGCTTCAAAGGCCATGGAAGCATGGAGGCACAGGGACACAGGTCAAGTTGGTGAAGGGACAAGGGCAGGCATGACAAGGGGTGGACAAAGGGAGGGGGTAGAGACTCTCCATGTGTGTGAGTGTGTGAGTGTGTGTGTGTGTGTGTGTGTGCATGTGTGCGTGTGAGTGCGTGACAGTGCACATGTGTCCATACACTGAGATTCACCACGCTGTGTCGTTCAGCTGTGCAGAAACACACACACGGTCCAGTCATGTTGGTCCACTCACACCGCCCTCACCACACGCACCCCACTCCGTTGCCAGTCTGGAAAGTCTCACCAGGGGCGCACCTCTTGAAGCCGAAAAAATTCTCAACAGCCAGCCGCTCTTACGATTAAAAAACAGCTAGCAGCCCTCCCAGTTGCACCTACAACAAAAGCCTTCATGAGGCACTCATAACACCGACAGCCCACCCTGCACCCTGCACCCTGCACCGACAGCCCACCCTGCACACACCTTTGTCGGGTGGTCTGGATCATGAAGGGCGGTGAGCCTGGCAGCAGCCCTCCCCTCCCCAGATGCACCTACGCTACACCGTCCGCCCTCACAAGCCACACTCTGCACGCACCTTTGTCGGGTGGTCTGAGAAAGTCTGCATCATCGGCATTCATGAAGGGTGGTGAGCCTGGTAGCAAGCCCAGCATGTGGCCGCCTGGGGCAGGGGAGGGAGTGCAGGAGGGGCAGGAGGAGCAGGAGGGGCAGGAGGGGCAGGAGGGGCAGGAGGGATAATTGGGGAAGGGGTGGAAGCATGGGGAACTTTAGCACAGGGTCAGCATTGCCGGCATGGCGTTCATGAAAGGTGGAGAGCCCGGTAGCAGCCCCAGCATGTGGCCGCCTGGGGGAGGAAAGGGCGGGCAGGAAGGGAAGGAGGGGCAGGAGGGGAAGAGTGGAGGCATGGGAAAGCATAGGTGGGGCTGATTGGCATGTCAGCATCGTCGGCATTCATGAAAGGTGGAGAGCCCGGCAGCAGCCCCAGCATGTGGCTCAAAAGTCTCCCCACAGCGAGGAGAGGGCCTGAAGGAGGAGAGGGTCTGGGGGAGGAGAGGGCCTGGGGGAGGAGAGGGCGGGCAGGAGGGGCAGGAGGTGCAGGAGGGGCAGGAGGGGCAGGAGGGGCAGGAGGGGAAGGAGGGGCAGGAGGGGCAGGAGGGGCAGGAGGGGCAGGAGGGGAGGGAGGGAGGAGGGGCAGGAGGGGCAGGAGGGGCAGGAGGGGCAGGAGGGGCAGGAGGGGAAGGAGGGGCAGGAGGGGCAGGAGGGGCAGGAGGGGCAGGAGGGGAGGGAGGGGAGGAGGGGCAGGAGGGGCAGGAGGGGCAGGAGGGGCAGGAGGGGCAGGAGGGGCAGGAGGGCAGGAGGGGCAGGAGGGGCAGGAGGGGCTGGAGGGGATGCATGGGGAACCACAAGTTGGGGTTGCTGATTCCCTAGTGGAGCGGATAAACACGTGGACTGTGGTGCAAGCCATGCATGTTTGTGCTCATGGCTTCTCTCTCCTCTCTCTCTCAACCTTCCCGCATGCACCCAATTCCCCCAGCTCACGCTCGTGTGTGCGTGCGTGCGTGCGTGCTTGCGTGTGTGTGTGTGTGTGTGTGTGTGTGTGTGTGTGTGTGTGTGTGTGTGTGTGTGTGTGTGTGTGTTCCGTTTCTTGCCTTCACCCTTGATGTTTCCCTTCCCCCACTCCCCATGCTCCCCTCTCCCCACCTCCCACACCCCTCACCTTCGCTTTGAGGCCCGGGGTTTTTTTTTTAGGTGGCTCAAAAGTCTCCCCTCCCCACAACCCCCACCCCCCTCGCCCCACCTCCCACACCCCTCACCTTCGCTTTGAGGCCCGGGGAAGTCTGCAGTCAAGTCAGAGAGGCTGAAGTTTCTTGGAAGGTGCCCCAGCAACCCCAGGGCGACTTCCCTGGGAACAGCAGCAGAGGGTTGCTGTGCGCCTGTGCTGTCGTGCATGCCTGTACTGTCCTGTGCCCCTGCGCCTGTCCCATGCACCCCTGCCCCTCTGCTTGACGGGCCATGGTCGTTGTGGTTGCTGGGGTCATGTCGATCAGTGGCTGCCATAAAATCGCCATGCCCATGCCCATGCCCATGCCCATGGCCATGGCCATCCGTTGAGTGCCGCTGATGATGCTGATGCTGCTGCTGCTGCTGCCCGTGGCTACTATGGCTATGATGGTGATGGCTGTGTGAGTGGTTTGTGTCCATACTAGCATGATGCTCGTGGGGGTGCTGATGCTCCTGCTGATGGGGATGATGTGGATGGTGGTGGTGATGTGGATGGTGATGTGATCCTTGCTGGTGTCCTGCCTCCCCTCCACCATCCCCATCCCCCTCTCCCCGAGATCCAAACGCCGCCTCGTGATTGGTCGAATTCAGAGCGAGAGAGGACGAGAATGGACCTACATCTAGAGCCGTCAACCCCATACCCATACCCATGCCCATGCCCATGCCCATGCCCATACCCATCCCCATCCCAATGCCCATGCCCACGCCCATGCCTATACCCGACAGATCAACCGAGCCAAACGGAAATGCCATGTCACTCCCGTCACTGTCCAGCTCCGCAGCACCGCCCACGCCTGCCATGTCATCATCATCCTCACTCGCACCCGCCCTTCCTGCCCCTCCTTCTCCTCCGCCCCCTCCTTCTCCTCCTCCCCCTCCTCCTCCTCCTGCCCCTGCTCCCAACGCCTCCTCCCCACCCCCCTCCTCCATGCCCACGTCTAGATCCAGATTCTCCCCATCCTCCCCTTCCATACCCTCCACTGGCTCAAGCTTCAGCATCCCCCCCATGCCCATTCCCCCCGTCCCCCCCATTCCCCCCGTCCCCCCCATGCCCCCCATGCCCCCCATGCCCCCCATTCCATCCTCTCCCCCCATCCCCACCCCTCCTTCCGCGAATCCCCCCATCTCCACAGCCTCTCCTCCCCCCGCGCCTGCACCATCCGCGACTAGAGCCCCCATCTCCCCCCCCTCTGCCCTTCCAGCCCCCGCCCCCCCTGCTGCCCCCATCTCCCCCTTTGCATCGAACCTCCCTGCTGCAGCACCAGCAGCAGCGGAGGTATTTGAAGCATGGGCCATATGGGTCATGGCATGTGCATGGGCATGGGCATGCGGATGGGCATGCGCATGGGCATGGGCCATCCCATGTGCATGGGCTTGCATCGCCGCAGCATGAGCATTAGCGGAGGACGGAACCCCTATCACCGCCATCTCACTCCCTCCCCCCCCACCATTCCCCCCACCACCACCACCACCGCCACCACCACCAGCAGCAGAAGCAGGGTGGGAGTGGGGGTGGGCGTGCGGGTGGGGGTGAGCGTGGGGGTGGGGGTGCGGGCCAAAGGGGAGCATGTGCGGGGGAAGCATTCCGGGCATCATGGGGGGAGGCATGGGCGCGCCTGGGGGAACGTGGGGGGGCATGTGGGGGGGATGCTGGCCTGGGGGAAGCATGGAGTAGGGGTGGTGGAGCATGTGGGGGGGGTGGTGCGGGTGGTGGGGGTGGTGCCCTGCTGCTGCTGCTGCGGCAGCGGCTGCGTGTGGGTGCATGAAAGGGGGAGCTGCGCCGTGCACTGTTGGGGGGGAGGGAAAGGGGGGAAAGAGGGGGGAAGGGCGGATGGGACAATAGGGGAGGGGGGAGGATGTGGCATTCAAGAGTGTGGGCAAGGGCTGGGTGGGTAAAGGGTGTGGGGCGGGGAGCAATGGAGGTATAAAAGGTTGAAAAAGGGGGCAGTGGGCGAAAACAAGGGCGCAGGCAAAGGACAGTGGAGAGAGATGAAGAGGGGAGATAGGGGAGTGGAAGTCCCTTGCAAACACATATAGAGGATCATGAACCGATTGCCTCCACCTTCCTAGACTGCAAGATCCTTCTTCACCTCCTCACTCCATTCGACGTCTCTCCTTCATACCCCTTCCAACCACACTCCTCACCATCCTCACACTCCTCTCCATCCTCACACTCCTCTCCATCCTCACACTCCTCTCCATCCTCACACTCCTCTCCATCCTCACACTCCTCTCCATCCTCACACTCCTCTCCATCCTCACACTCCTCTCCATCCTCACACTCCTCTCCATCCTCACACTCCTCTCCATCCTCACACTCCTCACCATCCTCACACTCCTCTCCATCCTCACACTCCTCACCATCCTCACACTCCTCACCATCCTCACACTCCTCTCCATCCTCACACTCCTCACCATCCTCACACTCCTCTCCATCCTCACACTCCTCTCCATCCTCACACTCCTCTCCATCCTCACTCACTGGGAGGGCCTCGCATGGACGCAGGGACACCAGGCACGGGCGCTCCGGCAGAAGCAGCGGCCGCGTTCGAGGCAGCATGGACTGGCGAGGGAGCAGGGGTCGCCGAAGCTGCTGCAGCAGAACCAGCAGCAGCAGCTGCACCGGCAGTCGCACCACCAGCAGAGGCACCCGTAGCACCGGTGCCAGCAGCAGCGCCTGTAGCAGCAGCAGCAGCAGCTGACGCAGGAGCAGAAGCACCCGAAGCTGCCGCTCCAGCTGTAGCAGCCGCAGAAGCTGCCGCCCCAGGGGTGGAGTGCGATGCGGAGCGGTGGAGGCGCTGGGCGCGCACGGCATGGGCGTGCTGTTCAAGCAGGGCATTGAACTGGTGGATCTGGTCCTTTAGGCGCAGCCGCATGTGGTAGGAACGGAAAAAGTCGGGATTCTGCTCCTCCAGCTTCTGCCAAACTGCGGTGGAGAGGGGTGCAGAGGGATGGAGAACACGGGGTGGTAACAGGGTGGAGTGTGCTGAACTGGTGGATCTGGTCCTTTAGGCGCAGCCGCATGTGGTAGGAACGGAAAAATTCGGGATTCTGCTCCTCCAGCTTCTGCCAAACTGCAGTGGAGAGGGGTGGAGAGGGGTGCAGAGGGATGGAGAACACGGGGTGGTAACAGGATGGAGTGTGCTGAACTGGTGGATCTGGTCCTTTAGGCGCAGCCGCATGTGGTACGAGCGGAAGAAGTCAGGATTCTGCTCCTCCAGCTTCTGCCAAACTGCGGTGGAGAGCGGTGGAGAGGGGTGGAGAGGGGTGCAGAGGGATGGAGAGCACCGGGTGGTAACAGGGTGGAGTGTGCTGAACTGGTGGATCTGGTCCTTTAGGCGCAGCCGCATGTGGTACGAGCGGAAGAAGTCGGGATTCTGCTCCTCCAGCTTCTGCCAAACTGCGGTGGAGAGCGGTGGAGAGGGGTGGAGAGGGGTGGAGAGGGGTGCAGAGGGATGGAGAGCACGGGGTGGTAACAGGGTGGAGTGTGCTGAACTGGTGGAGGAACGGAAAAAGTCGGGATTCTGCTCCTCCAGCTTCTGCCAAACTGCGGTGGAGAGGGGTGGAGAGTGGTTGCAGAGAGGGGTGGAAAGGGATGGAGAGTGGTGGAGGCGGGTGGGGAGGGGTGGAGAACAAGGGGTGGTAACTGGATGGGCACAGAGGAAAGGAAGGAAGGTGAGATTCGTCAGAAGGAGCGCGCAGTGAGGCGGATGAAAACACGGATGGAAGAAATACGGGGTTCGGGGTTTAAGGATGTGGGATGGATGGGAGAGAATCGAAGCCCACAAATGAAAGCAAAGCAAGTACGCAAATGGGTAGCCCTGGTAGCAAAGCAAGAAATGCTCATTACATTCTCTTGATTTCAGCAACAAAAGGATGCGATCAGCAGTAGGGCAGCCATACTGTCAGACAGTCAGCAGCAGTCCGTCCGTCCATACGTCCGTACGTCCATCTGTCGGTCAGTCAATCAGTCCATCACTTAGCCTGTCACTCACTCACTTAGCCAGTCAAATAGCCCGTCAGTCAGTCAGTCAGTCAGTCAGTCAGTCAGTCAGTCAGTCAGTCAGTCAGTCAGTCAGTCAGTCAGTCAGTCAGTCAGTCAGTCAGTCAATCAGTCAGTCAGTAGGTCAGTAGGTGAGAGACAGTGAGTGAGTGAGTGAGTGAGTGAGAGAGAGAGTGAGGCAGTGAGAAGAACGCACCGAGTTTGGTGAAGCCTGGTTCGATCTTGGCCTGGTACTGCAGCGTGGACACCACCTCCCTCTGACTCATGTACAGCTGCAAGCACCGCTCGATCAGGTTCTGCACCTGCCAGTGGCGTCAACAGTGAAAACAGCGACACGGAATAGTGATAGTGAGGAGAGAGAGGCGAATGAGAAGAAGGGTGACTCATGTATTGCTGTAAGCACCGCTCGATAAGGTTCTGCACCTGCCAGTGGCGCCAACAGTGCACCCACCCGGTAACATGGAATAACAATCGGAGTGGAGAATGTGGCGGAATGGAGAATGTGGCGGAATGGAGATAAAAAGAGGGGTGACTCATGTACAGCTGTAAGCAGCACTCGACACACCTGCCAACCATGCCAGCAGCAACATGGGATAGGATCAAGAAAAGGATGGGGCGTAATGGGGTTAGAAGAAGGGTGACTCATGTATAGCTGTATGCAACGCGTAGTCAGATGTTGCACCTGCCAACAGCAGCACCACGAAGGGGGTTCTTCATTCATACTTAGGTTTCGGGCAGAGCTCAATCATTTTTTTTCACCTGACAATAGCAGGTGGTAAAACTGAGCTGGTCGCACATTTCCCAACCAGCTCAGGTTAATCTCGTTATGATCCAACCCGTTTGAAGCCCTACCAGCTGAATGTCCTCGCAGGATATCTTCCTCCCCTCAGACGGCGCCTGCTGTGCTGATGACAGCGATGATGACGTGGCAGGCTTCGTGCACGCTGATGTGGATGGAGAGAGCACCGCCGTGGCACCAGTAGGAACACTGGCCGCAGCACCAACACCTGCAGCAGCAGAAGCACCACCGACAGTAGCAGCACCACCAGCGCCAGCGGCAGCAGTGGGCGCAGTGGTAGCAGCAGGTGCAGGGTCCGTAACGGCCATGGGCTTGGCGGCTGTCGCAGCAGGAGATGTGGCAGTAGGGGCGGAAGCTGATGGAGGGGAACCACCACCGCCGGTTCCTGCTACTGCTGCCCCCCCACCGCCAGATTTATTCCCTGCTGCTGCTGCTGCTGCTGCGGGTGCTGCTGCTGCTGTTGCTGGGGTTGCTGCTAGTGGTGGTGGTGGTGGTGGTGGTGGTGTTTTGGTTTTTGCAGCGGGAGACGTGGCGGGAGCAGCTGGGGGGGATCTGGCGGGGGACGCGGGGAGGCCTTCCACTGACGCGCCCGCGCCAAGCGCTGCAGCAGCAGCGGCGGCGGCGGCTGCAGCAGCGGCACTTGGCGGCTTCGCAGACATGGATTGGCGCTTGCAGATTGATGCTTTGATGGCTTGACGCTGGGGGCTTGGCAGTCGAGTCTCGGCGTTCGGCGTTTAGAAATTGTGGTTGACGTTCAGGGTTTGGACAAGGATAGCTTATGGCACGCACCGGCTCATGCCGCCAGTCTTTGGGCGATGCGGTTCGCCATGAAAATACCTTAACTCTCACCTCGCAACCTATTGCTATGAGGCGAAACGGAACCTCGTCGTGTTTAGCGATTGCTAAACCTGAAAGAGAAGGTGCATCTATTCTAAAGGTGTACAGTAATCAGCAATAGAATGCCACTGGCTCGGGACTAGAATGAGAAGCCTGGGCAGATGCCGAGAAAGGTACCATGCCATAATGTCACATGTCATGATGACATTGTAATGTCTCGATGCTCTAATGTTGTAGTATCTTCCCAAACTGGCAGAAGGATGGGCCCATGCACGAGATTTCTATCTCACGTGTCATGACCGCCGAATTATCATTGTCCCTTCTCGGATGTCGTGGATAGAGAACTGAAAGTAAGAGTCGAACTCAGATTACGCAGCAATAAAATCCTTTTACGAAAGAGTGGATGGAAGGAGGAGGATCAGAGTCTAGCGAGACATTTTTACATACTAATAAACAGGTTTTTATTGGCGGTGGTTTTTTTTGGCGGAACCTGCTTAGGGGATAAAGGGGGAAAGGCGGAAGGTGCACCGCAGCGCACCGAGAAGCAACAGTACGAGGGCTAGAGACTAGAGGTAGGAGTAACGCGATGGTTACAGTACTGGGAGGGACACGTGGGGCCTGATAAGTCCCTTGTTGGAAATCGTATATTCGCCTGAGGGTAGGTTGCGAATTTTGAAGTTTATGATTTCGCAGCACTAGGGCGTGGCAGACTCGCTGCAGTTCTCACCATCGCCGCATCGCTCATTGATGTTTTTTTGGAGGTTCCGTGGTTTTGTGCAGGAACCTAATCGCCTGCCTAATCCTAACGTTACAGCACAAGCCTGGATCGTCAGTTGTCCCTCTTTTATCCCGTGGGGTGGGGCCATCCAGCTAGCCTTGGGAACATCCAGCCTGGAGAAACAGAGCCTTGGGAACATCGTGCCAGTAAACCAGACAGCCTTGGGAGCGTCGTGCCAACAAAACAAGACGGCCTTGGGAATATCACGCCTTGGAAACAGCCTTGCACTGCACAGCCTTGCCAAAGACGGTCTGGTCTGGGCGGGAGGGAGGAGACTGGAGGAGCATACATTGCTGCCAAAAATTGGCAGCGCGGACAATTTCGTCGAGCAAAAACCCCTCAGTTTCATTCGGAAACCCCGCTCCGTTGCCTTCCTCCTCGAAGCCGATTCGCGAAGCCACTTTTCCAACCTGCCCACCCTTCAAATTGCCTTTTGGAACCTCAAACGCCATGTGGCTCGTTCGTCGAGCCAATTAACGGTGCGAATGATGCGCCGCCGAGCAACTTTGCCGTGGATCCACGTCAGTCTGAGCCACTCTCTCCCAGTATCATGCATCCCATACAGAACTGCCCAGTACACTGCGAGAATGCTGACAGGTGCAGGTCTACGGAACTGTTCACTGAATGACGACCGCTATGTAATGCACTCCCATCAATGTGGTGTGCACTCTTCAAATACCACAAATAAGAGTTACGTCAAATGAATGAAACAGCTACCTTTAAAAATCGTTTTCATACATTTCATACAATGCCCTTGGAGTTTCATGAGTGATGTTGTTCATTGAAATATAAAAATCCATAGCGTAAATCTTCTTCACCCTCTCATATGTATCCTGTAGTGCAAACAAATACACAGGAGAGGATGAGCGGAGTGGAATGGATGGAGGAGGTGGGCAAGACAAGGGAAAGAGAGGGGTGAAGCGAGTTGAGAAAAAAGGCCAGGGACACGGGAATGGGCAAGAGTGAGGGAAAAAAATGAATACGCACCTTGTCATACAGCTTCGCGAGGCGCCGATCCGTATCCGTGAAGTGCGCCCCTTTGCCGAACCTAAACACGTCCAGGTGCTCGCCGCCGAACCTGTCGATCACCGTCTTGACATCCTCCTCCAGGTGCTCGAATCGCCCCACGAAGTCGTACTTGATGGAGCCCAGTGCACAGATGTCTTCTTGTGGCGCCAGGTGGCGGTCCATGTCAGCGCGGTGACTGGCCAGCAGCTTGCCAACAAGGCGGACGAAATCCGGGAAGGAGACAAGCCCTGTGTTGTCCTTGACTGCCTCGTACATGGGCTTCACTGCGTGGAAGAAGGCCTGTGGGATGGAAGCGGGCATAGGGGGACGACAGATTTAGAGAAGTAGATAGTCCACGGGTGGGTACACACGATTCTGACTGTGCTGCGCTTGACTGCCTCGTACATGGGCTTCACTGCATGGAAAAAGGTCTGTCCAATGCCGTGGAGGGGCACAGGGGGAGAATTTTGCGTCGACTCAAAAGTCACTTGGCTGCGCTTGACTGCCTTGTACATGGGCTTCACTGCATGGAAAAAGGCCTGTCCAATGCAGTGGAGGGGCACAGGGGGGTTGGAAAACAGTTGCTATGGTGGGAAGTCATTTGAGGAACAGGGGCACAGGGCATGGGGTACAGGGTGAATGAACACAAAACAGCCATACAATGCGCCAGGCAGGCACTCACGTTGCTCCAGTACTGGCGGGTGCCCCAGCCGGTGCCGGTCTTGAGCTTGGGTCGGTCGGTGCGTACGAGCTTGTTGGAATAGGCCGAGGCAATGCGCGAGAAGGGGTTGCGCACAAAGGTGAACTTGAAGAAGTCCGGGCGGGTCATGAGGCGGATCTGGGAAGGAGGAGAGGGGAGAGGGATGGGGGCGACGCTTGAGGCGACTCAGAAGTAACTTCGACAGTAGAGAAGGGGCTGAAGGGGTTGAGACGGGGCTGCACACAACACAAAGCTGCACACAACACAAAGCTGCACACAACACAAAGCTGCACCTGAAGAAGACCTTCAGTGCTTGCACTGATGCATCATGAGTCGTGCCTGCCCGCCCGCTTGTGCAGCCCTCACTGCTTCTCGTTTGCAGCACGTGATAAAACGCCCCTACTGGCTCAACACGACAATAACCCCCAGCCCCCCCACCACCTCCCACCCCCCCCACCACCTCCCAGCCCCCCCACCACCTCCCAGCCCCCCCACCACCTCCCAGCCCCCCCACCACCTCCCAGCCCCCCCACCACCTCCCAGCCCCCCCACCACCTCCCAGCCCACCCACCACCTCCCAGCCCCCCCACCACCTCCCAGCCCCCCCACCACCTCCCAGCCCCCCACCACCTCCCAGCCCCCCCACCACCTCCCAGCCCCCCCACCACCTCCCAGCCCCCCCACCACCTCCCAGCCCACCCACCACCTCCCAGCCCCCCCACCACCTCCCAGCCCCCCCACCACCTCCCAGCCCCCCCACCACCTCCCAGCCCCCCCACCACCTCCCAGCCCCCCCACCACCTCCCAGCCCCCCCACCACCTCCCAGCCCCCCCACCACCTCCCAGCCCCCCCACCACCTCCCAGCCCCCCCACCACCTCCCAGCCCCCCCACCACCTCCCAGCCCCCCCACCACCTCCCAGCCCACCCACCACCTCCCAGCCCACCCACCACCTCCCAGCCCACCCACCACCTCCCAGCCCACCCACCACCTCCCAGCCCACCCACCACCTCCCAGCCCACCCACCACCTCCCAGCCCACCCACCACCTCCCAGCCCACCCACCACCTCCCAGCCCACCCACCACCTCCCAGCCCACCCACCACCTCCCAGCCCACCCACCACCTCCCAGCCCACCCACCACCTCCCAGCCCACCCACCACCTCCCAGCCCACCCACCACCTCCCAGCCCACCCACCACCTCCCAGCCCACCCACCACCTCCCAGCCCACCCACCACCTCCCAGCCCACCCACCACCTCCCAGCCCACCCACCACCTCCCAGCCCACCCACACCACCTCCCAGCCCACCCACCACCTCCCAGCCCCCCACACCTCCCAGCCACCCACCACCTCCCAGCCCCGTGAAATCAACACGGCCTGTTCTTCGGTGAAATCAAGAGCGACCTCGTGCAGGCCCCACTGCTTCTCGTTGAGCACCAGGAGTGGGTCCAAGGAGGCCCCCCACTGTCAGAACAGGACAGAACCCCAGTCCAGCCATCATCTCCCAGCGCGACTCACCGCCTGTTCTTCTGTGAAGTCCAAAGCCAGCTCGTGTAAGCCCCACTCCTTCTCGTTGAGTGCCAGCAGCGGGTCCTCTGGGTTGGGCAGGCCCAGGCGCGCCCTCAGCCACATGAGCCACGAGTTGCACGCCACCTTGGGGATTGCGCAGTAGACCAGCTTCAGGGACTCTGAGAGTGGGTGGGTGGAATGGGAGTGGGGAATGAGGTATGAGGATGGGTGGGGGGATGCAGAGGGCAGGCGCAGGCGCCCCCTCAGGCACATGAGCCAGGAGTTGCAGGCCACCTTGGCGATGGCGCAGTACAGCAGCTTGAGGGACTCTGAGCGGGGCAGAGGGTGTGGGTGGGGAGAGGGGCGGGGATACAATGGAGCATCGCTGCAGCCACATGAGCCACGAGTTGCAGGCCACCTTGGCGATGGCGCAGTACAGCAGCACACCAGCTACAGCCTTCAGGGACTCTGAGAGTGGATGGGTGAATAGATGGGTGGGTGAGCGAGCGGCAGCAGGGGCCAGGTCAAGGGTCTAGAATTTAGAGTCTAGAGACTAGGGACTAGACTTCAGGGCCTCTCACCTTCGGTGATGGTGAAGCGAGTCAGTTCCTAGGGGGGTGGGTCTAGGGCTTAGAGGCTAGCCATCAGTGCCTCGTACCTTGGATGATGGTGAAGCGAGCGAGCTTCTGCTGGGTGAGGGGCAGCAGGGGCGGCGAGTCAAGCATCTAGGGTTGAAGGCATAGGGCTTTGCGTTTAGGTACTAGCCATTTGCGTTTAGGTCTGACCTTCGATGATGGTGAAGCGAGCGAGCTTCTGCTGGGTGAGCGGCAGCAGGGGCGGTGAGTCACAGACGGGGCGCTGCACGCGGAAGAGGTCGGAGCGGGCGGCGCCGTGGGCGGCGATGAACATGGCTTGTGGCGACGCCAGGCCGGCCTTTAGGGAGATGAGTCCTCGGGTCATGCTGAGCGCAAACAGCTCCACTGCCTGTGTGATGGGGGGAGTGGGAGGAGGGGGAAAGATACAGTTGACCAGGTGGCTCAAACACACGTCCATGGGCAGTGATGAACATGGTTTGTGGCAACGCCAGGCCGGCCTTCAGGGCGATGAGTCCTCGGGTCATGCTGAGTGCAAACAGCTCCACTGCCTGTAATGCGACAGAGGAGGGGGGGGGAAGCACAGCCGGATCCATGTTCTCCGCATCTGCATTCCATTGTGCCCGCATAGACGCACCCACCCATACGCACCCACCCACACGCACCCACCCATACGCACCCACCCACACGCACCCACCCATACGCACCCACCCATACGCACCTGCAGGCGGACACAGAGCATGAGATCATCAGGTGACAGGCTCTTCTTCCTAAGCAGCTGCCTCACCTCCGTCCCGTTTCCCCCTCCCGTTCCATTCCCTCCCGCTATTAACCTTACTCCATTATCCGCAACAGCAGCACCGTTCCCATCCACTCCTTCCCCCACTTCTCCGGCTCCTCCTCCGTTACCTCCTCCTCCTCCCCACCCTCCACCTCCCTTCCTCCACTCCTCCACCCCGACTTTCCCCAAATCCGCCCTCTCCCCCTTGGGACACGTGGCAGCGCGCGATTGGGTGGCTTGCAGCACGAACGGCGCGCGGGAGGGGTGGAAGGTGTCGGAAATCTGGGCGGCGTTGAGGGCGGTGCGGGCGGCGAGGGCGAAATCTAGCGAGGGGCGCTTGAGAAAGGACATGGCGAGGCGGCGCGTGGCACAGAGGTGGGGAGAGGAGGTGGCGGATATGGGGCACCCGGGACAGCCGTCCAGTGAGAGGTCCTGAGTAAAGTTTTGTGAGAGGGTGATACGAGGGCAGAAGGAGAGACCAGGGGAGGGGCCAGAGTGACTATTGAGGCGCCTCAAAAGGAGAGGAGGTGGCGGATATGCGGCAGCCGGGCCATCCGTCTAGTGAGAGGTCCTGAGGGGTTGTGGGCAAGTGTGTGGGAGGGAGGGCAGGGAAAGGGGGGGAGAGGACGTGGGCTTTTTTCGCCTTGGCAGTGGAGACCTATGGAGCCCACGCCCCGTCCACTGCGGCTTTCCTTAAGCTTCTCTCGACCGCAGCAGCCCGGAACCGCTTCCGCGCCAACCAACCCCCCGGCCAAGACGGCGAATAAGGTGGCGCCCAGCCCACTTCCGGCAGCGCTGGGCAGTCATGTCATGCTCCAGCGCAGCCAAGCAAACGCCTTGCACGCAAAGGCGCGGGCGGGCATTGAAGCGGCACGGCACACCCGCAGGCTCCGGCGGACCCCTGGCCCCTGCAGCTAGGGGACCTCCTCCACGCCCTGGAGTAAGGGGAGGTGCTAGGGGGCGGGTAGATGTAGAGAGGTGTATTTGCATGTTCAACCTTCCGCTCTCCGTAGACCGTCTTGCTTGTACCAATCACCGCATTAATACAAAGGACCGTTTGAGAGAGGGACGATAAATGGTTGGCTTTCTTGGATCACAGGAGAGAGGGAGACAGCAATCAGGCAACCGCAGACCAAGCGAGAAGAGGGAGTTTGAGTTCAGAAGCGAGGGCAGTGTGGGGTGATGGGCGCTTGAGGAAGGAGATGGCGAGGCGCAGAGGGGAGGAGAGGAGGTGGCGGATATGAGGCAGCCAGATATGGCAGTTGTTGAATTCCTTGGATTGAATTAGGAAGGAGGGGCGGCTATTGCGCAAGTTGAGAAGTGAGGGCGGAGTGGGGCGAGGGTGGAGCGGAGTGAGGGATGCTTGAGGGGCGCCTGTAGCAGCAGCAGAGCCGCGACAGGCAGGGCGGGGTGCAGTGTTGCCATGCATGTTGCCATGCATGTTGCCATGCATGCTGCCATGCATGCTGCCATGCATGCTGCCATGCATGCTGCCATGCATGCTGCCATGCATGCTGCCATGTTCCGAATCATAAGGCGCCCCAGGGAAAGGCAACTCACATCGAGGTAGAGGCCAAGGGCGGACTTGAGGCGACCCAGGCCCTCCTGCAGCAGCAGTGCTGTCACGGTCGGGGCGGGCTGCAGCGCTGCCTTTACAGGAGACTAGAAAGGGCACTCACGTCGAGGTAGAGCCCGAGGGCGGACTTGAGGCGACCCAGGTCTTCCTGCAGCGGCAGCTCAGCCACTGGCGGGGCTGGCTGCAGCGCTGCCTTCCAAAGAGCCTAATGAGTCGAGGTTGGAGGCGCCTCAAAAGTTGAGTGAGAAGGCAACTTACGTCGAGGTAGAGCCCGAGGGCGGACTTGAGACGACCAAGGCCCTCCTGCAGCAGCAGAACCGCGGCTACTGGCGGGGCTGGATGGAGCGACTTTTCAGGCGCCTCAAAAGAGACAGCAACTCACATCGAGGTAGAGGCCAAGGGCGGACTTGAGGCGGCCGACATCTTCCTGCAGGAGCAGATCGGCCACAGGCGGGGCGGGCTGCAGCGCTGCCATGCATGCCGCCATGCGGCGTTCGAATGCACATGGGTTCACCGCGTCCTGTGTCACACAGGTTGGGGGAAAGGGGGGGTGGGCAATGTGAGTGTGGGGAGGGACGTGGGGGGGAGTGCAGCAGCAGCTCGGCCACAGGCGGGGCGGGCTGCAGCGCTGCCATGCATGCTGCCATGCATGCTGCCATGCATGCTGCCATGCATGCTGCCATGCATGCGGCCATGCATGCTGCCATGCATGCTGCCATGCATGCTGCCATGCATGCTGCCATGCATGCTGCCATGCATGCTGCCATGCATGCCGTCATGCGGCGCTCAAATGCACACGGGTTCACCGCGTCCTGTGTCACAGGTAAGTGGGGGGGGGTGGGGGGTGGTCGTCAAGGGGGAAAAAGTGAGGTAAGTGCATGAGGGGAGGGCATGAGGGGAGTGCATGATTGGAGCACATGAGTGGAGTGCATGATTGGAGCGCATGAGGGGAGCGCATGAGGGGAGCAGCGCTGCTGCCATGCATGCTGTCATGTGGCACTCAAACGCACACGGGTTCCCCAAATCCTGCCTCACACAGGTGGGAGGGTGATGGGGGAAGGGGTAGGGGAGTAGGGGTGGAGTGAGGGGGGGGAGTGAGGAGTGGGGAGTTGGGGGGAGGGGCGTGGGGAGGGAGAGCGGATTGTGGAAGTCGGTCTATAAAAAATCATAGAGTGTTTAAGTGGGAGAAGGGAGAGGTCATTCTAATTAGGAACTCTCACCATGCGGTTTGTGGGGAGCTGTCAAAAGGTGTGGGGAGCTGTCAAAAGGAGTGGGGAGGGAGAGCGGATTGTGGAAGTCGGTCTATCAGAAATCGTGGAGAGGGTAAGTGGGAGAAGGGAGAGGCTAAGCACCAAAACATCCCTTCGCACCTCACCACTTCTCACATGCACACACACAGGCAGCAGTGCAGCACTCACCACGAGCCAGTTGATGGAGGCGGGCGAGAGGTACAGGCTGAGCGTGAGCGACTTGACTGGATCTTCCAACCCACCTGCACCCTTGTGCACCCTCCTGCACCAAACCCTCACACTGAACTCACCACAAGCCAGTTGATGGAGGCGGGCGAGAGGTACAGGCTGAGCGTGAGCGACTTGACTGGATCTTCCAACCCACCTGCACCCTTGTGCACCCTCCTGGACCCTATGGCACCCTCCTGCACCGAACCCTCACACTGAACTCACCACAAGCCAGTTGATGGAGGCGGGCGAGAGGTACAGGCTGAGCGTGAGCGAGGCAACAGTGGCATTCTGAGAGGCGCCCCGCTTCTGACACCCGCGGATGGTCACCTGGCATGGGCGTGGCGGGGCGAGGGAGAGAAGGCGGAGGGGCCAGAGGGGAAGGGAAGGAGGGAGAGAGGAGGCAGGTGCTCAGTGCTCGAGGCAACAGTGGCATTTGGAGAGGCACCCCGCTTCTGACACCCGCGGATTGTCACCTGGCATGGGCGTGGCAGGGCGAGGGAGAGAAGGCGGACGGACAAGGGGGAAGAAGGGTGGGGTGGGGGGGTTGAATGCGGGCAGGTGGTCAGGCGGGCAGATGGGCAGGTGGGAACAGGTGCAGTGGGGGGGGGAATGGAGCCTGGAAAAAGGAAAGAGGGGTGCCAAGAGAAAGGGCGTGAATAGGGGGGCCAGTAAGACGAGAGGCCTCTCGATTCTTACCGGTCGGTGGGTGAGTGCGAGGAACTGACGCCAGTGAGCAGCCGTCTCATTCGCCTCCTCTACCCACACAAACCGCCCCGCACCCCTTCCCTTGCTTCCACCACCACCACTACCACCACCACCACCACCAACACCACCACCGCTGCTACCACTGCTGCCACTGCCGCCCCCGCCTCCAGTGCTGCTGCTGTTGGCTCCCATTCCTCCCTCTGTGACATTCCCAAGGTCCGTACCCCCTCTTGCCTCCACTCCACCACCACTTCTTAGCCCTTCCCCGCTCCCCCCGGCCCCCCCAGCAGCAGCACGCAAGGTCCGCCCTTCCACATCAGGAGGAGGGGGGGTACCAGAGGCGTCAGTGGCAGCGGCAGTTAGAGTGAAGAGGTCGGAGAAGCGGATGTGCGGCATGTAGGCATCGGGCACCCAGAGGGCGAGCGCCGTGAGGTTGGCTGCTGGCAGCAGGGCGGCTGCGGAACAGACGGATGACAGACGCGAGCCCAAATCGCCCTGGAAGGACGGAGGGAGGAGGGGGGGAAGGGAGGGTGAAGGGGAGTGGGGGAAGGGAGGGTGAATGGGAGTGGGGGAAGGGAGGGTGAATGGGAGTGGGGGAAGACATGGCAGCGTCGAAGAACCAGAGGGCGAGCGCGGTGAGGTTGGCTGCTGGCAGCAAGGCGGCTGCGGCGCAGAGGGACAACAGATGCGAGCACAGATCGCCTTGGAAGGAGAGGAGACGAAGGGGAGCAGGCAGAGGAGGTGGAGAAAAGGAGGGAGGAGAGGGAGAGAACACAAGTAAGGGCCGGGAGTGGTGAGGTTGGCAGATGGGAGAAGAGCAGGTGAGGAGCAGAGCCTAGGGCGGCTGGCACACTGCTACGAGTCGCATCTCCGCTTACCTCCGCTATAATCACAGCGTCGGGCGGCCGGCACACCGCCAGCTGGCCACGCTCCCGGCAGTATCGGCCCTGCCCCTGCTGACCCAGCCCCCAGAAGTCGTCCAATCCCCCGCTGCCACGTGTCCCATCGTCCAGGTCATCATAGCTGCCGGTAATGCGCGTCCGCGACGAACGCGCGACCCCGCCGTCATCGTCGTCATCGTCGCCGTATTCCACGGTGATCACTAGCAGCAATAAAAGCACGCTTAGGAGGCATAGTGTCATGATCCCGCGCCGCGTCCCTAATCGCCAGCTGCAATGCCATTGGCGGCTCGAGCTTCCGGTGGACTTGGTCAATGGCGCCACCATATCGAACGGCTATGATGTAGAGAAACAATTGCAATTAGGTTTCCATTTTGTTGTAAAGGTGTCGTCCTCTTGTTTCCTTGCTGACTGCCCAGCTTATGCAGTGAGCGTGTGTACTAGAAGCCCGTTGTACGCGATAAGGCGCGTTCACTAGTAGCTACCGCGAGAGCGGCACGGACCGTCGTTCGTGTGTCCACTGGACTCGGGAATACGTGGTGTACGGCTGACACCTGTCGGAGCAGATCCGCTTAACTGGCATTGATTGACCGTCTGTTAAAGCGAACCAAGAAAGCGCCAGGAGCAACCGACCTTGCGAGAAAGCACGCGTGTGCGTTCAAGCTAACGCCTTCACAGACCCAAGGATGTTGGCGTCGAGATTCGTAGTGCTCTCGTGTGGTGATTTGCTGAAGTTGTATCATGTGCAACAGCTCACATGATTTGAAGATGTTGTTACGACACTGCACTCGCTTCTAAAACGGTCACGCTCCAAGCTGAGAATTACAAGTTTTTGTCTTCAGCATCACTTAGGCTCCTAGATATGACCATTTCCTGCATAGATAAAGCTATCTCAAGAATGGGAGCTTGTTTGCGCGACTCGGACCGACATCCATCGCCTGATCTCGGTGTCTCCAAACGTGTGGTGTGGATTTGAAAAACTCTCCCTCCAGAACCCAAATCCTGGAAAAGCATTCGTTGTAACATCTCTCACATATTGGTAATTGTGTTCCATATCTCTCACATAAATGATCAAGCATTGAAGACTGTATATATGTACAGAATATCTTACAGAATATTCATCGAAGTGATAATCTACACAGTCTAAATATTATGCTGGAAAAAACTTTTTTTAAAATAAACAAGGATATTACGATGGATCCCATAACTTACGGCTGTACTTGCAAAATAACTAGTAGTAATTTATTCTATTTTGTCATGCCACATGAGTACAATAGTTCAGCATATCCAGCAAAAGCAATGGACAGTCAGCCTCTCAAGTTGTCCATCAGGCAGATTAGCGAAGCCCAAATTTCCTCGCAGGAGTCCTTGGGGCAATTTGGTTTATCACTGTTCCACATTCCGCCATCCCCCCATTCCCCCATTTCCCCACTACTGTTCCCCCAACTCCTCCCCAGATGTCCTCCATCCTCGCCCCTCGGTTTGACCTCATCACCACGCCTCCTCCTCCTCCCTCCCCTCTCTCTCCCTGCCACTCCTGCTTCCTCTTAGCCCCCATTCACTCCTAGATTTTCCTCTCTTCCTGCTAAGGAGATCTTTCCCCCTCCCTTGCTCCCTTCACCCTTTCCCTAGCCGTAGCGCGAAGCGTGCAGCCATGGCGCTGTCACAGAGGGAGGCGGATATTCAGATGATGCTCGCGGCGAAGGTGCACCTGGGCACCAAGAACTGCAACTACCAGATGGAGCGCTACGTCTGGAAGCGCGGCGCGGACGGTACGTCCGCCGTGTTTTTGTGATCTTAGCGGCGTGCAGTCCGGTTTGTGACACTGGTGTGCTCCTCGCCGTGTTAGCGCGCCGGCGTGGGTTCGCGATCGCGGCATTATTGACCGGAAACGCGCGTTAGGGTTTGGAGTGGGATCCAGGTTCCGAGGCTCGTGGAAGTAGAAATATTAACTTAAGCGCAGCAGACGCGGGTTAGCTTGTCGTGCATGCAGATGCTGTCGCAGGGGCGTGGACGATCCTAGGACGATTGATCAGATACTAATAGATTCGTGATCTGCTAGTATGAGAACTAGACCTTGCTTGGGATCAGCGAGCGAGCGGAGAGATTAGGAAGAGCAGGGATACGGGCGGGAGACCGGGGATCGTGCGGGAAATGGGGCGCTGTGGGAGGGTGTCCATGGTACCTTTTCTACACGTCTCGTGCTGCCCAAATGTCGAGGTGCCTACGACGGAGCAGACGTGCGAGTTTCCCCGGTTAGCTGTCTGCGACAGACACGGATTCGCCACTGCGAGGGTCGCAATCGCAAGAGATCATGATCGTGGCACGAAGTTGCAGGAGGATATCGTGGGGTGGAGATCGCAGTGGCGGGAGGTTGAGCAGGCTCTAAAGCGTTTTTTTTTTTTCCGCGATGGAATTAGCCTAGAGAGTTGTTTGGTTGACGATCAGATGGACTTGGGGAATGGCGTTTCATCAGGCGTAGCAAACCTTAGGCTGACTCGGATTCTTGTCTCGTGAAAGGAGTAGCTAATTTTTCCGGAGCATTAGTAATTTAGAGCAGAATCGAGTTTAGAGCAATTCAAAGCGGTATATTTACTGTCCTCGAAGCTTTGCCTCGCCGGCTTCCGCGCATCTCCCAGAAATTGCCGATGACATGACGTGGCCCTCGTTTCCTCTTTCCCACTTCGCCTTCTCCCGCTGCCTCTAAATCGCCATTTTGCAAGATCCTCGCCGACCGTTCCATGCCGCCGGTCCCCTGCCGGCCGCCCATGGTCAGGCGTGTTTATTATTAACCTGGCCAAGACGGGGGACACGCTGCAGATGGTTTTCAAACACCTCTTCATTCTCCCACCTCCCTCCCTCCCCCCCCCCCCCCTCCCCCCACACCCCCGCTTCCTTCCCCTTCCCGCTCCCCCATGGCCAGGTGTGATAATCATCAACCTGGCCAAGACGGGGGACAAGCTGGAGATGGTTCTGCGTGTGTTTTGCGTCCTCTCCTCTCTTCCTCCAATCACCATTGTATCCTCCCTCCCCCCTCCCCCTTGTTCAGGTGTGTTCATCATCAACCTCGCCAAGACGTGGGACAAGCTGCAGATGGCGGCGCGCGTGATCGTCGCGATCGAGAACCCGCAGGACATTTGCGTGCAGTCCGCGCGGCCGTACGGGCAGCGCGCGGTGCTCAAGTTCGCGCAGTACACGGGCGCCAACGCCATCGCGGGCCGCCACACGCCCGGAACCTTCACCAACCAGCTGCAGAACAACTTCAGCGAGCCGCGCCTGCTCGTCCTCACCGACCCGCGCGTTGACCACCAGGTACGCCGTTGACCGCGCTGACCACGTGGACCCGCGTATCCGAGAAGTCCCGCCCTTCATTCTTACACCCGGCTTTCTCTAGTTTCTAGGTGCATAAGTTATACTCTCCCCTATACCTATCTCCCGCCCTCTTACTCTACCCCCGCCCCCCCGCCCCTGGTCCCCTTCTTCCCTTCCCTCCCTCCTTCCTCCCCCCTCCCCCCCCCCCCCCTTAATCCCCTCCCTCCCCTCATTCCCCGCTTCAATCTTTTCTCTCACTTTTAAATTTTCGTTTACGCCGAGTAGCCCACGGCTGAAGCGGCGTTGACCAACATCCCCACTACTGCATTCTGCGATACGGACAGCCCGATGCGGTACCTCGACCTCGGGATCCCCCCTCACCCTCCATTCTTTCTGCCCCCATTGCTATCCCCTTTCCCCCCCTTCCCTCCCCGCCCTCCACCCCTCCCCCTCCCCACGCCCCCTCCCTTCCCCACCCCGCCGCCGCACCCCCGCCTCCCCACAACTCCGCCTACCCCCTTTCAGCCCACGGCTGAGGCGGCGCTGACCAACATCCCCACTATTGCGTTCTGCGATACGGACAGCCCGATGCGGTACGTGGACCTGGGCATCCCCGCCAACAACCGCGCGAAGCACTCCATCGGGTGCCTCTACTGGCTGCTGGCGCGCATGGTGCTGCAGATGCGCGGCTCCATCCTCCCCAGCCAGCCCTGGGACGTCATGGTGAGTCTGGGGAGGGGGTTTCAGGGTATTGGGAGGAGCGGGCGGGCGGGCGGGCGGGTTTGTGGGCGGGTGGGAGGACTCGAATGGGTGCCGGTGCCGGTTGTTCGCGTGCATGGTGCTGCAGATGCGCGGCTCCATCCTGCCCAGCCAGCCCTGGGACGTCATGGTGAGTCGTCTTGAAGGGGGGTGGGGATAATGGGAGGTGTGAGAGGGGGAGGCGGGAAGGGGCGAAGGGGAGGGGGGTTGAGGGAGAGGGAATCAGCGGGCGATGCGGACGGGGGAGGGAATGCGCGGGGCGAAGGGGACGAGCGAGGGAATTCGGGGGGCCAGGGGGACGGGGGAGGGAATTTGCGGGTTGAGGAGGGCGGAGGGTGAGGGAAGGGAAGGGGCTTGGGTTGAAGCATCCAGTGAGTGTCTTGTGCTGGCCGCTGCGTGGTTTTGTGGACTGTCGTGGTTTTTTTGGATGGTGCTGTTGATGTGCGGCCAGGATGCAGCCTCGTAGCCACGTCTTCTGATGGGGTACAATGGGGTCGATTCCTGAGACGTTTCAGGTCGAGTTACGCGTGAGGGGGTATTGGAAAGAGAATTCGGTGGGCAGAGCAAGGCGAGCAGGAGGGACGTGATAGATAAGGGGTTGGCAGATCGGCAGACTCCACATGGCACATGGTTTTGAGACGCCTCAAAACTCTTCTTTTGTCGAGGGGTTGGCAGATTGCACATGTCACATGGTGCACGTGGCGATATAGTGCCGATTGCAGTTACAGTAGCAGCAGTACCACTAGCAGCAGTCACAGTAGCAGCTGTATCAGTAGCAGCAGGAGCAGCAGCAGCAGCAGCAGCGCCAGCAGCGCCAACAGCAGTGGCAGTTGGAGGAACAGCAGGAGGAGCAATGGGAGGAGGAGCAGTAGTAGCAGTAGCAGCAGCCGCAGCGGCAGCAGCTGAAGATACAGAAGCAGCAGCTGGAGTTTTAGAGGGAGGGGTGTGACTGGGTACGGAGCGGTGCTTAATCTGTTGTAAGCAAGCGTTTTACCAGAGACCACGACATCCCATTAGCTGTTGTTAATTCTGTGCTCCTCTTCGTTTCCTCCCATCCCCACGTTGGCCCGTTCTGTTATTGTCACGTCCGCTTATTGTCACTCGCAGGTCGACCTTTTCTTCTACCGCGACCCCGAGGAGACCAAGGAGGAGCAGCCCGAGGAGGGCGCTGCGGCGGAGTTCGGAGCGGTTGAGTTTGGTGCTGTGCCCCAGATCGCCGAGGGGCAATGGGATGCTGCCGCTCCCACCGCTGACTGGGACGCTGCTGCTGCCGCCCCTGGTGGTACGTGCGATGGGGGGTTGGGGGGAGGGACGTTAGGGGTTGGGGGGAGAGACGTTAGGGGTTGGGGGGAGAGACGTTAGGGGTTGAGGGGAGAGACGTTAGGGGTTGAGGGGAGAGACGTTAGGGGTTGAGGGGAGAGACGTCAGGGGTTGAGGGGAGAGACGTTAAGGGGTTAGGCGGTACTCGTTTCAAAAGTGACTTCAGTGGGATGCCGCCGCTCCTCTGCTGATTGAGTTGCTGCTGCCGTCGCCCCTGGTGCTACGTGTGGTGGGGGATTCGGTGGGGTAAGTGTGTTGGCCGGGTAAGGATGGTATTGGTAGAAGAGGGAGGGTTTCGGGGTTTAGCGGGGCTTAGACTTGACCAGGTCTGGCATGGGGGAATGCGCCTGCTGCTGCTGCTGCTGCTGCTGCTGCTGGCTTTGGGCCTGGTTTGTGTTGATGCTGCTGGAGTGCTGCCGGTAGTAGCTGGATTGCTGCTGCTGACTGATTGTTGCCGCTGATTTGCTTACTGCTGCTGACTTCACTGCTGCTGCTGCCAACTGGATTGCTGCTGCTGACTGGATTGCTCCTGCTACTGACTTGACGGCTGCTGCTAATTGGCCACACTTGTTTGCACGCAAACGAAGAAACCACTATGAGCCCACCTTTCCTTGCATGATGAGTGGGGTCACCTGTTGGGCATGCATACACAGAAACACGCGCAGCTGGACATAACCCATCCTTTCCCTCCCACTTTCCCCTCCCATGCTATCACTCCCAACACTGCAGGTGCTGTGCCGGCTGTTGCTGGTGGCTGGGATGCTGCTGCCCCCCCTGCTGCGGGCGCTCCCCCTGCTGCCGTGTCATCAGGCTGGGATGCCGCCGCTGCCCCCGTGCCTGGTGTGCCCGGGGCTGGCTGGGACGCTGCTGCCCCTGGAGGCTGGGAGGCTGCCCCTCCCCAGTAAACACCTTCTCCAGATGTGACCTTTCTAGTTGGTGTGCATGCACACTGCAGCACCACAAGAATGCAGGTCCCTTCCGCTGCTGTATTGATGTTTCGAATATCGAGGGAAGAGAGTTGTCTTGCAGGATACCCGTGCTTGTTTGTGATGCGCTTAAGAATGTAATAGAATATCCTGCTTCTGTTCCTGCAGCTCAGTAACGATCAACTAAAGGAATATTTGCTTCTAAGAGTTACGCATACTTCCATAATTAGTCTTGGTGTTACATGTTATATCGAATCTAGATTTGAAGACCTGTTCCCATACCAACCGCTAACTGAGCAGTTATGTGGTTGGCCTGTATCCATTTCCTAAGCACAGCCATAGCAGCGGGCTGTTGCTTATGTGGCGCGCATGAGGTGTTTGACTTGGCAGACACAGAGTAGGTGGGGCGTACGTTAGCCGCCGTCCACGTGCCACAACGACAACTAGTGGGACTGCACGGGGATAAGGCTGCTCCTCATCAAGCCAATGACAGCTATGTCCGACTCATGATCACGTGATGCTCAGTAGAGATTTGGTTCCGAATAGCTGAGGGAAAAAACGTTTTGTCGCCGTTGTAGATTGACACAAAAATATTCCTTCGAACAATTTGGATTACTGATCTTCAAAGCACACGATTGCTTGTGAAAGACACTCGGTAGGTATATTTAAGCACCACGACGATCCTTATTGGAGACGATTGCTTGTACCTGATTTATTTTCGGCATATCCTCGAAATTAGATGTTCACAACACTGTAGCAAATTCTTCTGGAGCAACTTCCCGCGAATGTTCCGAGGCGTAGAATCATAATTACGAATGTGGAATCGATCTGTCTGCGGTCAGCACGGCTCCAAGCGTGAAAGATGTGATGCCAGGGGCAGCCGCACATCCCAAACCAGCTCTCAGGTCGGTGTTGCTGCGCTGGCCGCGGGCGTCCTGGGCTTGTTGCGGATGCTTCCCGCCTGAAAGGCAGTCCCATGGGATGGTGGTGCCCGAAAAAGTGCCCAGGTGGGGAGCGCGGGGTGACAGCTTCTTGCGAAACTCAGAAAAGGTGGCGGGGGCAGCAATCGCTCCAACAAAAATTGTACACGTTCCCACAGCCAACAACAGCCCGCTGGCTGTTGTTGGCCTTTTGCGTTTACTGTACCGCCAGCTGAGGGTTCCCTTTATGCCCAGCCCCATCTCCACGGCCTTCTTTTTCCCCGTCACTTTCCCCCCTTCCCGTTCCGCTCCCCTTACCCTCTCCCCTCCCCTCATCCCTTCCGTCTTCCCCTTCCCTTTCCCCCTTGCCCTTCTTGGTTTGGCAAGGATGCAATTTTTCCTTGCCTACAAACTCCCTCCACCTTCTCATTCCGCGGCTGTCTAGATTACATTTTTGCAAGCCTTCAGGTATCCTTCACCTATCACCAGAGCTCTCCTTGTGCCGCCCTTGTCCCTGGATTAGTTAGTCGAACTGGCGTTCTCGTGCTGACGACGACCTAAGAACCCAACCTCTTTTTTTTCGCTGTCACTGACAGCGTTACAGAGGTTTCCTTCGCGAACCTGCCAGGATTCACGCCATCTCTTTTGAGGGTTTCTACCCTTCAAGTGCACGTTCACTAATTCCCGCTGAGAAGCCTTCACCTTCAGTTCCAGCAGAAAAACTCGTGCAACAACAGCGGCTGTATTTTTCCAACCTTTTTTTTTCCTACGTGTCAATCCACGTGGAGAAGGGCGGCATGGAGAGCTTGATGGGTACTCGTCTTATTTTTGGTCAGCAGAACTTGCTGCAGCTTAAGCAACTTCAGGCTGCTGCAGCGGCGGCCACGGCACTGTCTGCGGGCCAGTATCTTCCGGTTGACGTCAACCTGCTTCTGCAACTTCACAACATGTCCGGGATTCAGAGCGATGCTTCTCCTTCGCTCGCGTCGGACGCTCGTCCTCGCCTTACTTGGACGGACAAGGTAGTTTTGTATGATAACTTTTTTCCGATGTATGATTAAAATTTTCGTATATCGCGGATCTAAATACAGGATTGTCTTCGAATTTCTGTTGCAGGAGGATTGCTTGCTGAAGGAGCTGATTCGCCAGCACGGGACGAACAAGTGGGCTCTCGTTGCTTCTAAGATCCGCACCAAGACGAACAAGCAGTGCCGTCGCAGATGGCAAGCGTTTTTGAACGCCATGGGCAACAAAGGCGTGTGGACTCCCGAGGAGGACGAGAAGCTTTTGGAAGGTCACCGCTTGTATGGCAACCGCTGGACTGAAATTGCTCGCATGGTTCCTGGAAGGTACTTACCTCATTCGTCCATTGCCCGCTTCGCTCTCTGTTTACTCTTGTAGTCTATCTGCACATATATGTTCTAAATGCAAAATTTTCTCCGTGTTTATTCCTGTTTTCAGGACTGACAACGCTGCTAAGAATCGGTTTGCGGCGTTGACTGCTAAGCGCGGTACTGCTATTCCGCAAAACCAGTCCAAGTCACCCTCGCATTCGGGCGTCTCTGAAAACGTGAGCGCGAGCCAGGTCGGCGATTCGTCTTCCGCATTGAGCGAGAAACCAACTTCAAAGAGGAGTCGATCCGATGCGCACTGGATGGATCGTGCGGTGAAACCGAAGGTGGAATTCGATCTCAACTCTGCTCCGGTGGCCGCTGTAGCGTTGGCCTCCCAGACCAGCAGCGCGTGCTCCGAGGTGGAGCAGTGTCTGGAAGACTCCTTCCTTCCGGATCTCAACTCTCCACTTCCGGAGCTTACGCTCTCGCTGTAGGCGAGGCGAGTGTTTTTTGACGACTGTGCTTATGTCAGTCTAGAGACCTCTCTAGTGCAGGCTCATGGCTCTTATGCCGTTTTTTTCCTGCCCGAAGGTTGTCTCTAGGCTGCTGTTAGCAGATTCGTCATGTTGAACTCAGCAGCGCTTCTGTGCATAGGTGGTTCCACCTTGGCTTTTTCTTGTCTCGTGCAAGTTGATCCCTTCTGGGATATGCCAATGTCTTTTCTTGCTTACTCGTAAGGTAGGATCATGCTGCTTAGCTTTATCATCCGAGCTGCTTGTATTAATGTAGTGGGGAGAATTATCGGACACATTTTGGTGAATGCTATCCAAAGTCAAGAAATGTGCAACAAACCGCCACTGACTTGCAAATGGTGGTTTAAGCACAACGCTTCTCTAACGAATAATTGAACCACTTTGGACCATTACGAAGTCCATTGCACCGCCATGCCTCCTTCCTGCATCACTCACCATCACATCACTCGTATTGGCATCACTTCTCCAGCCAGGAAGGGATGGATATCTGTGGAGGGGTGTATTGTGATTCCCGCACTGTGGCTCGCATGGTGTGTACCGGAATCTAGATGGAGCTTTCGGAAGTACCAGTCATTCCAGGCAACAGCACGGAAGAATCGGGAGCAGCGAGGCCTAGCGCTTCATCCGCGGCCGCTCCGTCATCTCCTCCTCTTCCGTCCGCGAAAGGCGTCGTCGCGTCGCTAGTGCGGACGTTCGAGGTCCACACGCAACACCACCACCAACACCTCGCATTCCAACCTGGCTCTCACGAGCCTGGTGATGGCGACGAGCCCGTTCAGGAGCGTCATCGTCGGCGCGAATCCCGATGTCACGAATCCGAGGACCAGCCGTTGCCGAAGCGCGCCAAGCTGGGTGACGTGGATAAAGATTCTGCCGAGCGTTCTGCTGCCGGTACATCTTCACCAGCGCATGCTGCTGACAAAGGACCTCGACTAACCTCACCGCGGACTGCTGACACGGACGCACTAGCAATTAATCCACGCTCGTTTGACGACGAGCCGGCGCTTCGTGGTCGTGGGGACGGTGCATCTGTGGCGAGCGATGGGCTTTGTGTTTGCGCGAATGGCGCGAATGGCGCGATTGGAGCGAGTGGCGCGAGTGGCGCGAATGGCGCGAATAGCGTGGTTGGTGCATTTCGTGATGCTGCTGCTGATGATGCGTCCGCGGCGGGGGGAATCGACGAGCTGTGGCGGAAAGCGGAGCTGCGTGCGGTGACGGCGGAGGTGGCGGAAAGCGAGGCGCGGGTGAAGGCGCTGAAGGCGGAGAGAGATGCGCGGGAAGCAAGGGTTGCCCGCGCCAGCGAGAGATGCAGGCAGGTGAGGTGGCATCTCGTTACTATCAGACTCCATATAGTCATAGTAGATGGAGTTGATGATGTGTAAGTGATGAAGCGGAATCTAATATGTTTCCTGTTGTCTTAGTTCTTGTTATTTGTTTGTTTGTAACCATTTTCGTTTTCCACCCTTTAATATGATTTGTTGTTTAGGTGTAGCCATTCGTGTGCCAACTATGACAACTCAGGCACCACAATCACTTCCTCATTTCTGTCAGGCGGAAGTGTCAATTCAGCAAGCCACGTCAGCAGTGCACGTAGCGTGGCATGCACAGTACTCCCTGCGGGCCGCAGAATGGGCGGCGGCAGTGGGAGTGAGAGAGGGAGTGGCAGGAGCAGAGGAGGGGAGAAGGCGGCTGAATCAGCTGCTGATGCTGGCAGGATCTGAATCAGGGCGTGGGGGCAATGAAACCAAAAGTATTACACTCGGTGGCATGCTGATGCTGGAAGGATCAGAGGCAGCAGCAGGGACGAGAGATGGCTTGCTGCACGGGAAGCAGCAGCAAGAGGCGATTTGTGGGGCGGAGGAACAAGGGGAGCAAGGAGGGGCGGAGGGACGGGGGGAGCGAGGAGCTGAGGGGGTTGGGAGGTTGGAGGGACGGCCGTTGGATACCTTGCATGCGTTGAAGGCCCTGCAGGTATGGCAGCGAGGGTTTGTGTGGCTGCTGTGCCTCTGCCTCACTGGATGGTCTCAAATTTGATAGCTTATCAGCTGTGAAGCTCGGGGTATGTGATAGCTCTGGTCGTTGTCCATGTGCTCTGCTCTGTCCTATGCTCTATGCTCTCTATGCTCTATGCTTTTGAGATTTCTCAAAAACTCCATGTGCTCTGCTCTGCCCTATGCTCTATGCTCTATGCTCTCTTCTTATCCACGTCCTGCTTCTCCCATTCTCCCGCATTCCCTTCCCCTCTCCTCCACCCCCCTTCGTGATGTCCAGATGGCAGCAAGGGATCTCACTGCAGCATCCTTTGCCATGGCAGATCGTGGTTTAGGCTTGGGTGCTGTAGAGGAGCATGTGAAAACATTCTTTAGCCTCCTTCGCCTCCCCCTTCCCTCGCCCACACCCCCACTCCCTGCAGATGGCAGCAAGGGAAGGGATCTCTTTGCATTGCAGCTTCCTTTGCAGCAAGGGAAGGGATCTCTTTGCATTGCAGCTTCCTTTGCAGCAAGGGAAGGGATCTCTTTGCATTGCAGCTTCCTTTGCAGCAAGGGAAGGGATCTCTTTGCATTGCAGCTTCCTTTGCAGCAAGGGAAGGGATCTCTTTGCATTGCAGCTTCCTTTGCAGCAAGGGAAGGGATCTCTTTGCATTGCAGCTTCGTTTGCAGCAAGGGAAGGGATCTCTTTGCATTGCAGCTTCCTTTGCAGCAAGGGAAGGGATCTCTTTGCATTGCAGCTTCCTTTGCAGCAAGGGAAGGGATCTCTTTGCATTGCAGCTTCCTTTGCAGCAAGGGAAGGGATCTCTTTGCATTGCAGCTTCCTTTGCAGCAAGGGAAAGGATTTTGATGTGGGCTTGGGAGTCGTGGATGAGCATGTGCATTTATCCACTTTCACCCTCAATTTCCCGGATTCCCTTCCCCTCTCTCGTCCTCCCGCTCCCCCTCCCACCCACCTTCCCCCCCCTTTCCGCCCCCCTCCCCCTCATGATGTCCAGACAACAGCTAAGGATCTCTCTGCAGCATCTTTTGCTGTGTCAGATCGTGGTGTAGACTTGGGTGCTGTAGAGGAGCATGTGCTCAGCATCAATAAGAAATGGTTAAGTTATTTGAAAATGCAGCGTTCTGTGTCGAACGAAAATGCTGTGGATTAGTGTAAGTATGGTCGGGGACTGTGTCCTTGTGGAGGTTCTTACACGCGATCATGTGTCCTCCGCTCCACCCCAGTGGCATAAGGTGGAAAAACTGTAACATGTTGGTACTGTAAATGGTTGACTCGGACTCCCTGTTTGGGCCAAAGGTACCATACATTGCGTCTGACCCACACTTTTTCTTGCTCCGAATCGAGCAAGCAATTTTCAAACAAAGGACAGGGTCTCATGCAAATGGGAAAATCAATTATATATACAGGATTCATTGAGGCCGTAACAGACCCTTGTGTTAGTCACACCCTGGTCTGGTGGTTCTTCTGTACCCATGTCAATCGGGTATACTGGGCGCTGGTAACTGCGTGTCTTGCAGAAGCACTGCAGCTACAGGAGGCATGAGCATGCCTTTCATATCTACATTGGATGGTGGTTAACCACCAGCATCCCATGCGCCTGCAGCCACAGGGAATGTATGACCGCCACTCTTCTGCCAGCCTACATTGAGCGGCTGTCAGCCTCTCTCTACGTTGGGTGGTGGTCAACCACCGGCACCCCATGTGCTCGCAGCCACAGGGGCATGCGGAAGTGCGAGGAGAGGAACGGGCGCACGTCTGGTTGCAGCGACAGGGTCTCGAGCAGTGGCAGCAGCACTTGCAGCAACTGGAGGGGGGCGAAGGGGAAACGTGAGGGGAACGGGGAGTGGAAGTGGGTGGAGAGGAAGGGGCGCACGTGTGGGTGCATGGACAGGGTCTAATTGTACGGCAACCAGCCACCACTGCTCACCTGCCTGCCCAACCCCTAGCAACCGCTCTTGAGAACTATATATATAGTTATGTATATATGCCCTTAATCATTCTAAGAAGGGCCTGCAGTCATCACTACTCCCCTGCCTGCCCAGCCCATAGCAACCGCTCACCTGTCTGTCTGACCCCTCGCCCCCGAAAAAGTTGAAGTTTGTTGGATTCGAAACGCAGCAAGCCTGCTGAGAGAACGATCTGTAATACTACTTTTGAGAAATCTCAAAAGTCACTCCAACATAAGAGAACGATCTGTAATACTAAGTCTGCTAATCTGAAAGTCGAGGGAAGTCGTGAGAAAAGGCAACCGCTCACCTGTCTGTCTGACCCCTCGCCCCCGAAAAAAGGCACACACGGCACGCCGTTGACTGGTTGCAACAGGAAGGCGAAGGGGTTGTTGTCTATGATCACTGTGCGGCGCAAATCTCGCCCCAACCCTGCCAGGTCCTTCACGTGCTGCCTTGTGCCTCTGGGGTTTCATGCCAAGTGAGAGGAGGGGGAGAATGGGAAGGGCGGGGAGTGGGAACAGGAGGAGATGAAAAGGTGGTGTTCCATACCCCAACAATGCCAGGTCCTTCACGTGCTGCCTCGTGCCTCTGGGGTTTCATGCGAAGTGGGGAGAGGGAGGAGAGGACAAGGAGGAAGGAGCAGTGGTTGTTGTCGATGATCACTGTGCGGCGCAAGCCCCGGCCTAACCCTGCGAGGTCCTTCACATGCTGCCTCGTGCCTCTGGGGTTTCATGCGAAAGAAAACGAGGATAGAAAGGGAGAAGGGTGGGAAGGGGAATGGGGGAGAGGGGGTGTGGGGGCTGTGGGCACAGGTTATCACAGAGGCAGGCAAAATACAATTCTACAGCTACAAAAGGGCGAGGCTGAGGCACATGAGGGGCGTGCTGCATGCATGCGTACATGGAGACGTTAACCCACATGAGGGGCATGCATGCATACATGGAGGGTGCTGTACATGAGGAGCATGCATGCATACATGGAGACAGTGGCGAGAGAGTAAGTTTTCTTAGGCACATCAAGGAGGATGCATGGTGACGGTGAGGCACATGAGGGGCGTGCGTGCATGCATACATGGAGACGGTGCGACACATGAGGAGAGTGGTGAATGCATGCATACATGGAGACGGTGCGACACATGAGGAGAGTGGTGAATGCATGCATACATGGATACGGTGGTGGGGGTGAGGCACATGAGGGGCGTGCGTGCATGCATACATGGAGACGGTGGCGGAACGGTAGAGGCGAGCTGAGATGAGCCCATCGGGATCGATTCTGTCCACTAGCGGCCGAGCGTAGCCTGCCACACACACAGCACACGGAGCATTCAGAACACTTTTGAGACGTCTCAGAGGTCGATTCAGTCCACTAGCGGACAGGCGTGGCCAGCCACACACACAGCACAGACAGGATTGGGACATGGCGGCAGCAGCACTATTAGACCACACCTCACCCCACTTCACCCCATCTCACCCCATCAACGCACTTCCCAGCCCAGCCGTGAAGAGCACCAGCTCGCCCAGCCGACTGGCTCTCTTACCGACTAATGAGTGTACTCCCGCCCAAAACGCACCCCGGGGGCACCCCAACCGCACCCCAACCGCAAAAACCGCTCCTGAACCGTATCCAATCGCACGCATCCCAACCCCACTGCACCTTCCATCCCGGCGGTGAAAACCACGAGCCCGCCCCGGCAACTGGTTCTCTCACCTTCTATGGAGAGCACGAGCACCCCAACCGCACCCAACCAACCTCACCCCAACCGCACCCAACCGCAACCATCCTAACCCCACCCAACCTTTTATGCCAGCAGTGAAGAGCACGAGCTCGCCCAGGCGACTTGCGCGCCTGAGGAACTCCCGCAACCCTGGGCGCTCAAACACCAGCATCCGCCCCTTTCCAGTTCCCGGCTCAACCGCACCCAAACGCACGCTTATCGCACTCGACCACATCCCACCGCACCTTCCAGCCCAGCAGTGAAGAGCACGAGCTCGCCCAGGCGACTAGCGCGTCTGAGAAACTCCCGCAGCCCCGGCCGTTCGAACACCATCACCTGCGCCCTCTCCGGTTCCCCGCTCGCGTCCTGCGCACGCGCGAGGTGGCGAGGAACGGGGGGGGGGGAGGGGGGAGGAGGAACGGGGGGGGGGGGGAGGGGGGAGGAGGTTGGACGCTATCGGTGAGCCATTCATGGGGGCGCCGCCACGCCGCCTCATGGCTATTCATGAGGGCTGAGCATATCACGGAAATGACTGTAGATTGTCTCTAAAAAGGACTCTGAGTGTATTGGGATTGCGAGTATATCTAACAGAGGCTGACTATAGGGAGGTCAGAAACAAAGGGCTTACGAGGTCCGCTGTGAAGCATTCGAGCTCGAAGCTACTGACGCCGCTGGCGGCGGATGCTTGACGGACGGATTCCGGCACGTCCTCCGCGTTGTACGCGCAGACTAGGGTTTCGTCCAGGTCCAACACGATCTGACGGAGACGGACCGAGACGGAAAAAAAATGTAACGGACAGACGGAAGAGGAAGGTATGAGACGGACGAAACGACTGCGGAACCAAGCAAGGCTCGGAGAGGTGAGGCGCAACTGGAAGTTCAAGCCCAACCAGAATCCCAGAGAGTTTAGAGAGTTTAGCTAAATAAACTCGCCCAGCACACAGAAGATGCAATTCCGTGTTGGATTTTTCCAGGGTGATATCGAGGGTTCGGATAAGAACTTCGCAAAAAGCTTACAGTCAGTCTCGCGTCGTCGCCTTCGTCGCGAGGGGGCAGGAGAGGCTTAGCTAGAGGGGTATCGACGGAGGAAGCGTTGGTTAATAGTAAAGATGGCGACTCGAGGGCTAGTCTGTCAGCGCGATCAACTACAGCGTGAAGACCCGCGGAGACTAGGAACGTTCTTAATTGCGCTCCCTTTCCGTATTGAAGGAGAATTCTAAGCAAAAGAATGAAGAATATGTGCATCGTTTGCAGTATATATGTCTGTACAGCGATCCAGTAGGAGAGGCTGGGAGCCATGCTTGCCGGTACTAATTGCGTCGACGCCATTAATTCAGGCATGAAATAAGAGTTTGAGGAGGGAGTTTTGGGTTCTTCCATCGTAGTTAGCATCTCGAGTGCGCTGTTTGGAGAAAAAAAATATCAGAGTCTGCACGAAGAAAAAGCTGCGCCAGGATTCACGGCAAGCATAAAATAACCTCAGGCGGATTGACGCTTATTCACGCGTACTTGGAGCTAATTCTGTTGAATCGCTCATCGGAATTCGGGGTGACGCACCCGTTTTGCCTGGGACGACGCAGGGGGGTGACGGTCGACCGAGCGTCAGGGCGGCCAACTCCCTCGCGTGAATCCCCCGCCAGGCTGGCGCGGGGCGGGGCTCTGCCCAAGCCCCCCGCCCCGGCCCCCCACCCCGAATTCCTACAGAACCCCACGTTGCAGCCGAGGGGTGGCGAACTCGCGCGTGAGCGACGAGGGGCCTAGTTACCCCTTCACGGAGGCGGACATTCGCTTCGCGTTGCCCGCGAGGCCCTAGTAACCCTCTCGGGCTGCCCTCGCCGGGCAGGCGGGTTGGTTGCGAAATTCAAAGGGCCCGACCCCACCCTCGTCAACATCGCTGGCCCCTCGGGAGGGGACACGTGGCTCGCCCTCGCCACCCCGGCCACCCCCATGCACGGCCCACACAAACCACCCACCTCCGCCCCTCCGAACCCCGCTTTCGAGGGCATGCCTGGTTCAGGCCGAAGCCGGAGGCTCGCCCTCGGCCACGACCTGCCTCGCCCGCCGAGCTGCATACTAGGCGACCGACGGCCCACGCCCATTTCTTGATGGGGGGTCCCACTCCATCCGTCATTTCTCTATGCCCCAACTTCGCTTTCCGATTTCCTCTGCCTCCCTGTCAGCTCTCCGCGCTCCTCCCCAAACCTTCCGTGATACCGTGGTGTTAGCATGGCGACCAGTAGGATAGCACTGACTGCGAATGAATTCCCCCTCCAGGTGCCAGTGGGCATCGGTGGGTACATGGTGACGCTTGAGATGAAGGACTACAAAGTCCTTCGCGACGAGAAGGCCGAGTTTACAAAACCTTGCTTCGACCTCGGCCTCGCGGGAGCGCGCATCCCTAGGTCGCGTTGTTAGTTGTTTAGGGTTCTGCGCGTTTTCGTCGGCGTCCTTTCTAGGTCGACGTTGGCCTTGTCGTTTTCCCGCGTGGTCGACGATGTCCGTCCGCGATGGACGTTTTGGCGCTGCGTCGTCTTATTAACTAGTTTGCCTGTCCTCGACCATTGGCCCTACGTCGGTGACGTCCGTCATGGTGCCGGCGACATCGCCGTCGTGCGAAACCTTCGTCCGAGTCCACTTGTCTTGCTGTCCGCGCTTTACCCCGGCGTCCGGCATGGATTGTAGCTCACCGCGCAAGTGTTTCGCTCCCGCCTTTTCGCCCCCGCTTGTCCCAGGTACGAGCTCGATCGTCTGGGAAAAGGCGACAGGATGATCCTGATCCGCGGTGCGAGTCTTCGCGCTGCCAGGACGGCGTCGAAGCCGGACTATCTGGTTTTCGGGTCGGCCTTCGGCTTCGAAGCCCTCGCCATCCCCCTGTGCACCGGGTGAGTGTTCCGCGCCCGTGAGGTTTGATCCACGCCGACCGCGTTGCTTGTTGTTCCCGGACAGAACCCTGAATGTCTCCGTCGTGCTTGTGTGGGCAGGGGCGGACCTCTTCCCGGCAGGCACTGCAGCGTCCTGCTTGTTGTGCGCCCTGGCGACCTGCTTTTGCCCGACGAGGAGGAGATCGGGACCTTCTACCGCCACCTCGACCCCAAGACCTCCTCCAAGCGGCACGAGGAGGAGGCGGCCAACGTTTTGAGGTGGGACAACGTCGACGGCTAGTCGCGCCGCTCCTTAACGGCGTTCATGCCGCCTTGTCTGATGGCTCTTTTCCGTCTCGTAGCGCAGGTTTTTCGGCAAATGCGTGAAGGCGGAGTTGAACCGTGAGGGAAGGCAGTGGACGGATGCGCCTCCTACCGCCAAAGTCCTCTCCGAACGTCTGGAGAGTCTTGCCGCCCACATCCGTGATGTGAGTTTCCAACGTCCATGTCGCCTTGTCGCCTGGGCTATCGTCGTCGAGGCGTCGACTCACCCTTTTCGTCGGCTCCATGTGCTTCGGATGTTGATGCCGAAATTGCCCGACATCCTCAAGGAGGAGCTCGCCGGCACGGGGCTGTTGGCAGTCAACGCGTTCGCGTGGTCGTTGGAGCATCTGGACGACGTGCATCACAGCTACGATCCGCTCATCGTCGAGAACCCGAAGATGGTCGGCTTGAAGGCGCTCCGACTGGAGCTGCTGCACCACGTGGAGAAGGCCGCGTCGAACAAAGGGGAGGCGGCGTCGACCGTGGGCCGTGGCGTCGGAACCGGCATCGCTCTGGGTGGGGAGGAGGAGCACGAGAGGGAGGACGTCGAGGGGGGCGGGGAGCACGACGGTGGCTCGGAAGAAGAGGAGGACGTGGAGCGTGAGGAGGACGACGTGGTTGTCACCGGCGAAGAGGAGGCAGTGTAGTTCGCCGGTGAGAAGGTTGCGGATAAGAGCGGCGGCAGCGGACCCAAGTTGGGCAAGAAGGCCCGGGGCAGCAGTGGCTCGACCCCGACTAGGATGGCGTCAAAGGCGGCTATCGAGCGTCTGAAGGCGGCGGAGAGGGAGATCAAGAAGCTGAGGGAGGAGAAGCTGGTGGCGGAAAAGAGGATGGAGTTCCAGACGGCCCGGAATGACACGATGTACGGTGTGGTCACCTCGGCCGTGAACAAGCTCACTACACTCGCCGAGGGCGTGACCCATCACGAGCAGACGTCGGGGAGGAGCATCCAAACGGCGGTGGACGCTATGAGGGCGGTTGTGCAGGAGGCGGTGAGCTATCGCGGCTCCACCCTAGAATTCATGAACACGCAGTGGCTGCCCACCGTGCAGGCCCTGCACTTGACGGCTAATGCTGCACAGGGTAGGCGACAGGAGGACGACCTGCTGCTGTTTCGAGGTGTGGCAGATGCTCTCGGCCAGAAGATCAAAACAGTCGTGTCTGCCGAGGTGAAGGCCGCCATGGAGGGCGAGGCGCAGCGGATCGCTGCTGCCGTGACTGCGAAGGCCGTCTAAGAGCTTAGGGACGACCTGGTGAAGGCGGTTACCTCCGCGACCCAACAGGGCATTGGCACCGCCGGGTTTAGCCTCCTCCCAACTGCTCTCGCGTCGGTGATGCACGGCGGTCGCGCAACCGCCGAGGAGAGTGGGCCGGCCCCAAGGCAGTCGGGGAAAAGGGTCGCCGACGAAAAATCTCTGACCGGCGACCAGACCAACGGCACTAAGCGAAGCAGAGGACCTGCCGTGAAACGCGGTGTGGGCATGGATCCTCCTGCCCCTCCGTATGTTCGTATCCCCGGCGTCCACGACTTGCTGAAAGATGGACTTGGCGCGCGACCGAGCGAAGATTTTCGACAGGTCGACGTCGCGCTCCAGGATCCTCAGTCGGTGGTCGGAAAGACCGGTGGGCAGCCCGTGGGGGACAAGCAGCCACAGGCCCCGACCGATCCGCCGAGCGCACACGCCGCGCCACCGAGCTGCGACCAGGTGAGTCTGGCCGACGAGCTCATGGGAGAGGCATCCGTGGTCGCTGGCAGCCAACGGCAGACCAGCATCCAGACCCCGAGGCCAGTCCGCCGACTACACAAGGCGCTCGACCGAGCGGCGGCACGGCCCAGATGGCAGACGACATGCACGTCGCAGCGGTGGTCGGTCAGGCGCGCGGGGAGCCCGTTACGGTCCAGCATGTTCAACCCTCGACGAGTACGCCGACTGCGCGACCGACCGGCGTCACAGCGCAGCTGCCCGACGACCTCCTGCGCCCGGCGGCGGTGGTCGGACAGTAGGGTGGGCCGCCCGGTGCGGGCCAGCATCTTCACCCCTCGACGAGCACGCCGACCGCACAAGATGCGCGTCCGGCTGGCGTCACGGCGGTGGTCGACGAGCTCTTGCGCCCAGCAGCGGTGGTCGGACAGCAGGGCGGGCCGCCAGGTACGGGCCAGCATCCCCCCACCGCGACGAGTCCGGCGACTGCACAGGACGCGCGTCCGGCTGGCGCCACGGCGCTGGTCGACGAGCTCTTGCGCCCAGCATCCGTGGTCGGACAGCATGTCCAGCAGGCCGCGGCGGGCCAGCATCCCCACACCGCGACGAGTCCTGCCACTGCACGTGACACGCGACCGGGTGGTGTCACGGCGCTGGTCGACGAGCTCTTGCGCCTAGCAGCGGTGGTCGGACAACATGTCCAGCAGGCTGCGGCGGGCCAGCATCCCCACACCGCGACGAGTCCTGCCACTGCACGTGACGCGCGACCGGGTGGTGTCACGGCGCTGGTCGACGAGCTCTTGCGCCCAGCAGCGGTGGTCGGACAGCATGTCCAGCAGGCCGCGGCGAGCCAGCATCCCCACACGGCGACGAGTCAGGCGAGGGCCAGTACCGGGAGACCAGGTGGCGTCACGGCACAGCTGGTCGACCAGTCTTTCCGCCCCGATCTGCGAGCGACAAACGTCCCACCCAGCGGCGCGGTCGAGGCCACATCGGTGATCGTGTCGACGACGACAGCAGCGCCGACCAAATCGAGTACTGCCCGGGCGACCTTTTCGCTGCCGAACCCGCCTCCGCCTACCACGGGCACTGCCAATGCGGCCAGCTAACCCGTTCATGGGGCCATGGTCGCTGCTGAACCGATCCCGATCCCAACGGCTGTTGAGTCTCGGGCGGTCGAGGCTCTAATCACTCAAAAGCCATCGTTCGATGAGTATCTGAAATGGCTCGAGGATCAGGGTCATAAAACCCGGTAATTCCTCCGACTCACAGCAACCAGGCGGTCGACCAAGGCGCAGAGGCAGCGTACGTCGCGGCGGCGACTGCAGGGCCGAGTGGCTCAACGGTGGAGGCGGCTATGTGGAGAGCGGCGGAAGAGGCCGGCGGGGTGGACGAAGAGATCCTCGCCAGCATCGTGATGCCGGACCCGGAAATCAAGGTCATGTGGGAAAAACTACAAGCGGCAGCTCCCACCGTGGGAGCGCAACAGGGTGCACCAGCCACCACGCCTGCTCATGCGGAGTACCATAGCGCGGCTGGCGCCAAATCCCCCCCGGCCACAACCGGTGAGGTCGGCGATGGGAAGCAGAAGCGCAAGGGCAAGGACAAGGCGAAGGGCGGCTCGGCGAAGGTCGGCTCTTCCAAGGGGACGTCCAAAGCGGCCGCGCAGGGTCGGAAGGGTTCAGGCGTCCGCGTTGACCCTTCAAATGGGCTGGCCGTCTCGGAGATGAAGTTTGGGAAGAAGAGCCCTTACATCTGCCGGTCGATGGACAAGTCCGAGGCCGCCTACTGCATCGCTGTCGCCGTTTCGTCGTTCGACGGCTTTGTCAGCGACGTGGTTCTCGACGAGTTCGGTGGGGTCAAGGAGGAAGTGATGGCGCAGTATAAGGCGGACTGGAATGTGGCGCGATTGATTCCGGGGGGCATGTGGATGGTCATGTGGAGCCGAGGGGCGAACGTCTTCCGCGACAGGTAAGCTTGGCGAATGCTCAATTTGGTGCTCATTTCGGTCGGTTCGCGTGGGCCGGTCGGTGACGGTGGGTATTCCTGCTGTGTTTCGCAGGTTCCAACAGGTGGTCGCGGAATACAACAGGATAAACGGAGCCGACCGCGCAGCTCTCATGTTGGCTCTTCGCCCGGCGGTGTGGTTCGGCGACCTTCCGGAGTCGACCGAGCCCGAGAAGGCCGCGAAGAACAAGGTGGCGAGCGACATTATCGCACGCGTTTCGATGTGTGCTGCCTTCGCACCAGTGGCCGCGAAAATGACGCCCATTCCGGGCGTCGGGTCGGAGCGGTTGTCCGAGATCCTCGCCGGTACAGCGGCCGCGGTGTGGTGTTTTTCGGGGACCAATGCCACGGCGGAAGTAGCGGCCGGCGAAGGGGGGGCGGCAGCGACCGTGCGCGGAGCGTCCAATGAGTTTCCGAGTCTGTGTCGGACCGTCATTGAGGTGGTGCTTCAGCGGGCGGCCTCCCGGGTGGTCGTCGTAGAGGAGGTCGCCGAAACGGTGACGAAGGGCCTGCAGGCGGCTGTGGTGAGGTCGCTGCCTGAGGTCGGAGAGGAGCGCGAGCACGACGAGCTGATCGCCCGTGTCATGATAGAGAACCTCGCCTTCTGGGGGGACTGCAATGTCGGAGGCCCGAAGCTCAAGGCTCGCGGCGTCGATTTGCCTATCGACCCCCAAGTGAAGATTATAATTCGGGACAGGGGGGCGAGGGGGCAGCAGCACAAAGGGAAGCAGGTCGCCGACGCGTAGGTCGACGAAGGCTGGCCCGCCTGCTCGTAGCATGGTCGGCGTGGGTGCAAACGCCGCAGGCTTTCTGACGAAGACCTACAAACGCTGGCCCGACCGCTCGTGACATGGTCAAAGTGTCCGGTTTCGAGTGTTGTTTTGTTGTTTTGTTGTGCCTCTCCGGCTTAGGGATGGTGAATTTGTTCGTCGGTAGTTTTTCAGAAACGTTGTGAAGTAGGTTTTGTGGTGTGGAGTCGGTTTGATGCATGAACAACAGACAAACTTGTACTAATTTACAAGTCGAAAAAACATTGGCAGTAAAAGAAAACCATATAGGATCACTAGAACAGGTCGGACACGCTCAGCACACCCCCAGCCCACCCTCAGCCCGCCCTCAGCCCGCCCTCGGCCCGCCCTCAACCCACCCTCATATCAAAGTCTTAGCTTGGCTAAGGAGCCATAGCTAGTTGAGTTCGAGTGAGTTTTGGTAAGTCGAGAAAGTTGAGAGAGAAAGTGAGGGGTTTCACTATAGAGCGAGGAGTACAAATAGGCAAGAAGGAAAGGTGCACCACCAAACAGAACATTATATAACTACAGTAGTCTACACTACAGGCAGTTACAAAACAATATATAGAAATATATATTATTCTTGACACGCCCCCATAAGTGCCTGTAGGGAAGAATATGCAGTCAACGCCCCCATAATGGGGTACACCAAGCAGAGTGCAGTTGAAGTAGCAGCAGTATGCAGGAGCAGTGACAACCAGTGCAGAAACCAGAAAATAGAAGGGAGAGAGGAGAGAGAGAGGGAGAGAGAGGAGAGGAGGTGGTAGGCTCTGGTCCCCTCACCCTCCCCCTCCCCCTCCCCATCCCCCTCACACTGCTGCAGGAGCAGCAGAGGAGGGGGGGGGGGGGGGGGGGCAAACGGAGGAGAATGGGGCCGTAGGGCCAGGGGACCAGACATCACCCATCACCCCCACACCCGCCACCCCCAGTCCCTCCCCGGGCTCCCCCACACTCTCACACCCTCCCCCCCAGCGGCAGCTGCAGCAGAGGGAACAACAGGAGGAGGAGAAGAGGGGGGGGAGGGAGGGGGGGGGGCGACACACGGCCTCCCCGGGCGCCAAAGCAGGCGGCAGAGGGGGCGACGCCTGCCCCCCCCTTCCAGGTCGCCCCTCCCGTCACCTGTCGAGGCGACCTGAGGGGGCCGCGTGCGGCCCCCGAAGGAGCCGCGACGTGTGACGGGAAAATGGGGGGGGGCGGTGCACGTGCCCCCGGTATGCCGCCGCTGGCGACAGGGCATGCCCGGGGCGGGGTCGGGGCCGCAAGAGGGCGGGGCCGTAGGTGGCATCGGGGCCTGGGGCGGGTACCGCACGGGCGGCGACGGGCCGGTACGGGCGGCGACGGGGCCGCAGCGGACGGCGGCGCGTCGTACGGGCGGCAACGGGCCGGGACGTGCGGCAAGGCTGCTAAAGCAGGGCGCCGAGGCCGCGACAGGAGGGCGGCGGGGCCGCGACAGCAGAGAGGCGGCGAGGCCGCGACAGTAGGGCGACAGGGCCGCTTAAGAAGGGCGGCGGGGCCGCGACAGTAGAGCAGCAGGGCCGCGATAGTAGGGCGGCAGGGCCGCGACAGTAGGGCGGCGGGGCCGAAAAAAAAAGCAGGGCGGCGGGGCCGCGACAGTAGGGCGGCGGGGCCGCTTAAGAAGGGCACACCACGGGGCGTGCAGAACACTTAGTAGCAGCAGAAGCAGGGGTCCAGGAGCGTTACGTGCTCTGTACCATATCAAAGTCTTAGCTTGGCTAAGGAGCCATAGCTAGTTGAGTTCGAGTGAGTTTTGGTAAGTCGAGAAAGTTGAGAGAGAAAGTGAGGGGTTTCACTATAGAGCGAGGAGTACAAATAGGCAAGAAGGAAAGGTGCACCACCAAACAGAACATTATATAACTACAGTAGTCTACACTACAGGCAGTTACAAAACAATATATAGAAATATATATTATTCTTGACACCTCAGTCACACCACGCTTAGCCAGCAGCACAAGTCGGACCCAGACGCAGTTTGCCTTAGCCCGCCCTCTTGCGCTTCCCTGCGCCGATGGCTCCCGCCGTCGCCTCGGCCTCCAAGCCGGCCTTATTGGCCTGCTCATCCCACAAGTTGCCGAAGAGCGTCTTTCCCTAGTCAGCGTCCATGTAGCCCGCCGTGACCACGCCCCACGCAACGGCGAGCTTCCTCGCCAGCGGCTTGTCCAGACCCTTGATGCCGACCGACTTTCCGTCAGTTGTGGTGGGGATTTTGATGGGTGGGGTTGCACGGAGGACCAAGAGCGCGTCGCTGAAAGTGGAAAGCCCCGCTCGCCCCAGGTGGTCGAGTAGCTTGATGACGGCGGCGGTGTCAGCGGCGTCGTCGCTTCGCCGCAAGTCGCGCACCGCTTCCATGATCCGCCTCATCCGGCGAGTGCAGTGCTGCAGCGCATCGTTTTTCCCCGTCTCACCCACCTCAGTCGTGGGACGAGAGCTCTTCACCGACTTCGCCGACGCGGCGGATTTGTCGCCCTTTTCGACCTTGCAGATCATGCGCGTGTGTCTGACGAGGAATCTGTGCTCGTCGTAACGTTCGCGCAACGGACGCGAGTCGAAGTTGGACGGGTTGTTCCACCAGCGCCATGCAGCCTCGACTGTCTTGGATGTGCGCCAGGGATGCACGACGTTGACCTCGTACGTCAGGTCATCGTCCTGTTCCTTCTCGATCTTGACGGACGCTGCCTTCTCGGCGGCGGTCATCGGCCTTGACAGTGCCGGCGTAGTCGGCATCGGCCGTGCCTCGGCCAGCTTGAGAGCCTGCATCAACTTCGCAATCTCCGCGTCCTTCTCCTCCAACTTCTTCTGCATCTCAAGCTTCTCGATCGCGGCATCTTCCCTCTGGCGGTGCAGCATCATGTTGAGCTGGTCGACCTGATATTCGGCGTCGACTTGCGCGCTGAATTCCTGCGATCCAAGGGGGATGGTCGGCAAAAGGTGAGCCAATGTGGCAGGACGACTTGTTTTACAGGTCGGCGGAACGCGCACGCCGTACCTCTTGGGGGTTCTCGCTCGGAGTACTGCGCGTCGCGATGGTTTCGAGGTCCACCCGGTTGACGTCCTTGGCCCATTTCTGGAAGTCGGGGTCGCGGCAGAGCTTGGAACTCTGGACGTACAGGTGCCACGGTTCGCGCATCAGCATGCACGCAAGATCCTCGGCGACGATTCGGCGACCGAGCTCGATGAGCGATTGCAGGAAGTGCACCCCGGCCGTGTTGGGCTCTCTCGCGGATGCGCACCTTACCGCCTACGAGTCGAACACAATCACAAACACAATCAGCCGTCGGTAGAATGTCGTCGTGGAAATGGTCGGCGGGTTGTCGGCGTTTTTGCCGTCCGAAATGCTCACCTTGGTCAGTTCCGCTTCTGCCCACGGAATGATGTGCTGGGCGATGAGGGCCACCACCTTGTCGTCGGGCTTCACCATGCTCCGGCCAAGGTGGTAGTCGCCGCGCTTGCCCGTGTAGCCGGCCTTTCTCAACACCGTCGCCTTCGGGATGGTCGTGATGTAGCTCTTCGCGAGCTTGTCGAGCGCCCAGTGGCCCAAGTCGGCGATGTCAGATCGCGGAACGCCGTCGTTGGCCAGCTCCTGTGCCCCACCCGCCCGGGTGGTGTGGGTGTTGCGCGTGATGAAGATCTTGTTCGCGCGTGAACCGCGCGGGACGACTTGCCGACTTACCTGTCGTCCCTGTGCCACTTCTCACTGACCATCGCGCGCACCTCCGAGCGGACCTCGGAGATGTCGTACATGAGGTGGAGCTCCTTCACCCCGAAGAGCGTCCCCTCGACCTTGCAGGTTGTCTGGAGCGCTTTGATGCGGATGAGCGCCATCGAAACGGTTGTCGGCTTCAGGGGCTGGACACGGACGTCGGGATTCAGCTCCTCGGCCTTTGCAATACCATGCTGCCTCGCGATTGACAGAATGTACGCCCTGATCCGCGTGGCGTTGACGCGGGGACCGTGCATCCATTGTAGGTCGCCCTTGGCGGTGTGCCACTGATCACCCATGTCTTCGTCGATGTACCTCCCTATCTCGTCCTCGTGTTCCAGCACGCCGTCCCCCTTGACTCTGGCAGTTTGCTGTCTTGGAAGGTTCGCGCAGCACCATCTCGTGAAGTCGAGCAGCGCCCGCAGGTACTGAACCCGGGTCGTTCTCGCCTCCAGCGTGTCCAGATGCCGGAAACCCCACATCATCCTCAGCAATCTGTTCTTCTTGGCGAGCTCTTTGTTGATGTCGAAGGCGGCTTCCGCAAAATCGTCGCGGGGAATGTTTTGCAGGAAGGCGTCATCTTTCTCGTCGGCTGCCAACAAGTCCTCCACGGTCAGATACATGTAGTCGTTTTCTGGAAATGGTCCACCGTGTCCGAACGCGGTGAGTACCGGTCCGGCTCGGGTTCGGGAGCCCCTTTCGTCCCTGGCGGTAGGGGGATGGTCGGGTCGGCGGGAATTTTTGCCCTAGTGGCGTCTACGTCGACCACCATGTCGGCGGGAATATTTGCCCTAACGGCGTTTACATCTTCCTCCATGAAAGGCTCGTTCAGGTCAGGAATCGCGCTGCTCCCCGCCGACGGCGCGACGCCAGCCATCTCGGCGGGTAGAGTTGTTCCCGTCGGCCTCTAGTTGTCGTCGCGGTCTCGCGGCGGTACGTGCTCAGCCCACTAAAGTCGATACTGCGCAATCGCTGCCGTGTATTGCCTTCGCACCGTGGCCCTAAAGGCCGCCCGTCTTTCGGGCCTCTCAACGTTCTCGGCAATCGTCAACTCCGCAGCAATGTCGGTCAGTTCGGGAATTTCAGGAAGTAAGGGCGGCGGATTGGTGTTCTGCTGGGTGATGTTCGGAGTGGCCGTGGTCGGCGGCGCAATGGTCGGCGGGGTGTGAAGTGGCAATGTATCGTTCGGCGGGGTGTTGTTCGGGGGGAGGTTGGGCGGGGGGGTGTTGTTGGTCGGGGTGTTGTTCGTCGTGGTGTTGTCCGGCGGGATGTTGTTAGACTGGTCCCTGGCCATTGGAGGCCGTACTGGGGATCACCGGCGATGACAATACTGGTTGTGGGTTTGAAGAAAGAGGTCCGCGACTTTCGGTTGTTGTCGACCTAGCTAGTCGTCCTAGTTAGAATGATCCTAAGTCGGAAGCCCGTACAGTTTGCCGACCTTTTCGCAATCTACACCGGCGTGGCTCGTCGTCGACCCTGCACCACGCGTGGTCGGTCGGTCTCCGGGAAGCGTGAAAATGACTAAGGGAAATGTGGCTCACCAGAATGAAAATGAATGCAACGCAACAAACAAGTGACGAAATGCCATGGACACTTGGCCGTCAGGGGGTCATAGCATAGAGAGGCACAGTCTCGGTTCGGGCGGACAGGTGTTGGCGGGCGATCCGTGGGCAGGTCTCCAACCCTGCATGCAAGGCAGAACGGCGGCGCAATGGTCGACGTGGCACGGGGCACGCATGTTTTTTTCGCAGCCGACTGTCCGGTGTTCCCGTCACGGTGAACCGTGCTTACACGTCGGCGTGACGCAGCAGTGCTCATCGCGTCGTTTGACGATGGTATCCCGCGGGCACGTTCCCGCCAGCAGGCCGTCGAAGGCTTGATCGCCGCGTGGACAGATGTTCGCCGATTGATGTTCGCCGCGTGGAATGTTGTGTTTCGGATGGGCGACGTGTGGCTCTACGCGCCAGCGCTGTGGTCGGCCAGGAGTCGCGGTGGGCCGCACGTCGCAGTCCGCGCCGATGGCTAGCAGGACGTCGTGGCACGCTGGCCGTTACCGGCGGCGTCGACGTGTCGATCTCGTACAGAGGGTCCGTTGTGAGGTGCTATCGGGGTATTTTTCATCGGGATTGTCGGGTGACGCATGGTGACGCTCCTCGCCCAGGACGTGCACTCAGTTAGCTGGACAGGATGGCGCAGGGTGGCGGATCCCTTTCCCGAGCAGCGTCGTTTTTGCACCCGGATGTAGTCGGCGCTTTGAGATATACCATGCTGTACAGGGCAGCTGATTTTGGTGAAATGTGAAGCGGGAGTTGCTGGAGGCGCCATGGAGGCATGTCATGATGCATCTTATCAGCAGCGCGTCAGCTGAGGTAGTTACTGACGGCGAATGGTGCTGGCTGCTGCTGTGAATGTGAAACAGAAGCGACCCTCCAAGTACTTGTATTTTCTAGATCAAACAGCCTTGACTTCAATTTCTGACTTCATAAAAAGATGTCGAAACACCATCTACTAGGCAGCTACAACTGTCTTATGATGAAATTTACGTTTGAAAATCACATGATCGAGCATGTGTAGGGAAATGCGAAAGTGTTTCAAACGTTTTACAGTGCCCGGAATCAATTTGCAGATGGTGAGTGCAAGAAGAAATTCGTTGCATCCCAGAATCTGCGACTGGGGGCAGGGTCTGCCTTGGGACCGCATTGCCGTGACCACCAGAACCGAAGACTGACGGACGGTCAGATGTCTCTGTGCCTTCCTGCTGTGGGCTGGGCAGCTGGTGTGCGACGGATCCAACGACCGATCGCGACGTCCACACTTCTCTGGAGAGCGATCCATTCGATGGTGGCGAGGGCTCTAATAACGCGGGGCACACGTCTCCAAAACTCGGTATAGCGGAGTTGCTTGTTTGTGCTGGTACATGCCCACCAGACCAGCGCGAGCCCAGGAAAGAGCGCTTGGGTGGGGGGCGGAGTTCAGGGATAATCAGTCCAAACGTTCAAACTCGCTATTCGAGCACCAATGTACAGAATCGAAGTGGGTAAGCAGGTCCGCCAAAAATCCGTTTTTGAAGAACAGAACCGCGGCAGTGTACACATGATGCCCATCTCAGTCCCCTTCCCCATCTTTCCCTGTGCTCCTCTCTCGGGCATGCGTTCACTAGGGGCAGAATGGGACTGAATGTGGAACAAAGGTTGACAAAAAAACTACAGTTGCGGAAATTGTGGGTAGCCCAGCGTGTTTTGTCTGGGAAACTCGAACATCTTGGTTTTGTCGTGGGCTAGTAACGCGCGGGCCGTTGGCTGTGAATGTCGACCACTGGGCGTATGGAGTGGCAGCGAGCCTGTTCAGAGTGGGCGGTTGTATGAGCATTAGGGTGTACAGTATTTCCATATGGGATGTGTCACTAGAGTTTAACTTCCATACGGTGGGGTGACATTCATGCTTAGTTCAGAGCGGTATGTTTACTACGCAGAACGTCTGTACAGATAATGCTTTTGACAGAACGTGTAGTAGAGTTGGTAGGGTTGAGAAGGACCATACTTCTACAGAACCCAGTAGCAATCGGGTTATGATAATCTATAATTCGGTTAATTTCGGTTTCGTGGTTCATTCCCACCAGACCAGACATGCATGGCCTTCTTCCCCCTGGCCAAGTACGTCCCCCTGAAGCCTGTTCCACTTAGCGCCTTAGGTCCTAACTTGATGCCGAAACGATCATTCCTAATTGCTTTTCGTTGACCATGGCTGGATGCATGCATTCCTGTTTGCGACATCGCACTCCCGTTCTCTCATCAATCTGGATGGGGGGCATACCTGCCGTCTAATGTATGGCGTATTGGGATGCCATATTCGTTATTCCCCTCTATTCCTGCTCCTCTAGTCTGAACTGGCCTCCTTAGTAGAGCAGAGCCTATTGCATTCCTTCCCATATAATCTCCAGCTTTGGGGACTTTTACATTCCTAACGGGGCGCGCGTTGCGTGCTGCGAAGTGTGCCGCGAACGCGTGTTGCGCCTTCCCAAGTAAGACCCGAGACCCATACGCAGAGGACACGCATATCTCGAAGCGGGCTCATGGGGCCATTAAAAGCCTTTATGGACCCGTCGGCCAATTCCCACTCGCAGCTTCGAAGCTTCTAAGGCTTATCCTGTACACACAGCAGTTTGGGGTTAGTTCGTCGTTTTTTTTTTTCCCACTTGTATACTCAGCAGTCTAGGGGTAGTTCGTCTACGTCGATTATTCCTCTTGGTTAGGTTGCGGTGGTAGCTGTTTCAGCCCACGAATCGAACGAGCTAGATTTTCCGTCGTCCATCTCCTCGTGCACTGCAATCTCCCATTTCATTGTCCCTCGCATCCAACGGTCGTCGTGCGCTGCGACCCACCAACGGTCACGATGATGGACCCGGTGCTCGTCCTCATCATCGCGAGCTGCATGACTTTAACGCAGTTTGCGCTGCAGCTCAAGGAGAACATCACCACCAGCGCTTACCTAAAAAACTTCGATCTCATGCTGGAGTCAACGGCAACACTTCACGCGTTGCTGACGGAGTTTAAGAGCTTCAAGGGATGGGGTGTGGCCACCGACGGCGCGAAGAAATCGTTTCAGAGGCTTGAAGACCTTTTGCGGAAAGCTACGGCGTTGCTACAACGATGCATCAGCGCGCGGAGTAAACTGCTTCAGGTGCGAATCTTACGGAAGGAAATTAAATTCGTCTATTTAATCTTCCGCATGTCAGTCAGGTGCGTAGTGGCGTAGATGTCGTCTCATCATTTAATTTCGTTGGCGTTTATCCCGTAGGGTTGGACTCTGCGAAGCTGATGCCATTGCATTATGAACTGTATTACACACGACTGGCTTCATTACTGCCTCCTAATGTTGAAATCGCAGCAATCCAAGTCTTTTTTTCTCAATTTACTTGCCGAATTAAACTCTACTTTACTTATTTGGCGTGTATTACGGAATGCAGTTGGTATCGGAGCACGCGCTACAGGCGCAGGACTTCATCAAGATGCACGCGGAGCTGGAGCAGTGCCTCTCCACCGTCCCCATCCAAACCCTCCCTGAACCCCTCACCTCCAAGGTCAGTCAGTCGCCCTACTCGCCCACGCGTCAACCCCCTCGCGTTCCAGGTATGCGGCAATGCGGCTTAGACTGGACGCGTCAGAGGTAAGTATTATGGGGCATGGCATCAGGCGAAAACCTGTACTGCGAGGAAGTATGCTAACAATGCAATGTGCAGGGGTGATCAGGGTTGAAAGCTTCACGGGCACGAGTTTGCCTTTATGGCTTGGCGGTAGTCGCAGCTCTCTGGATGTCCATGCGGTTTTGATAAGCTATTCAGAATGGTTGTTCTGTCGTGTGTCTCTGCTTTCATTCACAAGTCAGACTAATGTACTATCTCAATCTCAAATCAAGGGCGGAGACCGCTTTTAGTCTTACTTTCGTTTTATTAAACAAGCTTCCAAAACATGAGCATTTTGCATGCCTTAGTTCAGAATCCCCCGTTTTCCCAGTTCCCTCTTTGCCAACAAGCCCATGTGCGACAAATTGCCCACCCTCCCTAGTCTCCACTGCCCTCCCTCCGCGCTTACCCCTTCTCCGTTTTTTCTCCCCTCTTCCATCCCCCACCCACCACCCCACCGTTATCACTCTCTCTTTCACACTCTTGCGCCCCCTCTCCTTCCGTTTCTGCTTCTTTTTCTCTTCCCCTCCCTTCCTCATCTTGCTCTCACATTCCCTCCCCGTTCGCCTCACCCCACAACAACCCCCCCCCTCCCCCCCTCCCCCCCCCCCCCCCACAACTCTCCGCACTCCCGCCCGCCCCTCACTCTCCTCTTTCCATATAAGCGCACAATCATGCGCTTTTTCCGATTCAGTCACGTCCGCCACACACCTGCACCCTCACATTCCCCCTCCCCTTTCGCCCCCCTGCCTTTTCTTCCTCTTTCCCACCCCCACACCCTCCGATTCCCGCTCTCCTCTTTCACCATGATCTCCCCTCCTCCCCCCTCCCCCTTTTCCCTTTTTTCCCCCCTTCCCCCATCCTCCCCCTTTCTCAGCTCACGGCGATGCGGCAGCAGCTGCTGAACACGCCCTTCACGGAGTGCGTCACGCCCGCCATGCGCGCGCAGCTGCAGCTGCTGCTCTCGTCCGCCGCGTCCCCCTCCCCCGCGCTCAAGGACGCGCCCGGCTCCGACGTCCTCGCCTTCCAGCTCGCGGAGGCGCTCGGGCTGGGGCTCTCCGCGGAAGCCGCCAACCCGGGCGCACTGCGGCGCGAGCAGGAGGCGCTGGCGCTGGAGAAGCGCAAGGCGCAGGAAGGGCGGGACCTGGCTCAGGCGAAGGTGGTGGAGCAGGTGAGAAGGGGGGATGGAGCAGAGAGTTTAGCGCGGATTGAATCACGTTAGGCGCAGGAGGGGCGGGACCTGGCGCAGGCGAAGGTGGTGGAGCAGGTGAGAGGGGGGGAGGGGGGACTGGGGATTCGGCAGAGGAGGGGACCGGGTTGGGGAGGGGCGGCAGAAGGATGATGAGTGGGCATTGAAACACATAAGGGGCGCAGGAGGAGCGGCTGGATGTTGCTCAGGCGAAGGGTTGTGGAGCAGGTGAGAATGGGAGAGGGGGGACTGGGGAATGGGCGAGGAGGAGTGGGAGGGGAAGGAGGGTGAGAGGGGAGATGTATGGTATTGGTATAATACAAGCCAGCGGCGCAAGAGGGCTGGGATCTGGCACAGGCGAACGTTTTGGTGCAGGTGAGACCGGGGGAGGGGGAACCGGGGGAGGCAGAGAGGGGGAAGGGGGGGGGGAGGGAGGGGGAGTTGGGCGAGAAGGGAGATATATGGGACCGGTTTGAACGGGGAGATACATGGTGGAGATGGGTGAAAAAGGCGAGGTGAAAGGTGAATGTAATCGGTTTGATTTGAATAAGGTTAATTGCAGCAATAAGGTTGTACCACGCGAGACGGCGGGGAGAGGGAGGGAGGAGAGGCGGCGAGAGCAGGGGTGAAAGGGGAAGAAGAGAAGGGACAGTTGTATGGAATAGGGCAGGAGCCTCAGAGGACGCACGAGCAATGCACAAGCCATGCAAAGACCACGCACAGACCATGCACCATATGCGCCCCCACCCCAGCAGCACATTCCCCCACCCCCGCCCTATCGATTGTTCCACCATCGCGCCTGCCCGCCCCACCCCATGGACGCCAGCAGATAGTGCTTGTGCTCAATCCATGCGCGCGGTGGATTGATGTGACTTATGAGCAGGCTCATTTGAGAATTCTCAAAGGTCACATCAACATAGCTGGACGCCAGCAGATAGTGCTTGTTGTGCTCATGCGCGTGGTGGATTGAGAAGTGGCAGCTGGCAGGCAGATATGCCGCTTCAGATCCACACAACACATTCCATTGCCAATTCCCTTTTCCTTGTTCCCCCATCCCGCCTGTCCCCGATTGCAACCCACCAGATAGTGCTGGTGCTCATGCGCATGGAGCGAGAGGTGGCAGCCCGCAGAGAGAAGCAGAAGCGCGCCGCTGAAGCCGCAGCAGGCAGCACTGGTGCTGCTGCTCCCACCGCCTCAGCTGCTCCCGCCCCCTCCTCCATCTTCGCCCCTCAGCCCAGCCGGTCCCATGCACCAGCAGCAGCACCGGGAATCAATCTGCTGGCAGAGAGCTTGACAGAGCTCAGCGTGGGGGGCAGTGACAGACAAGCAGAGGCAGCAGCAGCAGCAACTTCGCAGCAGCAGCAGCAACAGGGGGCAGGGGCAGGAGCAGTGGCAGGGGTGGTGAGACATCAGGAGGGGCAGGAGGCGGCAAAGAAGGTGGTTGAGCCGATCAAGGTGGTTCTGCCAGGTGATAGCGCTGCTGGTGGTGGTGGTGGCGCTGCTGGTGCTGGTGCTGGTGCACGGCGTGACAAGAGCCCACAGCCAGGAGTGGTAGGAGCAGAAGGGGCAGGGGTGGGAGGGGCAGCAGCGAACGGGGCTGGGGGTGTGGCAGCAGGCACAACAGCAGCAGCAGGGGCAGCGGCAGCAGCAGCAGCGGCACGAGCACGGTCACCCACGCCTGCAGCAGCAGGCGCCGCCGCCAGCAGCAGTGCCACCACAGCAGCCACGAGAACTACTGCAGCAGCACCACCACCACCAGCCGCTCCAGCTGCAGCACCAGCTGCATCCCACGCGTCCAGGCCAGCAGCACCAGCAGCTGCTGCACAAGCATCAGCAGCGGCAGCCGCGGGTCAAGCCGCACAGGCGACAGGGGAGCAGGGCGTAGCCCAGCAGATCATCCGCACGCTGCGTCTCGGTACAGTGGACGAGAAGGCACAGGCAGCGGGGCTCGTGGGCTGGCACACGAAATTCTCTGCCACCAACCGAGCCATGTTCCGCTCTGCTGGGGTCATCGACGCTCTGCTCCCCCTCGCCGCCGCCTCCTCTCCCCAGGAGGCGAAAGCAGCCGACGCTGCAGTGAGAGCCCTGGGGAATCTGCTGGCAGATGAGGATGTGAAGGTGGAGTTGATTGGGCACCTGCCGCTGCTGGTCCAGGCGCTGAAGCGCGCCCAGCTGCCTGCCACTCGCGCAGGCATGGCGCGGATTTTTAAAGCGATTGCCACGATATCGGATGAGGCGTGTAAGGTGGTGGTGGATGCGGGTGCGGTGCCGCACTTGGCTAAGTTTGTAGACCCCAGCGCCACTGCCGCGCCGGCCAACCCGGCCCCGACGGGCGGCGCGGCGGTGGCTGCGGCCGCCGCCGCAGAGGAATCTTCCAAGCAATGCGCGGCGGAAACCCTAGCGATCCTCGCGCAAGTCCCCTCGAAGCGGAGCCGAATGGTGGCAGATGGGGCCGTTGGCGCTCTCTCCCTCCTCGTCCTCGCGTCCCCGCCGAACGAAACCCTAATCGCGGCGGTGACGGCACTGGCAGGGCTGGCGAGCGTGCATGAGGGGAGGGAGGGCATGGCGGCGGTGCTGCCGACGCTGGTGAATCTGCTGAGGGTGGAGGATGAGGGGGTGATGGCGCCGACTCTTGACGCGCTGCTGCTGCTGGCCAAGCACAGCGCGGGGTACCGCAGTGGCATCCGGAATAATGGCGGCATGCGGCATCTGAGGAATGTGCTGCGCGTGGGGCCCTCGCCTCTCCACAACAAGGTGAGCCTTTGAGGTTTGAGACACGCACGGCTTAATGCTGAGTTATTGGACGTTTCAAGAACCGGAATAGCGGCGGAAAGCAAGCAGCATCTGAAGGAGAACGATCTTGGTGTTGAACACGCCTCTGCACAACACGCTTCTCGGCCCGCCACAACAAGGCAAGGTTGAAGTCGTGAGATGTTATGGGAGCGGGATGAGATTTGCCTCCCACAGACTCTGAGGATTATGAGGTGTTGTTAGTGGCCTGACCTGTTACTCTTGCTGCTGCTGCTGCTGCTGCTGCTGCTGCTGCTGCTGCTGCTGCTGCTGCTGCTGCTGCTGCTGCTACTGACAACAAGCTGTGCTGGTTAAATGCAGCACTGCTGTGAGAGCATCTCAGTTGCTGCTTCTCGTCATGCCAATGCATACCGTCATGCCATCCTGCCAACATACCATCATGCCGTCATACCAACGTGACATCATGCCGTCATACCAACATGACATCATGCCATCGTACCTTTCTCGACATTCTACTGCGTGTCCCACATCTGCGCGCTCCCACATGCCATGGCAGGGCATGGAGCTGCTAGCGGCTCTCTTCTCATAGCCCTTCAAGCCATGTGTGAAGCCATGGAGTTTCCTCGAGAGCGGCTGGCCATTTGTTGATTCACTGCTGTATCTTCTGGGAATTCTCAATACCTGACAATCTGGAAGGAAGCTTCGCACAAACAGGGAAAGGTTATCAACATAAGCGTGGCAGCTATTGCGTGTTACAGAGTCACGCATTGTTTGCGGAATATGCAGTCAGTACTCTCAAGTTATTCTAGGTAGGTAGCCATTCCAGCTAGGAGGCTTGCGTAGGACTACCTACGCACGGTAGTTGAATTAGTCTAGTTCCCAAACTGGTTTGTCTAGCTGGGTGGGTGGCTAGCTAGGCTCCAGCTTCATGTAGTGCTCAAACCCCTTGCCTTCTAGTAGAAAGAGATATAACTTTCTGCTTTGTAGCGCAATGTCGTTACTCCTCTGTTATGTAGCTGTAAGGAAATTTCCTAATTCCTTACTGAGGCACCGCTTACGCGTACATTTCCAACTTTCGGAGTTCAGGCTCGGTCCGACGACCTCGCCTCCCGAACGTCCTCCGCGTCGCCTTCGGGTTTTTCCAAACCCAAACCTACACCCAACCTCGCACGACTTCGCGACCTCAGGCTTAGCTAGCCTTGCTATATTATGCCTAGGCCCCGATGTTTGCTCAGTAGTTGTAATCACTTCCGCGATATTGCATTCTGCGCACTCTTCTTTCATACAACTCATAACACCCGGTATCAGAGCTACTTTCCTAGGTTACCCTCCACTTTCCGGGGTAGTTTAGTACGGGGGTGCGATAGGTTTGGTGGGCTGCAAAGCGGTCGGCTGAGAGATAGATACGATTATCTCGCTCCGACTAATAGCGTTTGCGCCTTCATCAAAACCAGAAAAATCGCTGTTAACCCCCTGCCCGTTAGACGAAGCCTGCGACACATGGACCAGGCGGAGTTAAACGAGCTCATGCAACAGTTTCGGGCGCTGCAGGCCAACATGCAGACTATGTCTGGCGAGTTGGAGCGCCTGAGGGAGGAAAACGCCGAGCTACTCCAGACGCGAGGTGAAGCGCGTCAGGAGTCGCCCGTCGTGGATGAAGCAGGGAGCAGTTTCGTGCCTAACGACGAGGTCCTCAGCGAGCTACAGAACTCGCTGGACGCTGAAGACGAGCGGGCAGCACGAACGCGACGAGCACAAGGGACGCAGGAACAACAGTCACAGCCGAGGCAACAGTCGCAGACGACGCCACGACAGGCAACAGCGACAATCCCGGTGATGGCTTCAATGGCGCCCCCGATGCATGCAGCAGCAACAGTCTCAACAACTGTTAAAATTAAACCGACGAACCCGCCCCCGTTCAATCCCAGCGACGAAACCGTCACTGTGTCAGCTTGGTTGTTCGGCGTAGAGGTGTTTTTTAATGCTGCGCAAATTGCTGACGATGCTACCCGCATTAATTTTGCAGTGTCACTATTACGAGGACCGGCGTTGGAATGGTGGAAGCCAACTCTTCAGCCAGAGGGGGCTCCGGCAGGGATATCACTTGCGAACGACGGGACCTGGACAACTGTCACGCAACAGGCAACTACAATCTTCGGAGTGGCCACGATACGCACATGGACGGAGTGGGGCGCCGCGCTGCGAAGCAGATTCGAGCATGTATCCGCCTCGGATTCTGCTCGCATGAAGCTGCGTACCTGGAAGCAGGTGGCGTCGGTCCAAGATTACACAGCGACGTTCTGCAATTTAGCTGACCAAGTGGACGACATGAGCGACGCGGAACGACTCGACCGATACGTCGCATGCCTCAAGTACGAAGTACAGTACGAGGTGCGACGAGCGAGGCCACGCGTATTTATCGAAGCTGTCCAGGTGGCCGAATCAACGGATGCGCTGATGCAATGGGCGAGAATGAGTTCCCGGGAGGGCACTCAATTTTGTGGACCGCCGCGCCAGCCCACAATCAACGGGGTGGATGCACCGAGGCGGGGAAACAACAACTGCTTCATCTGCAACCAACCGGGCCACTGGAAGAAGGACTGCCCGAAGCTGAAACAGGGAAACAGGAACGACGGAGAGGGGTCGGGAAAAGAGACGAGTCAGTAGCAGTCGGGCCACCTACTGACGAGACCCCATCGCCCGGCAATCAACATCCACACCGAGTGGTGGTACCGATACGGGCTATCGACCGCAACCGGACGAATAAAGTGGATGAACACGTGGATCACCCTGTGCTGGTCGTGGGGAGGGTTAATGGGCAAAAATAAAATTATTCGTCGACGGTGGGGCGAGCCACAGTCTCGTCAACCTAGCGACGGCCAAAAAAATCGGAGTCAAGCTGGACAGGTGTCTACCAGAGATTGATGCGCGATTGGTGGACGGAACACCGCTGGCGATCAAGGACAAGGTCCGACAAATTCGGATGAAGTGTGGCGACGATTTCGGGTTCTCCATGCGAATGTTGGCGACAACAGTGGACGGTTGCGATGTGCTGCTCGGAAGGGATTGGCTGCAGCGTTTCAATCCGACCATCGACTGGACGACGGGAGCGATCACGGTGTTGTGCAACAAGGGGCGCGTGACACTTCCGAAATGGGCGGAGCCGGAGCCGACGACAACACGTGTCAACGCGATAACGATGAAGAGGGCGATAAAACGGGGAGCGCAGGGCTACGCCGTACAGCTGTACGAGGTGGTGGCTTCCGAAAAAATCGCCGACATCGACACGCTCTGCGCTGCTGTACCCAACGACGTGGCGAGCATAATTCGGAGGTACCCCGAAATATTCGTGGATGACCTACCTGATGGGCTGCCACCTCAGCGTCCGGAAGACCACAGGATCGAGCTGGAGCCAGGCGCGAAACCAACCGTTCGGTCCCAATGGCGGCTCAGCCAACCGGAGCTCGACGAATTGCAGAAACAGCTGGATTATCTGCTTTCTAAGGGTTTTATCCGGCCAAGCACGTCGCCGTACGCCGCCCCGATACTATTCACACCGAAGAAGGACGGAGGCCTGCGCATGTGCATCGACTATCGAGCGTTGAATCGGATCACAATCAAGTCGCGTTACCCGATCCCACGAACAGACGACCTGCTGGATCAACTTCGCGGGGCTCGTTTCTTCTCGAAAATCGATTTGCGAGGTGGCTACCATCAAATTCGGGTGTTCGCCGACGACTGCCCGAAGACCGCATTCTGAACCCGCTACGGCAGTTATGAGTACACCGTGATGCCGTTCGGGCTGACGAACGCACCCTCGACGTTCCAGCTCACTATGAATGGGGTGTTTCGCGACATGTTAGACAAAAAAGTTATCGTTTACCTGGACGACATCCTGGTGTACAGCAGGACACGGGAGCAGCATTTACAGGATTTGGACGAAGTGTTCCGGCGCTTGCAGCAGAACCGGCTGATTACGAAGGGCTCTAAGTGCGAGTTCTTACGGTCGGAGTTGGAGTTTCTAGGGCACGTCGTCTCTGGGGAAGGCATTAAAATCGACCCTCGTAAAATAAAAGCGATTTCGGAGTGGATGCCGCCCACGAACATCACTGAGTTGCAGAGTTTCCTCGGCTTCGTTAACTACGTCCGCCGTTTTGTACCCAATATGGCGGGGGTAACCAGGCCGTTAACCGATCTCCTGCATAAGGGCGTGCAGTTTCTTTGGGGGGAGAGAGAACAGCTGGCTTTCAACGAGCTGAAGAAAATTTTGAGTTCACCCCCGGTGCTTCGACTGGCAGATCCATCTCGACCGTTCGAAGTCGTGACGGACGCCAGCGATTTCGCTGTCGGCGCTGTGCTACTACAGGACTTCGGCAACGGACTGCAACCCATCGCGTACGAGTCAAGAAAAATGCAGCCGCCCGAGCGCAACTACCCGGTTCACGACAAGGAAATGCTCGCCATCGTGCATGCGTTTCGAACATGGCGATGCTACCTCATGGGAGCGGATGTCACAATCCGAACTGACCACAAATCACTACAGTACATGCGCAGCCAACCACAGCTCAACCCACGACAAATCCGGTGGATCGACTACCTCGAATCGAATTTCCGCTACACCATCACATATAAAAAGGGCGCCAACAACATCGCCGGCGCCCTGACCCGCCCATCCATGCAGACCGCAGCAGTACTAATCGCCCATTCCAACCCTTTATTGACAGGATTATTCAAGCACGGCTACAGGATCGACAGATTTTTCAGGACCAGTCAACACCGCGGGGTCACTACACCGCATGGAAGTTACTACCTAAAAGTCGGTACTAACCGAGTTTGGGTACCTTCCTACCGACCCTTACGCGAATTGCTGACGCAAGAAGTACACGATTCCAACCTCTCCGGGCATTTCGGCGTCGACAAAACATTGAAGCTGCTGCAGCGGAACTACTACTGGCCCGACATGGCGTCGGACGTGCAGCGCTATGTGTCCGCCTGCCCGACCTGCCAGGCAATGAAGTCATCACGACAACGACCAGCTGGCTTACTGCAGCCCCTCGAGCCACCCGAACGACCGTGGCAACAGGTGACTATGGATTTCGTCACGGGCCTTCCAGCTGGCGCAAGTGGCAACGACTCCGTGCTCGTCGTCGTTGATCGCTTAACGAAAATGGCGCATTTCGCGCCCTGCCGTACAACGATCACAGCCGAAGAAACAGCACGACTCTTCATCTCAACCGTCGTACGCCTCCACGGGTTACCTTCGGCGATCATCAGCGATCGAGATCCGAAATTCACGTCGAAATTTTGGCAGGAGACATGGGCACAGTACGGCACCCGCCTGCAATTTTCGTCGTCCTACCACCCGCAAACCGACGGACAGACAGAGAGGACAAACCAAACGATGGAGCAGCTGATTCGCACGAACTGCCCGGACATCACCAAGTGGGAAGATTCTCTTCCCATGCTCGAATTTGCGTACAACAACGCCCCATCGGCAACGACCAAGCAATCACCATTCTACCTGAATTACGGGATAGACCCGGTGGTACCCTCATCGACCACTCCCGACAACCCGGTACCCAGGTCACAGCAGTTTATTTCGGAACTCCAGGACGCGCGTGCCAAGGCAGCTGACTTTATCCGAAAAGCGAATTCGACCGCCAGCCGCTACGCTGACCAACATCGACGGAATTTACCCTTCCGCGAGGGGCAGATGGTTCTCCTGGACACAAAAAACCTCAGACTGCCCCAGCCCGCAAAACTGCGTCCTCGATACGTGGGACCTTTTCGCATCATTCGAATGCTGACACCGGTCACTGCGAAGCTTCTCCTCCCGGACGACTGGCATATCTACGACGCTTTCCACGTCAGTTTACTTCGCCACTACGTGGCACCCCAGTCCTCCGACGTCGCTCGACCCCACCAGGCGCCCAGTGTCCGACCGGTAGCAGATCCCACGCTCCAGCCCTGGAAGATATTGAATCATCGCATTCGTGCGACCCCAGCCGGCCGCCACATCGATTTTCTACTTCGTTGGGTGGATCGCACAAGTGACGACGACACATGGGTCCCGGCTGACTCACTACAAGGGCACTCGGTACTCCGGCAGTATCTTTCTCGCCGACACGTACCTGATATTGACCACCTTTCTTGAAGGGGGGGGTAGTGTAAGGAAATTTCCTAATTCCTTACTGAGGCACTGCTTACGCGTACATTTCCAACTTTCGGAGTTCAGGCTCGGTCCGACGACCTCGCCTCTCGAACGTCCTCCGCGTCGCCTTCGGGTTTTCCCAAACCCAAACCTACACCCAACCTCGCACGACTTCGCGACCTTAGGCTTAGCTAGCCTTGCTATATTATGCCTAGGCCCCGATGTTTGCTCAGTAGTTGTAATCACTTCCGCGATATTGCATTCTGCGCACTCTTCTTTCATACAACTCATAACAGTAGCACTAAGGAGGCACTTTTTACCGTAACTTTCTGTAATGTAGCACGATGGAGGTAAAATATAAGGTAAAAAGTGGTACATCACAGAAAGTTACGGTAATAGACATTTGAATAAAATATAGGTAGTCAATGTAAAATCCCAGACTTGTTGGCTAGCCATGTTTTAGCTTGCTGCCTTGAGGATAGTTGAATTCCAGTAAAATGTCAGCAGGAGAGTTACATAGGAGAGTAAAATGTTGGCTTGATGCCTTGAGGATAGTGCTCATTACACATTGGATAGTGAACTTACACTGGAACATGTTATTGCTGTAGCATGATGGAGGTCAACTTTGCATTAGATATAGATATATATTTGTATAACAATAAGTTACATCACCCTACTCATCCAGAGCAATGGTGCCGTACTTGTGCTTAGCGCACCTATCGATGTCACCTGTAAGGAAAAATCGTCATTATCCCCTTTCTGTCCCGATTGCGCATAATCTACAAACGTAGTAAGCTCTTTATCAGAGCGGTTAACGGATACCTCTGTAAACCCTGCACAACTGTACACCAGGGGCCTTGTTTCTGTCCATTTACATGGTAATGAGGTGCGCTGTATCCGCTTCGTGTTGCCCCCACCGCCGCCGCTGCCCCCACCATTGCCATTGCCACCACCGCTGCTGCTACCACCACCACTCCCGGTCCCACTCCCATTCCCATTCCCGTTGCCGTTCCCGTTGCCATTGCTGCTGCCGTTACCATTTCCACTTCCACTACCGCTGCCGCTCCCATTGCCACCATTGCCATTCCCATTCCCATTCCCATTACCATTCCCATTCCCATTACCATTCCCGTTGACGTTGTTGCTGGTCATGATCACGCTGTTCAGTTTCCTGCCTCCTCCAGACGAGGCTGACAGCAGCAGAGCAGCAGACTGGGGGCTGTTATCCGGTGCCACGAGGATGATTGTATAGGAGATGCGGTAGAAGCTGGCCGTGCTGCAGTGGGGGAAGAGGGAGAGAGGGAGAGACAAGAAGTCAAAAGGGATTGCTATCGGTATCTCACGGAGTGCAGGAGGGCAGCAGACTGAGGGTCGTTATCTGGTGCAACAAGGATGATTGTATAGGAGATGCGGTAGAAGCTGGCCGTGCTGCAGTGGGGATGGGGAAGAGAGAGAGAGAGAGAGAGAGAGAGAGAGAGAGAGAGAGAGAGAGAGAGAGAGAGAGAGAGAGAGAGAGAGAGAGAGAGAGAGAGAGAGAAATAGAGAGAGACACACACACACATGGACAAGAAATGAGCAGGAGTTATAATCGGTACCATATCTAACAGATGAATGTCCGTACGTAACATATCAACCCTGATGTGAGTCCCGCCCAGCAATGGAGCCTGTGAGGTTGCAGGGAGTTTTTGAGAATTCTCAAAAAACACACGCTGTCATTGAGGTTAACGTTTTTTTACGTTTTCTGACGTTTTTGTACTTTTTTTTTTAACACTTTTTGAGGTTAACGCTGTCATTGAGGTTAACGATTGAGGCATGCGTGTTCCACTCGGAACGAGCGAGTAGAGGAGGGAGGGAGAGGGAGAACGAGAGAGTAGAGCAGGGAGGGAGAGGGAGAACGAGAGAGTAGAGCAGGGAGGGAGAGGGAGAACGAGAGAGTAGAGCACGGAGGGAGAGGGAGAACGAGAGAGTAGAGCAGGGAGGGAGAGGGAGAACGAGAGAGTAGAGCAGGGAGGGAGAGGGAGAACGAGCGGACGAGAGACGTACAGGCTGTCGACCCTGATGTGAGCGCCGCCCGGCATGGGGTCGGTGAGGTTGATGGCGAATTGGGGGGACGTCACTGCTGGCAACGGGGCTGATGCACGGTCTGCAGCACAGGAGGGACGTAGGTGGGCAGGGGAGGGAGCAAAGGGGAGTAGAGGAAGCGGGCATGGGGTCTTTTGAGGACTTTTGAGGCACCTCAAAAATGAGGTTGATGGCGAATTGGGGGGACGTCACTGCTGGCAACGGGGCTGATGCACAGTCTGCAGCATGGGAGGGCAGGGGACGGTAGAGGAGGGAAAGGGAGGGCAAAGGAGAAATATTACAGCCATGAAACGCAAGGAAAGGCACGGGAGCACAAGAGAGTGCAGGACGACACAGGAAGGTGCTGGAGAGTGAAAGAAGGAGAGCAGACGAGAGAAGAGATGAGTGGAGGAGAGGAGAGAGCAGCGCGTACCAAAGGCAGCAATCGTGCTCCCTGCAAAATCCCCAACGGCCAATCCCTGCGCGCCACCTGGACTGCTCGACATCTCGTCATACTCCATCGCGATCAACGGCCAGGATTGTGCCACACTCCCACCTGACCCAGTTCCCCCACCCCCACTCGCCCCTCCCCCCACACAGCCTCCGTTCTCCCCCCCAGTGCGAAGGGACGCTAGTGCTGCTGCCAGTGATGCCGGGCTTGGGTTGAGAGGAGGGGAGGAGGGAGGAGGGGTGGAGGGAGGAGGGGTGGAGAGAGGTGGGGAGGAAGGAGGCAGGGGAGGGGAGGTGGATGGGGGTGCGGAAACGGGAGGAGGAGGAGAGGAGGAAGGACCATTGCCATTGCTGTTGCCATTACCATTACCATTCCCATTCCCATTGCCATTGACAGTGCTGTTGCCAGTGCTGTTGGCATTCCCATTCCCATTACTGTTGCCATTGCCACTGCCGTTACTGTTACCATTGCTGTTACCACCACTGGAGTCAGGAGGAGGGGAAGAAGGGGGGTCAGGGGGGGAGGAGACTGAGGGAGACAAGGGCGGGGAAGCCGGAGGATCGAGGGGAGGGGGACTCTTGTTTCCATTTCCATTCCCATTCCCATTCCCATTCCCATTGCTGTTCCCGTTGCTGTTGCCGTTCCCATTGCCGTTCCCATTGCTGTTCCCGTTGCCATTCCCGACAGGAGAATCAGGAGGAGGAGAAGCAGGAGGATCGGGCGGCGAGGAAACAGGAGGTTCGAGGGGAAGGGAGGCGGATGGAGGAGAGGGAGGAGGAGGTGAGAGGGAGGAGGGAGCACTAGAGGGTGGGCTCTTGTTAGCATTTCCGTTCCCATTCCCAATGCCGTTGCCGTTGCCATTGCCATTGACAGTGGCATTGCCATTATCCGCAGGGGGAATAGGAGGAGGGGAAGCAGGAGGGTCAGGTGGTGGGGAAACTGGGGGTTCGAGGGGAGGGGAGGAGGATGGAGGAGAGGGAGGAGGACTCTTGTTGCCATTCCCATTCCCATTCCCATTGCCGTTGCCGTTGCCGTTGCTATTTGCATTGATAGTGGCATAACCATTCCCAGCAGCAGGGGGGATAGGAGGAGGGGAAGCAGGAGGTTCAGGTGGCGGGGAAATCGGGGGTTCAAGGGGAGGGGAGGAGGATGGTGGAGTGGGAGGAGGAGAGGAAGGAGAGAGGGGAGGACTCTTGTTCGCATTTCCATTCTCGTTCCCGTTCCCGTTCCCGTTGCCATTCCCATTCCCATTCCCATTGCTAGTGACACTGCCATTCCCGGAGGGGGAGTCAGGAGGAGGGGAGACAAGGGGGTCAGGGGGAGGGGAAGCAGGGGCGTCAGGAGGCGAGGCGAGTGGGGGGGACAGGAGCGGGGAGACTGAGGGTTCGAGGGGAGGGGAGGGAGATGGAGGAGAGGGGGGAGGAGGAGAGAGAGGGGGAGGAGAGGGAGGGGGAGGAGAGGGAGGGGGAGGAGAGGGAGGAGGAGGAGAGGGAGGAGTGGGAGGAGGAGGGGAAGGAGGAGGAGGGGAAGGGGAGGAGGGAGGTGCGCTCTTGTTCCCATTTCCGTTGACGTTGCCGTTACCGTTACCATTGGCATTTCCGTTGCCGTTGTTGCTGCTGCTGCCGCTGCTACCAGTGGTGGTGGAGGTGGTGGAGGGAGGTGGAGGGGAGGAGGAGGGAGGTGGAGGAGAGGGAGGCGGAGGATCTTTGACCTTGGGGAGCAGCATGAGCAACGATCTTTGAGGCACCTCGAGCAACGACCCATCTGCAGGTGTTGCGCTGCAGGCGCCAGCAGCACAAACAGCAGCATCAGCAGAAGCGGCACCAAACGCAGCAGCAGTTGCAGCAGTCATAGCAGTAGCAGCGAAGGGGGTTGAGAGAGAGGCAGTGCGCGCAGCGGAAGCAGCAGCAGCGGTGGAAGCAGAGGGGGGGGGGAGGACGAAGTGCCCTACGGCTTCCCAGAGAGTGGGGGTGGCGGCAGCAGGCTTCCTCCAGGTGATGGCGTCTGGGAGGATGGGGAACGGGCACGTGCCCTGTGCGCAAGGGGGTGCTGCACCGCCCCCGCTGGTGGCACTGCTGTTGGCGGGCGCGAGCAGGGACAGCTGCGAGGGTGGCGTGTCCTTGGGTGTTGTGGCTGTCAGCTTGTATGCCACGCACGCACTGCTGCCACACGTGCTGCACATGGGGATGGGGGTGAAGGGGAATGGGGAGAGCGTGAGTGTGATGTTGAGGGCGGCATGTCCTTGGGCGTGGTGACTGTCAGCTTGTATGCCACACATGCACTGCTGCCACACGTGCTGCAGATAAGGGAGGGGAGGATGGGGATTGGGAGATGGGGAGGGAAGGGGAGGGCACGAGTGCGATGTTGAGAGAAGGGCAGTGGTTGTCAGCCTGTATGTATGCCACACACGCGCTACTGCCACACGCGCTACTGCCACACGCGCTACTGCCACACGCGCTACTGCCACACGCGCTACTGCCACACGCGCTACTGCCACACGCGCTACTGCCACACGCGCTACTGCCACACGCGCTACTGCCACACGCGTTACTGCCACACGCGCTACTGCCACACGCGCTACTGCCACACGCGCTACTGCCACACGCGCTACTGCCACACGCGCTACTGCCACACGCGCTGCAGATAGGGATGGGGGATAAGTGACAGGGGGAAAGGGGAATGGGAGAACGCGGGTGTGGTGTTGACAAACTGTCAGCTTGTACGCGGCGCTGTGCACATGTGCATGTGTTGTGTGATAGCGCGCGTGTGCGCGTGTGTGCGCGTGTGCGCGTGTATGCCCGTGTGTGCGCGTGTGTGCGCGTGTGTGCGCGCGTGTGCGCGTGTGTGCGCATGTGTGCGCATGTGTGCGTGACAGAAGGGACGCAACACACTTCGCGCGGCGGGTGACGCCTGTGGCGGAAGTGGAGGAAGTGGCGGATGGAGGCGCGAGGCGCAAGCAACTTACCCGAGCGCCAGGCTGATGCTACCGCGGCCGTTGCCCCCACACACCAGGGCCACGCGGAACGCTGCATGCGGGGGGGAATGGGGGAACAAGTGGAAGGGGAAGGGGGAAAAGGGGAAGGGAGGGGCGAAGGGGAAGGGAAGGGAAGGAAGTGGGGGAAGCGGAGGGGGGAAAAGTGGGGGAGAAAGGGGAGGGGGAAGGAAGGTGAGGAAAAAAAAAAAAAAATTGGAAAAAAAAATTTGGAAAAAAAAAAAAAAAAAAAAAAAAACGGAGATTACATGGGGCGCTAGATGCACAACAGAAAGCGCTTCCCCCCTTCCTCTCCTCCCCCCCACCACCCTTAGAAAGCACGGAAACAAGAAAGTGAAGAGAGTGAAAGAAATTGAGAAAAAGCGAGCACACAAAACAAAACAAAACAAAAAAACTAGAAAAAGACTACTCTTTCTCGAAACCCTAAAGCGTTGTACTTTCGAAACGACGCTGCGGTGACAGCCTAACGGGTTTGCACATCAGAATCGACCTACCGTCAAAGTCGCCAGTCGCGACCGGCAAGTGCAGGAGCAGCACCGCCGCTGGTGGGTGGACGGAGGGATGGGACGGGGAGGGACGGGCGCGGAGGGCGCAAAAAAGAAAAGAGATTGGCGGAACGGGGAGTGGGGAATAGCAGAAAATAGTGTCAGATAAGGTTCGTGATTATTAACGGCTGGTAGGAGCAGCAGCCGGTAGGCGCATCCGGAAGGCTCCGCCTGATCCACTGCGGGAGGCGGAGGGCGAGACAAGCGCACTTCGCAAGCCGCGGAAGGCCCGTTGCGATTTGTGGAGAGACACAAATCGTAAGGGGGAAGGGCGTCACCATTCGCGGGGGAATGAGAGTGAGAGGAGTGTTGGGGAGGATCGGAAGGGGGAAGGGCGCCACCATTCGCGGCGAAATCGACGGTCAACGAGGGTGCGCGCGCGATATTCGAGGAGTGTACGTTGGTATCAAACCAAGAAATCGATGAGCGACGACGAAGCAAACGACCGCGCGACGACGACGCGACGACAAAACGGCGACCACGCGACGACGACGCGACGACAAAACGGCGACCACGCGACGACCACGCGACGACGCGAACGCAGCGACGACGTAGCGACGCGCCGTCGAAAAGGGTGAAGCGCGGCTAGCTCGCTGCGGTAAGCGCAGCGCATCGTAGCGCAGCGGGCGGCTTTTGCGCCGTGCCCGGCGGTTCGAGAACGGCGAATGCGGAGCACACGACACAGCTTTTTCATTTTTGAGGCGAGGCGCTTCGAATATGAACGGCGAATGAAGGACACACGACACAGCGTTCCGCGCGATGGTTTTGCGACGACTCGACACACCAATGGTAGACACCTAATCACCAGCAGTGCGGAGTCCACCGGTGTGATAGTTATCTAGTTTCGAGACGTCTCAAAAGTAGATCACTCACCAGCGGTACAGTGTCCACTGGTGACGGTTCTCTCCTTTAGCTGGCAGATAAAGGTACGGTAACGGTCACTTACGGTCACTAGCGTCCAGCTGGCGGCATGGACTTTATGCGACGGCAGCGCAACGTAACAAGTAGTAATAGTAATAGTAGTAGTGGTAGTACCTAGAATGTAGCACCACGCGGGTCGACAAGCCGCGTCGTCGCCACCATGATGAGGATCGTGTCGCACGCGCCGCGTCACAGTCGCACCTCGCCGCGTCACAGTCGCATCTCGCAGCGTCACAGTCGCATCTCGCCGCGTCACAGTGATGCCGCTGGGCCGATATCTCCGGGTTGCCTTCGGAGTCGCGCGGCAAGATCTCCGATCCCCGCCGCACTTTCCGCCGCCGCGGATCTTAGTTGCGAGCCAACGCATATCGCGCCGCGCAGGAGGTAACGGAATTGTGGTTGTGCCACGTGTGACCTCTCGCAGCGAAATGGTCAATCTGAGGCCGACGGATTCTACGAGACTGCAGCCACAACTCGTGCGGTGCGAGGTGGGGGATCACGGGGAGGCGCGACGCGGGATGTTGACCGCGATCATTACAAGTGCACGTCAGAGGGTTCGACTCCTACACGTCCTAGTACCTTCCCCCCTTGCTACGAAAGACAGGGCCGCAGCGATCCGACACGAACCGAGCACTACTTGACGACTCCTGTCACACTTGCGTGGATTGTGCAGTACGCGTAAGAAACTCCGCAAACCCTAGCTTGTGAGGAATAGGAACTACTTGGGGTCCGGGGTGGCAGGGCGGAGCCGTCAAGTCTTTAATATGCAGCCGGGTGAGATCATAGGTAGGTTCAACACTAGGGTGTTGGAGTGACGAGGCTGGATTTTGAGTGGGAACTATCAGTGGTCCTTGGTGGATAGATCGGACAGGCCATGGTGAAGCGCGGTAAGGGAAGGGAAGCACTAGGAACAAGGATTGCACGCGAAAACGTCGCGGGCCAGTGGAGTTAGAACTGCACAGTGCTGCAGTGTATTGTACGGACAGAAGCGCTCCGCTTGAAACAGAGAGACTGCCGCCTGGATTCTTGGTCGCCTCACCTCGTCACGCCATGCCATGCCAAGAGTGAGAGGTGACACGGAATGGTGAGTGAGAGGTACACCATCGCGGAATGGCGATGGGGTGGGTCGGTCGGTGGATGGGTGGGCAGCAAGGAGGGTAGGAAGCAATGAGCATGCGCCAAGCACCGCTGCAATGGCGGATTTGACGGAACAGATGTGTTCAATTGAAGTTGGGGAGGGGGATGGTGAGGTGACTGTTAGTGGAGGGAGTCTGAGGGAGGTCTACTGTGCGGTGTCTACTTTCGTCCGTTCCTTGGACTTTGATAGGGGATTTCCGTCGCATGTGAGAACAAGTTGGTGATCGAGTGCTGTGCTGTACTATGCATCGATCGATTTCAATGCCTGCGGTTTGACTGGAAGACCGCTCCATTCCCCGGTTCTGGAGTGCCGTTTTGCCGTGTCAGACCGTGGCGTACAGCTGATGCTCACCCCATGCACGCGAAATTGCCATGCACTGGATGGAAACGCTGCCCCCGAGCATGAAACCCCCGCTTGCTGCTCCCACAGTACAAGCACCCGGGGTGGCAGGAAACAGTGCGCGCGACTCGGACAGTTTATCACGTGCAGTTCCGAACAACCAACGCCAACCCTGCTGTGCCCCGTTTCCAGGCCAGGAGCCTGCACTGCGAAAGTGAGTGGACGAAACGAACGAGGCCTCGTGAACGCAATCGCCAATCCACCCCGCCACCTAGGCACGGATCATTGTGCGTGTAACAGACATCGTGGGCAAATTCACGATCCCACGTGTAATCTGCCTGTGCGGGGTACAAGCGTTATTGTAGCCAGGCATTGTTCTCATACACCACGTCAGACAATTGAACGTAAGGTTACCAACCCCCAGCGTCAAATGTGCAAGCCAGGTGCATGGAACGAACTCCAACCACACGTACAGTTCCAAGCCCCAAAGAACAGACCCCAACCTTGTCCCAGGTGAATTCGAAGTGAGGATAAAATGTTAACAACAATTTCACTAAGACAGTTAGTTCACTCACCTCATCCTGACACAATGCCGCGATTTAATCGACGGGAACAGCTGCCGCTCCACATCAAACGCGCCATTTGCGCGCACCACCTCGAACACCCCGTCCTGCGCCATGTCGACCTAGCTCGATGGTGTTTCTCCCAGTACGGGTTGCGCCCGGATCGCTCTACGATCGGCCGCATCCTAAAAACCGCCGAGCGATGGGATGTGACGTCCGACGGCGCCAACCCGGTGCGCCGTCGGGCAGGCGCCTGGCCAGAGCTGGAGCAGGCCATGGGGCGGTGGATAGCAAACGCAGGACCCGCCGGTGTGCCCCTCACACTCCAAACCATCCGCGACCATGTCGCGGCGATGGCCAGGAACATGGGCATTCCGCCCACCTTCCGATGCTCGATCGGCTGGGTGCGCCGTGCATTGCGGCGCCAGGGCGTGAGATGCCGTGCGGCACAGGGCGAGGCCGCCAGCGCAGATATGGCGGCCGTGCGCGACGCCCGTGAGAAGATGCCGCGACTCCTCACGCAGCTCGGCGTCGCCCCGCGGGACACCTTCAACCTCGACGAGACTGCTCTCTGGCTGTCGGTGCTTCCGCGGCGCACGTACAGCAGCGGCCGCATACCAGGCCGCAAGGTCTCGAAGGAGCGATTGACCGTCGCATTCCTCGTGAATGCGGACGGTAGCCATGCATTCCGGCCGCTTGTGATAAGCAAGGCGAAGAGGCCGCATGACTTCCGGCCCGACTATGACCCTGAGGCGCTATGCTACTGGCGCCATAACGCCAAAGGCTGGATGACCTCGCCTGTAAGCATATTTGCGTGGAATGTGCACCTTTTTGACTCTCATTGCCATTGTTCGCAATTTTGTCATGTGTTTGTTCTCACAATGATGCCGACCGTGTCCCATTTTTCCATGCCATCCCGTCCAACAGTTATTCACGCATTTCATTACTCATCTCAACGCGGCGATGTTTGCCGAGGGTCGCAAAATAGTGGTGCTGCTGGACAACGCGAGCAGCCACATGCTGCGCGCCGTAGATGCATGGAGCGAGATCGTGTGCGGCGTCAGGACCACGTGCATGAGCCACGTGCGGCTTGTCTTCCTGCCGCCCAATACCACGGCATTCACTCAGCCGCTTGACCAGGGCATAATCGCCACCGCGAAGGCCCGCTACCGCCAGCATTGGCTGCGGGCCTTCTCGGGTTTATGGAACGCCGACGGAGCGACTTCCGCGGTCGCTCGATTCCGGCCGAATCTGCGAGATGTGCTCGAGTGGCTGTCGGAGTCGTGGACCTCCGTCGGCGCGCGCACCATTCAACGATGTTGGTGGCGCACGGGGTGTCTTCCCCTCTCGTGGTCACTGGAGCTGCCGCACGTGCATGACGACGAGCCCATCCCCGCAGCTTATCCCGACATCGAACTCGACGATGACATCGATGATGTCGGGACGCTTATTAACACGCTCGACCTCGGGAATGCGGCAATGACGGCGGCGGAATACGTCGCCATCGACGACGCGGAGCCCACGTGTGCGGAAGGCACGGCACACCCGCCCGTGACAGAGGAGGAGATGCGCTCGGAGGTGGAGCTCTGGCAGGCGCCGACGACCATGCAGGCCGTTTACGACGACGCCGACCCCGTGTGCCGTGAAGCGCGCCGCACTGCTCGTGCGGCGTGCGAGATGCTCATCGGCTACGCCCGGGCCACCCGCATCACTCCGCGCGATCTGTGCGCTCTTTTCGACATCCGCAATCCAATCATAATCGCGCGGATGGAGCGGGCGAGCCCGGGATTCAATCTCAACGTGGCGCCGCAGCCCGTACCCTCCCCCGGCGCAACCCCCACTCCCGAGACACCTCGTCCGCGGGGCCGTGTGCTGCCCGACTGGATGACCCGCCAGTCCCGCCGTCAGCAGCTGCTTGATGCCGGGGTGGGCGCCGTGATGGACGGCTATGTGGATGCAGCGGAATGGATGCGTCTGTGAGAGGGGGTGGAGCAGCCAGAGCAAAGTGTCGAGTGAATTTTGCAGGGCCCCAGTGATAAAACATTGTGCCCATTTCAGTGTGTTTCGTTTAGTGTGTTGTGTTGCTATGGGGGGCCAGGTGGGAGTTGTTGATTGGATGTCTATGTTGTGTGTTAGTTGTTTCTCACCTCGAGGAACAATTGATGTGCACGCCTGATTCATTACTGTAGGGGTCGTGTAGTAACATTGAACACACGAGAGAGACAAGCATGGCAACCCCCCCCTGTTACAAAACAAACAAAAGGTGAGGTAACCATATGCGGGTTAGAGGCACGGGATACGCGTGACGAAACGAACGAACCTCTGGCGAAATGATGTTTAGCTTATAGTCCCAGAGCACAAGGCAACCGGGAGGGGCTCTAACGAGCATCAGGTGTACCGTGGCTGTCCCTTGTGGCGCCTGGTTCTGCCCGTGCGGTGCTGAGGGGGCAGTCGTTACTGCTGCTTGCTATCCAGGCGTGGAGATTCTGGCGAAGAGCGTTTTGTGTGGGCTTGTGATTTGTTAAGGCTACGGTGAGGAAGGGAAGGCTGGAGAGGACGGGATTGGGAGTATTTTGACTTCTTGCCTTTCTACCTGATTTCTTATTCCGAAACCAGCTTTGTCTGAAACATCTGTTGATTGCTGAAAAGCACAGCTCGGAGCACTTATATCTTACACATAACACTGGCGAGATGAACCCGAGGCTGTACACCCAGGGCAGATTTGCCTGCCTGCCAATTATCTTCGCTGTAAATTTTCTTCCCCGTCATCGTTTATATCAGATGGCTGCGACGCAACAGCGAAGGAGGCAGGTGGGTGACTGTTGCTGACAACAAAGCTTGACGACGATTCTCGAAGAATCATCGTCAATTCTGTCGCCTTGACCTGAGGGGCAGACTGACTGACGGCGACAAAGATGACGGAAGGAAGTTGCCAGCGAATGGGAAGAGGACGTTGATTGTGGTGGTCGTCAAATTCGTGTGGAGTAGGACCGATAAGTTATCAATCTGCATGTGGTCTAGAGATTGGTTCGGCATCCATCCGTACGTAACAACATTTCATACTTGTTACAGTATGACACAACATTGGGGAATGGATGGTACACGTCGATAACACTGACTCTCATAAGAACGCCAACCTGAAAAGCAGCACACATTCTGGATGAATGCCGTAGACAAATATTTTTAAATTGTTTCTAGGCATTTTACAACAACCTATACTTCCTCCTCCGACGGATTCACCCTAGTATTTCCGTCGCACCAGTTGATAGCTTGCATTCAGCCAAGGATCCTCGCTATAACAACCGAGTCGTTATAATCTATACCGGGTACGAGCATGGGCAAACCCGACGAGTCGTCATCCTCGCAACAAGACGAACGCACCTTTGAGAGCGCAATACCAGGCGGAAGCGGCGCCGAGCCCTCATCATCGGTGCCACGTGGTACCGACGTGGATCCGGGAAAAGAGGAAGACGATGGGTGGGTCTACGATTCGAACGAGGAGGAGGACGAAATGATAATAATCCGCGGTGCTGACGTCAGCGGCCATGGAGCCGCGGATCTGCCCGAGGGGATGGAGGCGCTGATGCGCGCCGCGGAGGAGGGCGACTCGGACGCCTTGAGGGACGCGATTCGTACGTCGGTTCTTGGCGCGATCCGCGCACGCTGAGCGGAAGGGGGATTGCAGGGGGAGAGGGGAAAGGGAGTGGTACGGGGAAAGGTAGGGGGGAGGTAGGGGGATATTTGAAGGTAAGGGCAGGCGGGAGGATCGCTGACACTCCCTGTGGGTTGCTCTCTCCTAACCCCTGAAACCCTCTACCCTCTTCTCCCCTCTCCCCTCTACCCTCTCCCCTCTCCCCTCTCCCCTCTCCCCTTCCCAATCGCCCCTTATACGTGTGCATGCGCGGCCCGCCTACGCTCGTCCTCATTCCTCTCCCCCCACCAGGGGGCGTGTCAGTGGCACTTGACTCACCAGGCGAGGATGGCAACACAACACAGCGCCATGGCTCCCCCACTGCCACCCAGCCCCTATTCCTCTTCCCTCTTCCTCTTCCCTCTTCCCTCTTCCCTTGTCCCTCGATCCTCCCCATCCCTTCTCCCCTCGCCCTTCTCCCCCCATCAGAGGGCGTGTCAGTGGCACTGGACGCGCCAGGCGAGGATGGCAACACGGCGCTGCACCTGGCATGTCTGTACGGCCACACGGCATGTGTTGAGGTGGGCCTTGGAGTTTGAAACACATGCACACATGTGCACTTGTGCACTTGTGCACTGCACACTCACTCATGCATAAGTACGTTCATGCATATGTGCATTTCGCTCCTCCCCTCCCCCCCTCCGCCCCATACACACATGCACCTCCACTTCCTCTCCATAAATCACTTACTTTCTTCTCTCCCTATTCCGTTCTTTAGAATTCTTAAAGCCAGGGTCTCAAGTGACCAAGTGCTTTGCAGTCGATTGAAAACGGGCCTGTCTGATTGGTTTACAAATTTGGGGCCAAACTTTTGACAAATCGAGACTCTCCAAAGAGCCCACTTTTCGCCCAAGTGCTTTGCAGTTGCACGGCCAACCCGTACATGAGACCCTGGCTTTAAAAGCGACTCTTCATACACCTCTCTCCCTATTCCGTTGCTCTCCCCCTCGCCCTCTCCCGCCTCCAGCTGTTGCTGCTTGCTGTCCCATCCACACATGCATCTGCACATACATGCATCTGCACACACATGCATGCATTTTCACTCACATACATGCATCTGCACACACATGCTCCTCCACTCCATGCATCACATGCTTTCTCACTTCTCTCCCTATTCTGTTATTTAGAATTCTTAAAAGCGACTCTCCATGCAACACATACTTTCTTCTCCCCCTATTCCGTTGCTCTCCCCCTCGCCCTCTCCCCCAGCAGCTGCTGCTTGCCGCCGGAGCTGCGATCGAGGCTCGGGACGAGGATGGGGCCATTCCTCTCCATGACGCTTGTGCTGGAGGTGGGTCGGAGGGTGGGAGGGCGGGTGGGCGCATCGGATGGATGGGTGCATTGGAGGGTGGATAGGAGTGGGTGGGACAGAGGGTGGGTGGGCGGGTGGGCAGGTGGGTGGATGAGAGGATGAGATGAGAGAGAGGATCCGTGTCCTGTCCCTGTCTCTGTCTCAGCAGTCGACTTTTGAGTCGGCTCAAAAGTCACCTCAGATGAGAGCATGGGAGGATCCTTGGACCTTGGCATCTCCTATGGCATCTCCTATGGCATCTCCTATGGCATCTCCTATGGCATCTCCTATGGCATCTCCTATGGCATCTCCTTTGGCATCTCCTATGGCATCTCCTATGGCATCTCCTTTGGCATCTCCTTTGGCATCTCAACAGTCATGAGATCCCCACTTTGATTGCACCCGCATCCGCTCCCCATCCCTACCTTGCTTGCCCCTCCCTTCTGCTCTCCCCCCCCACCAGGTTTCTCACACGTGGTGGGCACTGGGAATGCTCATGCTCCTGCTACACACGCACCCTGACCTCACTTCTCCCCTGTATCCCCATCCGCGCCCCACTTACACTCTCCTTCTACTCCTCCCACCAGGCTTCTCGAATTTGGTGGGCAATGGGCATGCTCGTGCTGCTGCTGCTGCTACACGCGCCCTGACCTCATTCCTGCCCCGCTTACCCCCTTCCCCCACTCCTCCCGCTCCCCCCACCAGGCTTTTTGAATGTGATCGGCATGCTTCTGGCGGCGGCGGGCGATGCGGAGCAACGGAGACGCATGATTGGAGCACAGGACAGTGATGGGGATACGGTGAGTGGTGGGATGTGGTGCAGAGGGTATGTGATAGGCCTATGGGATGTGCGCATGATAGGCGCACAGGACAGTGATGGAGATACGATGAGCAGAGGTTTGGTGAAGGTGCAGGGGCGAGGAGCGGTGGGGTGTGACTGGAGGCGCATGGTGGGGCACAGGACAGTGACGGGAACACTGTGAGCAGTGGGGTGGGAGGAGAAGGGTGTGAGAGGTGGGGTGTGAGAAATGTGGTGTGAGAGGTGGGGCGTGAGATGTGGGGCGGGGTGTCACTTCGACGAAATTGACCGCCTTACAATGCCCTCCGTTTCCCCCTCTCCCCCCCAACCCTACTCCTGCCATCAGCCGCTGCACAACGCGGCAAGGGGCGAGCACCCCTCTGTCTGCCGCCTGCTGCTGGATGCCGGAGCCAACCCTGCCGCCCCCAACCATGCCGCCCAGGTGTGTGCCCTGCCGCCCCCAACCATGCACCTCACGTGTGTCCCATTCACCTGCACTAATCTTTCTGCCGTCCGTGTTGCTACCCGGTCTATTTTGAGGCGCCTCAAAAAGTAGATTCCAATGTCATCCGTGTCGCTACCAGGTGTTTTTTTAGACTTCTCAAAAAACACTTCAGCCTGAGAATTTTCGGAAAATGTCATGTCTGTCGCTACCAGGTGCAGTGGCTGTGAGCTGCTTGTTGGTTTGACTCCACAATCAATCCTCACTTTTCCACATCTCCTCTTGTGCCCTCTTGTCACTACCAGGTGCCATGGCAACTAGTGGAGGACGACAGTGAGTTTCTTTTTACCTCAACTCCACAATCCTCCTGTGCCGCATCACCCCTCTGTCCTCTTGTCTCCCACATCCTCCTCACCACCAGGTGCCATGGCAACTAGTGGAGGACGACAGTGAGCTGCGCGCCTTCCTGCAAGCTGCAGCTGCTTCTGCATCTGCTGCCTGAGGCCTATAGGTACAAGCAATGAGAAGACTATGAGCGGATTTTTGGGACAAGGATTGCGTAGGCGAGCGGAATGTTCAGTTGGGAAGTTTAGTACATGTGTTTAGTAGATGGGTTTAGAAATTGACAAAAGGGCATACTGAACAAGCCTGCAGTCATCTTTACAGAGTTGAGACACACACCCCCACCGTCACCCCAGGGAGCAAGCTCTTCACAACCGCCTCCAACCCATCCATATCCGACTGAAAAATCTTCAAA